GACGTCAAGTATTTCATCACATAAAGAAATACACGACACTTTAACTCGTTCAGATTCGTCGGTAGGTTTTTATTGAAATAGCATCGATGCTATTTTTCTTTCTAGAAATGTTTAACTTTCAACTCTTCGGTTTAAAATAAACACGACACAGCGCTCTATAAAATATTCTACATTATGACTAAAAACTAAAAATAGTTCTTAATTTTGTCCAACAATTTATGATCATAAGTGAGTATAGAATTAAAAGACAGCTAACAGCGTCGTTCGTGACTGTTGTCAGTTGACAATATGAAACATAAATGAAACGATTACATTACTCAATAAACATCATCCGTAAACAGTTATCAAATATCAATATTGTCCACATACCACTGATCCAATACTACCGGCTAATAACATACACCATACAAATTCTATGATTTGTACATTTGTTTTCTGCAATCTGTTCTTATGTGCATAAACATGATTTTTGGTATTTATTAGTGTACATTTACGTAAATAGTTCTGTGTTTATTTTTACAAGAAAGAGCGTTCATCAAAACAAAATGAACCATTCATTGATCGCCGATCGAGATGTGATCAGGCGAATGTTACAAGAATACAATGTTCGATATCTATATGTTCACGTTAATTAGGAAGGAAACGCTTTACACTCAAGATGAAAAATTCTTTGAATGTCGTGCAAGACGTTTCATTTATCAATGTTATAAGCTACGTGGTGCTGTGTTGATAACATTGTAGCTTGAGAGCGTTTTATAAATCAAAATTTATTTCATTACTCGTAAATCAATCAAGACGCTATAATAAATTAATCTGTTTCTTTAAGTTGCTTACCTTGCCTTGAAACATAAAAAAACTCAGTTTAAAATGTCTTGACTTGCAATAAAACTCTTGATAAGTGGACTTCCGTAAATAAACGACAACAAGAAAAGTAAATTAAACAAGACACTTGCTTCTGGATATACCCTCCCCCCCGGTTCCTTAGTCTCCTCCAGAGCAAGGCACAGTGTACAAATGATTGTCTGTCTTGTGCTTGTAAGAACTAGGAAACTGAAATGTACGTTACTGAAAATTTAAGATCAGCATTGATGGAGTTGAGACCCATTTAGGTAACTTCTCACTGAAACTTTTAGGAAATAAACAAATGTTCAACTTTTAAAAATTGTTAACATGTAAATGAACAACATAACTTTCTACAAAGTAAATTTGCAACAGAACATAAGATGTTTCTGAAATTTAGACTCTTCTATTATGTAACAATTGAAATATTAATATTCCTATTTTAGAGAAATTTCCTACCTAATGTTACGTATTTCCGGAAACAAAAATTTTCAACAGTAAATTATGCAAAATTATTCATACAATCGTGGATGATGAATGTGTAGTTGCATACTCAAAACTTTTCATATAAAATAGCGAAATTAAGAATCGTGACTAAGAATAAATACATCACTGAAAAAATTCACTTTACTTCGTTTTAAGTTGTTTTGAACAATTATCACAGTTTAGTGTAACCAGTTCGCATTACGTAGAATAATAAATTGAAAAACAGAAACTGTTCCTCTCATGTTGTTCCAACCATTTATGACTCGAAATGTTGTACAAAAAAACATAACTTTCCTTAAAGTGTTTATATTACGAATATTAGCCCCCTTTTTTATTAGCTAAATTGAAAGACCTTGTTTCAGTGATTTTAAATCTGCAATTATAATTGAAATTGGATTGGTGAAAGTGATTTTATGGACGTTCAAAGTCACGATTTTCAGCATTTTTTTTGCGAACTTTTTGATTGGTATGCTAATGCTTGTGACGTAAAAAGTTTAACACATATATCAACATGGCGTATTCTACTAGTAATCTTAATAAGAAACGCTGTGTTGTTGGCGGACCTAATCAAATTAGTTGCGCCAATGATTCAAAAACCGAAGGAATGTCGATGCATCTGTTTCCTAAAAAAGAAACAGAGCCGCAAAGACATAGAAAATGGGTAAATTTTGTGCGTAAAGATAGACCGGGTTTTGAGGCCTCCTCTACCTCGTGTCTATGTTCTGCACATTTTGAAGATTCTTGTTTTGACCTTAATTTGAGCGTGCAAGTCAAGCTCAAAAGAAGGTTGAAGAAAGATGCTATCCCAACCATTGACGTGGCTGGGATTCCTGAACCATTACAGGACGAAATAACCGATCGAAAGCGAAGACAAGTAAGTTTACGCTTGTTTATGTTAATTTTTCTTTTGTCATATGTAAATTTGATATAAGTTTTGTAGATTATTCGACATACTCTCCATAAGTCATCGCTGAAGGAAACATGTTCTCTCGATGAGGAAGTACCATCTACTAGTGATGGAGCTGAGCATGTTGAAGTATGCACTGGGGAAGCAAACGATTCGCCATTTGAAGAAGAACTACATGCAGTTGGTGAAGATATTTGTGAATCCCAGTCTCCATGTAAATCGTGCCATCGTCTTAAGAAAAAACTTACATCTTTACAAGACTTTAAGCTGGTATAAAAAGTCTAAAGCATCTTTGAAGAAAAAGGCCCAGAAGTTGCAAAATGAATATCGAAGCGAAATCAGGGAAAATCATAATACATCCGTGGTGACCAGCATTAATATACATGATGAAATGCAGGGGGAGTGTTGAAGACCTTTTTGAAGGAGAATCATACATGGACTACTACTCTTTCGAAGAGTCTAGTCAGAGTGAAGATTTAGATGAAGATACCACAAGTAATACAGTCAGGTATTTTATCTTATAAAGAATTAGATCTCTGTTGTATTTCATAATAATGAATTTTCTTAATCCTGTTACAGAATTGATGAAGGAGCAAGCTCGCATGAACAACCTATGTTCATGGTATTTTACATCTCATTGGTTGAGTTATTTGAAAAATTTTTCTTTAACTGAAAATCCAAAAGTACACATTAAAAACATTGGTTCGATGGCCATTGTAGAGCAAAATTGTGGTAAATGTGTTGAAAAGAACATTATGTGGAGAAGCGAACCTATGGTTTTGGGAAGATATCCAGCTGGAAACGTTATGACTAATTTTGGTATATTGATGTCTGGTGTCAGTATAAGTCAGGCCATGCTGATGTTCAAGCACATGAATCTCTCAGCAAATAGTGTGTCCACTTATCATGTGCATCAACGCACGTTCTTGTTTCCAGCTATTCTGAAGCATTGGGAAAGCTATCAGTCAAAATTAATTGAAGATGTGAAAAAAGTGATGCAGATTTTCAGACATGGTCAGGAGATGGACGCTTTGATTCTATGGGGCACAGTGCGAAATATGGAGTCTACACAATTTGGAGCAACACAACATCAAAGCTGGTTCATTTTGAATTGCTTCAGGTATTATCGAATGATGAAAATCATTGTTTGTAGTGTTTTTACTCTCAATGATGGAAGCATTTTGATTTTTAAACAGGCCAATGAAGTTGGTAGCAGAAATGCCATAGAACTGGAGGGAGCAAAAAGATCTTTTCAGTTTCTTGAGAAATCTGGGCTTAGCTTGGATGTTTTCATCGTCAGTTGAAAAAATCAAAGGATGGACAAGTGGTGTATAACACAAATTTCCCTAAGTATAATTTGGATGAGAAAGCAGTGCGGGAAGTGTCTGTGAAGCCATCTTATGGTATGCTAATTTTTAGAATGTTTTGTAGAATATGAGAATTGAAGCATCAGTAACAAATTATTTTTCATATCAATTTGTAGAATATGTTGAACAAGTAAAGAATGTTCTTTTCATGTCTAATAAACAAGAACTTTCAACTATAATGGAAAGATATAGAGGAAAAGCGGCCGAACCTTTGTGCAGCCAGTTTCTCACCAAACGATCCAAGGCTGAGGCAATAAAAAAATATGTTGTGAGGAACAAGCATGTCAGTCATGCACTTTACCGTGCTGTAAGTATGGGATAATGGGATTGTTTACAATTATTTTAGGATGTAATGATCTTCGTTTTTTCCTTAGTGGAACAGCAAAGACAGAAGTTACAAGACCTAACAGATGATGTGGATCAAATATTAAATAGCGCTGGGAATAAAAGTGCTCGCAAATGTACTAAATGCAAAGCTCCAATAAAAGGACATCCTCGAGGTCAATGCTCCACTGAAAAAGAATAAATTGAAGTTGGTAGATGATAGGGCAGTGGTCAGACATTGCATGGAGCCTGTCTGGAATGGAGAAGTAAGGCACCTCCTTCCCACCACCAGCCTGAGGGTTCACCTCAGGCAAGTGATAGTACCCTCTAGCCTCCCTATCTGGGCACTGATATACTCATCTTTCCTGATGATTACAGTATTAATATAACATTGAATGGTATGTATACTTGTCAGATTGAAGATGACTATCTCACTCGATAGTACAGCATGGCCATTTTGTGAAAAACAAAAGTTAATACCAAGAGGGGACTCGTGGTGTACTTGTGTCATCCAAAGGATGTTAATAATCTCATCGATATCTTGGGTTTTATTACGTAAAGATCGAATTTCTTGTCGGTCAGATATACAAGCAACATGTGCACAACTTAACTCAGTCTTTTCTATCCTTCCTACAAAACATTGTTACTGTACCAGATGACTCTCTGCTAAAATTTTCATTTTCTCTAAACTTTAAATTTGATAAATAACGAAATGTAGGCGATGATTTTTTGGCATAACGAAATTCAACATACTCCGACGCTTTCCATCCAAAATTTTCGTCTATGTCTTTCTTTAAAAAATCTTCGTCATTTTCCCTGTCCAGCGCTACAGTCACATACAAACGTGGCTTTGGGTTAAATGTTATTCCACAACGTCCATTTATCCAAGGAAATCTGCATGAAATAATACACATTCAAGCTACACTCTACTAAATATTGCAGTAATCGTATTTTAAAAACTTTCTGTGTATTTTTTACTGACTTAAAGCTTTTTACTATTGCTATTAATTGTTCATGTATACGTTAAATTTTAAACTGAAAAAAAGTTACAAGACTTTTTTCAATATACCTTAACCGTTATAACAGTCCCTGCTATAAATTACTATTGCTAAAAACAGTTATTTAGGAGGTTCGTTGTGTTTAAATTATGCTTTTTGTTTGAAAAGAGACAAGAAGATATATTTGAGTATCTTATGCTACAGCAGAAAACAATAAATTAAAAGATATCAAATAGATTTATATTTACTTCTTTAGTTTTTCTATCACGTCTTTGCGAATATTGTAACAATCGTCGAGAAATCCACTTTTGAAATTTGGATCAAAACCATCGTCTTCAGAATCTTCGTCATCACAATATACTTTGGACTCTTCAGTAACATCTGAAAAAACAATGTTTCTCTTTGAACACAATCGTTTCCTCCCTTAGGCCTGTTTTATACGTTGCATTTTACATGCGTCGAATGCATTAGAGACAAAAGAAAATGAGATAAAATTCCTCATTATCTTTTGTTTTGATGTTTTGTCGGTGCGTGTATTTGAACAAGAAAGTTTCTGTTAATTTGGCTAAGTTTTTATTTACGTGTATACTAAATAATGTAATAATATGCCTTTTTATGTTTGTAAATGATGATCGTCCAGGTTAATAAAGTCCTGAGAAGGACTGTTTTTGTTGTTGTTGACTGACGTTTCGACAACCTTAGCGGTAGTCATCTTCAGAGTCAAAAAAAAAGTTTTTTGGGTTCAAACCATTTACTTTAATATGCCTTTAACAATAGGTTTCATACTATAACAACTTCTGCAAACTTTAAAAATATCATGTTTCTACGTAGTAGTGACGTAGCTGATGAAGAGTTGGAGTTAAAAAATTGAGCAAGATATACCTTAAATTGAAGTTAGAGATTTTAATTCTACTCGTCGTCATGATAAGCGAAGGCATAACATGCCTTTTCATACATTTATGTTCGTTCGCTCGTTCGTTCCTCGCACATGGCAAGAAAGAAGTACAATCAAATTTTGCCTTAAGAAAATTTGTTCAGTTTTTAAATTAACTGCATGCAAGGATCTTCACATATTTCACACGTAAAAAACGGAAAATAGTGCAACCTAGTGCAGATATGAAAAAGTTGCTTAAACTAAATTGTTTCAAGCGTAAATGTTGTCATGCCAGTGTTTATTGTCTTAAGATCAAAATTATGCAGGGAAGTATTTTTCTCCTAAGCTTTATGTCTTCTAAGTTTTTATATTGTTTTTTAATTTGTTATATGTTTGATATTGCGCGTTAAAAAATTTGCCGCATAAAGAATATAACTTAAACATATTCTAAGATTTGAATCTTACTTTATGCAGTAAACTACTTGGTTTAAGCGAAGAGTTTTTTGTGGTATAGTTTATCTATGTAGTCAAAATGATTATTCTCAAATTTGATATAAAATAGTTGTGATATTAAAATTGTCAATGAAGAAAACAAATTTTTCGTTAATAATTAATTTTCGTTTTTTTCTTCCATATTTTTCCCTATAGAACTGTATCTTTTTTTGGGAAGGAATAAGGAAAAGTGAGACACCTGGATGTGCTTTACGTTTGAGGTTTTGTGTGCAAAATTTGTTATAATCAATGCTGGTTTTTTAAAGTATCTTAATGTTACAAAAGTAACATGAGTTATTTGAAATAATACAACATAAAAATAACACCAAAATTTGTAACGTTTTGCATTATCTGTGATTGCAAAATGTTCTGACCGCTAAGTTTTATAACAAGTAACAATATTTATAACCAAAAGTTAAGGAATATTTGAAGAACCAATGAAATCAACTTGATCTAGATTTCAAGTATTTTCACGATTTTCCTATTCATATATAAGAAACATAAGATGTTTCTGAAATTTAGACTATTCTCATGTTGTTCCAACCATTTATGACTCGAAATGTTGTACAAAAAAACATAACTTTCCTTAACTAGCAGTATATGATGCAGTTACACTCTAATTATTTTCACGGGCACCCAGTGTTTTGGGTGTCCGTTGCGCGACGATTGCAAAGGTAAAATCCAACGAACAGTTATTGTTTTGTTGAAAAATAAAGGAACTGAAACAATAAAACAATATCCGTAAGTAAGATACAATATAATTTGTAAAAAAGTGCAGTTTAGTATATTGGTATGTTAAATTTAGAAACAGTAAAGTTATAGTTAAAATATTTGTATAATAAAGTAGGAATGATACGAGTATATTATGCGATAAAACATTGGTATTGTAAAGCAAAAAACATTGAAGTTCAGCTTGGCTGTAAACAATTTGTACAACTAAACAGCTAGGAGCAAAACTTGCATTCGAAATGTTTTACGTAAGGAAACTGCAACAATTTACAATTTACAGGCGTATTACTTTCGTTAAAATGTCAATTGTGAAAACAAAATATCGATATCGTTGACAAGAAATCTAACGATAACGCACATTGATAGCAGGGCCTTCCTTTTTTATCTTTTCGGCCAGATCTCTGTTGTCCGTGCTTACAATAATAGCATTTGCCAGTTCCTCGTACCACAGTATCTTCTTATGACGGGATTTCCACCAATACTTCAACATGGTATATCCTTGCCAGACGACACCATGTTCGTCTATTTCGATTTGTTTAATTTTCTCATCACTAATATTAAGGAATATAGCCAAATTTTTCCAATCACTGGGAATTTTCTTCGCCAAATTCATTAGATATTTGTCCATAGCTGCAACAGTCAATACAAGGTTTTAAGAATCTTAAACAGATGTGTTAAAAATATCTTAAAGCAACTATGTTTACAAAGATGGAATTTCTTTACAAGAATAAATATGAAAATTTATGAGTGATTGCCAAATTCATTAATAATATAACAACAAAATATTCATAATCACATTAGTGCAGTTTTTTTTATTTACACTTGCTAGAAATAGTTACTTCAACTATCTTTTTATTTTCCTTTTCCAAGAGTAAACTGTATTTATGTCAAGAAAATGAGGTTTTTCTATCCTTTTAGTTGGGGGAGAAAAAATGCAAGTTGACAGGTATTACTTATTTGTAAGGTTTCTTGTAGGTGGGTTTCACTGAAGAAATAAAAGATATTTATTATGTTTGCACAGGCTTATGCAAACCGAGGAGACTGTTAAGAGAACTCGAGAGCAGACCAGTGTAAGCCCGAGACCGAAAGTTGCGCATGCTTGAGATTCTCACAAACGTCTCGAAGGTTTGCATTAGGAAGTGCAAATACGAAAATATCTTTATTTCTTTATAAAAAAAAATGATGCGAAACAGACAAATTTGAAACGAACGTTTTAATTTTCCTCTTGAATGTATTCAAGACTGATTTGCAAATTCTCTTTAATTTTTCTTGCTTGTTGTAATATAGTTAGTAAACAATGTCATTTTTTATTGTTTACCCACCTTGAGATTCTTCATTCTCACTGGTTGTTGAAGGGCCATCGACAGTCGATGACGCACCATATGTCTTGCTGGTCTCAGGTGTAGACTCACTAGTGTCAGGTGTAGACTCACTGGTGTCAGGTGTACACTCCTTGGTCTCAGGTATCCTTTGTTGTTCATCAAGGATCCGGGGCATCCCGCTACAAAAATGGTTTAAGATGTTCGCTTAAATGAATTCACAACAGTCCATAGTATTGACTCAATATGTGACAGATGAAAAGGATGTAAAACTGAGAAAAGTTGGATAACTTGCTGGGTTGTTTTCTCTTTAAATTGATAGTTTCTCTTCAGTTTCCTTCAATTATTATTTTCAAAATATGCATTTATTTCTTATATCTTACATTGAAGTTTATTAGAGGATTTCGAATATTCAGGAGAGACATGACTTGATCAACAAAGACAAACAGCTTTCACACAAAAAATTGATAATAGACATTTAAACTGTACTTTTAATTTCCTTTCCAAAAGTAAATAATAAAGCGTGATGTGTTTCAAACTTAAATTTTGCTCTGAAAAAGTATTTTGTTATGCGGTGAATGATAATTAAGTGTTTTGAAAACCAAAATCTGATGTAGCTCATCAAATTTTTACCTTGTTTCTTCAGTCGTAAATGGGCGATTGCTCGCACAATGTTTACTGCGTGGATTTTAGAAATACGTTCCTTGATTTCAGGTTTTTGTTGCAGCATTATTCGAAGGTTTTCATCACTTTCGCATTGTTTAAGATGACGGAAAGAAATCATCAAAGCAGTAAACCTTATACGGCCAATTCTACTGTAAACATCTGCTAAACCAACCACGGCTTCAAGATGATGCAAATGCTGACTATCTTCACTTGCCTTTTCAGCTGATATGGCAAACATCTCTATCGCTTGTTTGTAGAACTTTCCTGAGTGTCCTCTTCTTCTTGCATGTAGAAATTAGCTACTGCGTTCCTATATTTTGATCGTTGAAGAAGTTTACCCTTTGACATTCTTGATTTTCAAGCAACTTCAATTTTCTTTAACTTCACTGCAAATGTCGCTACCATCTTTACGGATCAATTTTACATCATCAAGAATATTTAATGGCATTGAAAGTAATTCTCTGTAGCACTTTAAGATTTCACAGTAGCAAAACAACTCATCGCCGTTCCTCTCCTTTAAGATTCCCATTTCAAAGAACAGTTGTTGATTATTACTCAGTTGCTTGTAACATTTGATGGCATTTTCCAAATCTTTCTTTCGAACTTCTGCAGTTTTTGCCACTAACTTGTCGTTCTCGACCCAGTCATCATTGAAAAGGAGATAAAGAAGAGCACTTTTTTGAGCAACATATCCATGAAAGACAGCTATCTCAGATTCCAGTTCTTTGTTGATTTCATTTGCCAGACAGTACGCAAGCTTCATAAGATCGACATAAAAACTTGGTTTCTTAAGTGTTTTTCTATCGTGATAAAAATAGTTTCTACCATAGCTATATATTAATGAGACATAAAGCTCAGCGAGGAACAAATGGCTATACTTTTCAACACTTATTGCCACTTTATGTTCTACCAATTCATGCACGATGTCTGGTGTCAGCGGTTGTGAAAGTTCGATGATTTCTTTCAATTTTTCATCATTTTTGAGTTCATCCGGGAACACGTCAAGATCTTGTTTGTTCAGAGTTCGACAATATACAAGATCGTAAACAATACTTGTCATACATGGTATTTGGAAACTCTTTTTTTTCATCTTTTTCATTAAGTTTTCAGCTACATGATATGTGAGTGAGGTATGTCGTATATTTCTTGCTTGTTAACAGATCCCCACGAAAAGCGCTTATGAATGAATAAAACGACCCAACAGGCTGCAAGTCATCCTCAGTCACCCACACAACTTATGAAGAAGATTTCTCGACGTTTCGAAGAAAGTGTCCAGTTTTGTAGCAAAGGAGGTTGTTCTTGAGTATACGTAAATCCAATAAGCTCTGCGAGTCTAGCTAATGCGATCATGGTTCTATCATCTTTCGTTTCATTCTTCCATTTATTCAGGAATATCTCTGCATGCTCACGAACGATATGCAACCGAGAATCATCTTTTGAGAAACGATTATCTTTATTGATGTACTTCATAAAAACTCCTGATAACTTATAAAGAACTTCTGACTTAATGGTTTCTTTTTCATCAACCATATCTTTGATTACGTGTTGGGTAAAAGAATGGAATGAAAAAAGGCGGATATCACCTTCTCTTGTTATTTTAATCAGCGATTTAACACCATTACAAAGCTCACTCATTTTTTGTAAATTGATGTGGGGATCACTTGAAGGTAATTGACTGCTCAAAAGGAATTCTGGTATTCCATTATTACTGAGAAAAGCCACAGCTGCAATGACAGGAAAGAACTCATCTTCAACTTTTCTTAAACAGGTTTGCACTGCAATGAAGGTGTATTTTGTGCTTTTGCTCTTCGTCATGAACTTTCTTTACTGCGACTTTGTGTTTTAACAAGCCTAGATAATCATTAATGGATATCATATTTTGAACAATATAGTCTTTGGAAGCTGTTAAGCCAAGAATATTCCAGCCAAAATACTCGCAGAGCTTTATTTTCATTTCTTTGTCGTCATTAAGATCTTTAAGAAATTCTATTCCTTCATGAAATCGATCAACTTCAATTTTCTCGGATATATCCCAAAGAGGATGGTTGAGGATACGGTCGTTCGTTGTTATGAGGATGTTGATTGAATGATGAACATTCCATAAATCTGTAAACCATTCTTCTTTAAGATTCTTAGACTCCAAGTTGTCAAGCAAAAAAATTACGTTTAATTCTTCGGCTCTTTTCTCAATAGCTGTCAGCATTTCTTTATAACTCATATTGGTTGAAACCTCTTTCGCTAACTTTGTCAATGGTTCAACAACTTGTTCGCTGTCAAAGTTCTTAAGATCTATCAACCAACTGATGTCATATTTGTCTTTGTTGACAACAAGATAATTTAAAGCAGCAGATGATTTTCCCACTCCTATTGATCCATGCAAAATTATTGGAACTCCTTTTTGCAATCGTTGAAGTTGATCATCTAATTCCCTTCTTTGAAAATAATGATAATCTGGTTTGTGCCAATTGGAAGCCCTGATTTTGTTATCTAGAATAAAAGTTTGATACCAAATATTTGTAAAAAATTGATAAATCAGTGACATTGTTACTCTTAAACATTAGATGCATTTCCTTGATTGGAACGACCGTTGTTGAATAGTTTATGGACACAGAAGAAAAAGATACAAATTACCTTCAGTTGAAACAGCTCCATTATTTACTTCACTGGAAGGGCCAGCATGAGTAATATGTAGAGGAGCATTATTTTCTTCACTTGAAGTACCAGTTTGAGTAATATTAACTGTCATGTGATCACCAATTATAGTATTGCCACCAGTTACAGATATATTCCTGTTAGACTCGGCCATCACAACTAGATGAAAATGATCATTTTCACTTCATCGTTTGCTATACTTGAAATTCATAGTTCGAAGGAAAATTTTGACGGGAACATATCAAACAATAATATTGACATACGCGAGCCATTTATCTCAATGACCATTATGATTTACAATTCAACATATTCACTCGTTTATTCGCGTTCATATGGTCTTTTTCAGAGCATCTTCTGAAAAACTTTCACTTTAAAAAGTTTACATGTACATCGTATGACGAAACATCACGTGATTTCTAAATATATTAACAATACTAATATTTTTAATAAATGCCTCCCCCCCCTAACTTAAATTCATTCCTCCCAATTCCTACGACTACGACGTCAAGTATTTCATCACATAAAGAAATACACGATACTTTAACTCGTTCAGATTCGTCGGTAGGTTTTTATTGAAATAGCGTCGATGCTATTTTTCTTTTTAGAAATGTTTAACTTTCGACTCTTCGGTTTTAAATGAACACGACGCAGCGCTCTATAAAATACTCTACATTATGACTAAAAACTAAAAATAGTTCTTAATTTTGTCCATCAATTTATGATCATAAGTGAGCATACAATTAAAAGACAGCTAACAGCGTCGTTCGTGACTGTTGTCAGTTGACAATATGAAACATAAAGGAAACGATTACATTACCCGATAAACATCATTCGTAAACAGTTATCAAATATCAATGTTGTTTAAATACCACTGATCCTACCGGCTAATAACATACACCATACAATTTCTATGATTTGTACATTTGTTTTCTGCAATCTGTTCTTATGTGCATAAACATGATTTTTGGTATTTATTAGTGTACATTTACGTAAATAGTTTTCTGTGTTATTTTTTACAAGAATGAGCGTTCATCAAAACAAATTGAACCATTGATTGAACTCCGATCGAGATGTGATCAGGCGAATGTTACAAGAATACAATGTTCGATATCGTTATGTTCACGTTCATTAGGAAGGAAACGCTTTACACTCAAGATAAAAAATTCTTTGAATGTCGTGCAAGACGTTTCAATTATCTAAAATGCTATGTTACGTGGTGCTGTGATGATAACGTTGTGCCTGAGAGCGTTTCATAAATCAAAAATTTATTACATTACTCGAAAACAATCAAGAAGCTTATATAATAAATTAATCTGTTTTTAAGATGCTTACCTTGCCTTGAAATATAAAACTCACTAAATGTCTTGACTGCGATAAAACCCTTGACATTTGACTTCCGTAAATGAAAACGACAACAGGAAAAGTAAATTAAATAAGACACTTGCTTCTGGATGTACCCTCCCCCTGGTTCCTTAGTCTGCTGCAGGGCAAGGCACAGTGTACAAATGATTGTCTGTCTTGTGCTTGTAAGAACTAGGAAACTGAAATGTACGTTACTGAAAATTTAAGATCAGCATTGATGGAGCTGAGACCCATTTAGGTAACTTCTCACTGAAACTTTTAGGAAATAAACAAATGTTCAAATTTTAAAAATTGTTAACATGGAAATGAACGACATAACTTTCTAAAAAGTAAATTTGCAACAGAACATAAGATGTTTCTGAAATTTAAACTCTTCTATTATGTAACAATTGAAATATTAATATTCCTATTTTAGAGAAATTTCCTAATTTTACGTATTTCCGGAAAGGAAAATTTTCAACAGTAAATTATGCAAAATTATTCACACAATCGTAGATGATGATGTACAGTTGTTGTAGAATATGGTAGTGGTTTTAACTTTTAAATCGCACGGTGAATGATCCACACACAGATAACATGACTGCGCAAAGACTTGTTTTATTTATTTTGAATTCAGTTCGTTAAGTAAACATATTACTCCATTAAAAGATTTTCAATAATAAGATTAAGAAATGAATGGTGAATCAATCGACATTGAATACGAAGAAGATCTTCATCAGGATGCAGATTCTGTCGAAATCAAAAAAATTATCTGTGAAAAAACACCAGCGGTATTCACAGCCGGATCAACTGTCACTTTAAACTGTGTTGTAGCCTTAAAAAGAGCAGCAGGCAATCCGCAAATTCAGTTCGAAGTACGAGGAAAAGTTCGTGTTCAGTTTGAAGGAAGAATTCTGGACGATCATCCCCATTCTACAAATAATGGCGGACTCAGAAAGTCGAAACGACGTAAAGTGAGAGAAAAAGTTATTTTTATACTGCCTGTTGTTTTATCTCCTGGTAAGTTTATGTATGTGATGTTTCTTTCATGATTAAATAAATTTCACAAATTTATTGCAAACTTCTTAAAAGAAGTTTTCATTTCTTTCTTGTATTTGTACCTTTGACATTTCTTTTGACAAATTGTTTTAGCCAGTATTGTAACTTTATTCTTCATTCATTGTGGAAATATGCTTATAGTGATAATCTTATGTTAATTAATGACTCAATTTTAAGAATACTTTAAAAGCTAATGCATTAAGAGATGGAAATTAATTTCATATTGGTAAATATTTAAAAGCATTATTCATAGTTATTGCGCACACAGTTATAGTATTTATGATAGGAATTTTTAATTTTTTCAGCTTTCTTAGAAGCTGGAGAACATGTTTTACCAGTGACATTTGATTTACCTCACAATTTGAGAACTTCTTTTGAAAGTTCAATGGGCTCAGTTCGTTATTGGATACAAGCAAACACAATGTATCATTCCTTTGCAACTGCTCAGCCTTTTCACTTTGATATAAATGGTTTAAACTGCTTCATTCAAAGAGGCATTCCACGAGAAAAATCTTATACTGAAAATGTAAGAGGTATTTTCTTCTCAAAAAGCCCAGTAGAAATCAATTGTTCTGTGGAATGGGAAGGATGTGAGATCGGTGAAGCAGTTCCTGTTACAGTTAAAGTAAGAATGAATTAAATCTTGAACTTTGTGATCAATATATAAACATACATTGCAATGGTTTGCTTACATGTTAAAATTGCTAGAATGATTTAGTTAAGTTGTTCATCAGAATTTATGAAATTTTTATTGTGCAATAATTTTTAGGTTCAGTCAGCTCATAAAAAGATTAAATATGTAAACATTGAGTTGTGTAAAGAAGTAAGCAACTTCTTAAGAGATCCAAAAATCATTACTGCATCATCAACCAAAGTAAAGGTGACATCTGTCTTTAAAACCTTAAAATCGTGGAAAGGAAATTTTTCCATTCCTGAAAATTTACGACCAGAATCTTTTCAAATTAAAGGATTTTTTAGTGTTATGTATTTCTTGAAGGTAAGCATATGCTTCTTTTTTTACTATTCATTATTGGTAAAAAATTGATTTGTTAAATAGTTCTCAATTACTTACAAACTAAATATTTCACAATTTTTAAACTACAGTTTACAGCCATAACAACATTTAGTGACAACTTAAGTGTGTCAATACCAATTAAAATTGGGAACAAGATGCCATCAACGGAAACCTTGACATTAGACAAAAGTAAATGGAAAGAGCTCGAAGAATTTTATGAACAAACAGGATTGAAAGGATACACAAGTATCATGAGTAAGTTTTAATAACTGAAATTAATAAGATATGCATTGCATTGTGCTTAGATCAACAAAATAATAGGAAGAAAATTATGTAACTATAAGTTTGTTGTCATTTTACCACAAGTCATTTTACCACAATACAATACATGGTGCCATCCATAGAGGCCTGTAAAGTCTCATAAATCTTGAACCATTATCTTTATTTTATAGTTGTGATGCAAAATTTATATTGCACTTGTTTCATTACAAATGAAATTAGTTTTATTAACAAGCAAACACCATTTTAAACGATTTTCTTCATAAAGGTCTTGATGAACTGTATTCACCTTCAGTCGAAGATCTTTCTAATGGTGTGTTAATGAAGGCAAAATCTGAGACACAGGTTTAGCAAACAAAAAGATGGGCTTTGTAACATTTGATGGTGATACTGATGTCTTTGCAGCTTTTTAAAATCACAATGAATGCTTGTACAAAAAGATTTTTATTGTCTTATTACATGTAACAATTGTTGTTTTGAAGTTGAGACGTATGGAAGAAAATAAGTAGTTTTATGTGACATATATTTGTAGTTGTACATATATTTACCTGACTAAAGCAAAATTGTTGTAGACAAAAATTAAAGTGCCAACATTTTCATGTTTGTTTACTGTATTATTTTCTTGATGGCATGTTCTGCATTTTGGAAAATTATGATAATACCAAGGCCAATAATGTTTTGGTGAAGCGAATGTTTACAACAAAAATCCAAGGATCACTAAACACATTTAACAAATTTCAATATATATTTATGGTTTGATTTATGTTAAACAGCGAGTGAAGGTGGTATACTAATACACCAAATAAAAGTCATAAAAAAAGCTATGGAGAACTTCACTCTTGATTTCTTATAATTAATGACTTTAGTCACCCTCGTTATGACGTCACACTAATGGCGAACTACACATCGACAGACTGGCATGCACACTTGAATAACCCGAGCAAATAAAACATTAAATTATGAAACAATCATTGAAGGCGGTTTTCATATTATGTGAGGAAAGATGAAGGCGAAATTCGTGAAGATAAGATGGCATTGAGAAAAATGACACGACTTTAAACAACGGTATAAGGCTGATAATGACTTTCAATGACTGAGACATTTATTGACATTTATTATATATTTTCAAAAAATGAACTTACATGATAGTTGGTAAAACAATTTAATCTCTGTGTTTAACAACAATAAATGTTTTTATGAAGGATAATATTTATACAGTTAAAAATCAACGACAATTACTTAGTATGACCAGTTCATCTTGCCTTTCTCTTGCGTTTAATCTAAACGAAAAGAATATTGAAGTCTGTGAGTGTATAGCATGAATAAATTCTAAAATTCTTTTCAAATATTCAATTTCAGATAAGTAGGAGGGCAGGAATTCAACATTTCTCTCACAAACATGGCAATATAAGGACATATTTTGACCAAGGTAACTTATATAGAAACGATGTTTTATATCAAGTGTTCGGTCATTTTTCAAAAGATTTGTTAAATATCCGCATGTGAATGTGCATTGAAATGAAATTTTAAAATAAAACTAACGAATAAAGAAGACTGCTCCATCGGTTCTTCTTCACCGTTGCTTCGTCCAATTTTAATGTTTTTCGTATGACGTTGCACTGATTTGTGGGTCTGTACAAATAAAATAGAATGATATGATTTTATAATCTTGCAATCAACGTTTTATGCACAATCAAATTACGACACCAAAATGTCATTTCAGACGCGATGATGTTATTGTATAAGAATCATGAGTTTATTGTTGGCTTGTATGTAGATTTTGAGGTATTATTTTCAATGATAACTGCTGTATGAATCCGAAAAATAAGATAATCGAATTGCTGCATGTTTGCTTTTTATCCATGCAGCTGGTTGCGCTAATATATGTGAGCTGGTTGCGCTAATTTTTTTATTCTTAACCATTCTTGAATAAGTATTTCATTTAGTTACTTACATTTGATTCCATCAAAACAGCATCAAGCGATTTGCCGTGCATTTTATCATTGTCAACAGCAAATGAATCTTTCGACCTGAAGTAGAAAAAAATCTTTATAACGTTTGTGCGTCTATAAAGTTTATAATTATTATAATTTATACATAAAGTCTTATCAGCAACAACTTTTGGTTGAACGTAAACATATATTGATATAATCAGAACCTTTTATCAATGGGTATTTTTGAATTGCGATCAGGATGATCTTCGTGTTCTTGCGAATCCGTTGACCTTATAAAAAAATTTTTTAGTTATGTTCATGTAAGATTAATTCTTACTCCAAGGGGTTAGGGCAGAGCTAGGAATGAGGGATTGGATTAGGAATAATGCAATTTCGTTTGGGCAAACATAGTGCAAAACATTTAGCTAAATAAAATACATTTCATCGCTCTTCGTTGTCGATTTTCCCTTTCCTCGTGGCGAGAATCGAGTCGGTCTTTCTTCCTTCATAACCTTTGTTGGTGATTGTTTTCCCCTTTTTTTTCTTGCTTCATCGTTCCTTGAAGAATTTGGTCGTCTGAAACGAAACAGTTTAAAGTTTTGCTTTAAGTCGTTAAGTTACCAATATCAAAACTGCAAAAATATCTGTTGTTCTTTATGCTGTCAAAAATTGCAAGGAACTAAATGGTTTTCAACAAATTATATCAGTACATCTCACGTTGCCTAATACAAAATTACAGCGACTTAAATCATCAGTAATATGCTTCTTTAAATTATTTTTTACGACTAAGTACAAAAGTGACCTTGAGTCTTTTCCATCATCATTTGATATTTTCATTTTCTTCCTTGGAGAAAGTTTTGTATATGTTTCTTCATCGTCATCGTCGTCTTCATCTTCATACGAAATATCTTTACTAATTTCTCCTCTACATAATGGAAGGTGTAACAATTATATACAAAAAATGTAATGTAGCTAATGCAGTAATCATTACATCATGTGCAAGTGCAAATGAACATAAAGCATAATACTTTCATTTCGTGTATTTTTAAGCACATTCTACGAATGTCTCGTGTTCTGTTTCTTACCGTGGTGATGTATCATCTTCACTTGTGTCGGTATTCCCGTCATTGGCAACTTTCTTTTCCATCATGCTTAGCAAAGATTTTTGAATCTTTTTGGTCTTTGGTTTTGGATCTAATACTCTAGAAAATGTGATTGAGAATACATGAATTGAACGAGAGTTAGAACAAGGAGAAAATCGCGAAATATCAAATAACCTTTTAGATTTCTGAGGTGATGTGATTTTTTTATTGGTCGAGGAAGTTGATTTAACGCCATTTTTACTCGGTGTGATCTTGGGCACGACATTTCCTGTTTTCTACATCAAAAATATTATTTCACAATCTTGTGTAATGTAAATGGTAGAATCTTAAGTGACAAGTCGCAGCTAGTAAAATAATGGAAAGCTGTTAGGGAAGTTTAAATGGTAGAATCTTAAGTGAAAAGTCGTAGCTAGTAAAATATTGTAAAGCTCTTAGGAAATTTAAATGAAATGACCAAAGCTCAAACAATAATGGATAGTGCAGAAGAAATTTGCTGGCATTGCTCATAAACTAATGAATAATGAGAAATTTCAAGGGACATCATACAATAATGGATAATGTTTGAAGGAACTGGTTACAGAGCAATGTAGAAGTAAAACGATAGTTTGGATTTAAAAAGAAAATTCACATGTTACCTTCATTGGTGGTAAAACAAAAGATTTTGGTAAATAAGACTGATCATTTCTTTGTTTCTATAATTTAATGATCAGTATGAAATTAACGCGCGCAATAACGCATACATAGACCATGTGAACATCTATTGATCACGTGGTGTGATATACCAATACTACCATGTACACACATGTACCATCAAGTTCACCATGTTTTTCATGACTTCATGCAGATTGTACCTTATTTAATCTGGCAAATAATTTCTTCGGCAAGACTATGTTTCCCATAAAATCTTTAGGCATTGACGTTTGGGTCTGTTTGTAATCATTTAAAGTATTCTATTATAACTACGAAATTTTATTATTTTAACCACAAAATAATAATGCACTCTTACTAACTTTTGAAAGACCAACAATTATTCCGATGACAATGTCACATACCACGTAGATTGCCTATATGAAGTAAAACAAATCAATTGTGACAATACTCTGATGTTTACCATACGTATCGATAGCAACATTTTTTATATAATATATACTATATCACTAGGACTAGGAAAGGAGAAAAATTAATGGCGACCAAACTGTAAAACGCTTTATTAACGTTCATAAAGAGACTATTGCCTATGAATACTAAGCTTAGGACAACGCACTTTAGACGAGTTCTCGGTTTCATCATTTGCATCTTTTGTTTGTTTTATGTTCTCCGCTAGCTTTCTGAGAAAATTATAGTTGTCTCCACGAGCCAAGATAGATTCCATGAAAAACCACAAGAAGCTGTGCAAAATAAATGAATAAAGTGTAGAGGAACGTGAAGGTTTTTTGTTAACTTCTTGATCTCGTGCAAAAGAATCATTTCTTGTAATGGTGGGTGGATTATAGGAATCACCATTTACCAATAAGAGGCTAAAGGAATTGTCAATGAGAAACTTACTCTTTGACTGAATTCAATTCATCACTTTTGGTGTAATCATGATTGGGAAGATGCGATAGCAGGTAGATAAGATACGGCATAGCGTACTCCGGCAGAACAGATATGGAACCTTCTGTTTAATGATGTAAATAGTGAATATGTTCAATGTAAAAATACATTCTTAATCATCTTTATTATCAACGTTTCTTTATACATTATCCTGGACAAATTTTTTAAACAAACTATGCCATACAAAAGTTATTCATACAAAACTAACACATAAAAAAATAACACAAAAGCAATTATTTATACATTATCTATTCTAAAACAGAAAAACATACCTGGGGTAGTTTTCTGCCTTCGTAACCATTCGTTTCTTAATTGAATGTTCCTCAACAACATTTGCTTTGTCTAAACAATTCATTACACATGGATGGAATACAAATAAGTTGTACAAAGGTTGCTGACAGTCATATAAACTTACACGTTGTTTTAAAGCAGTTGAATCTCTACCATAAAACGAGAAAAGAGCAAGATACTCGAGTGGTAAACTAAATGAGTCAAGTCCTTTTGATAACTTTGTAGCAAATGTTTGTCGAACATCTGTACACTTATCCTACAATGGAACACAAACATAAGACAAAAATGGCGATTTATCTCGAATAATATATCTTTAGTATATCTTACTGAATAAAAAGCAAGCAAAAAAGGGTAGCTCAAATAAATTCAATGTTTTATAAGAAAACATTGTACATATGTGTATGCGCGGGGTCAGCAAAAAATGTACATATGGGTATGCACGGGGTCAGCAAAAAATGTACATATGTGTATGCACGGGGTCAGCAAAAAATGTACATATGTGTATGCACGGGATCAGCAAGAATTGTACATATGTGTAGCTATAACGAAGTGAGGGAAGTTTAATATTAAGGAAAATTTAAGTACTAAATTGATGCCCCTCTTACAATGTAAGCATGTAGTAGAAAAATTTTTTAGAATTTTTACGCATTTATAAGAACAGTTACATTATATCTACTATGCATGTATATTACAAAAATTATTGTATTAGAACTACTAACCAAGCAATAGAACAATAATTATTAGATTTGTTTTTTTTCTTTAATGAGAACTTTGAAATACGCATGTATTTTACCGTAACAATTGTTGTCAATAATTGTAAACTCTTCATATCCAAATATTCATGATAAGCTGACACACAAGCAAGCTTTAATAATCCACAGGCAGCCGTCAACCTTATGTGAGACATTTCACAAGGTCTGTAAAATAAAACATTTAACTCATATCTTACTTTAGGTAGAACTTCTCACTTCAGGCATAAAGCGTTGCTGTAAAGTGTTCAGTATATTCAGAGTTCAAAGCTCTACTGTTAACAAAAATTCAAAGTACATTTTTAAATATTCATTAAAAAAATAAAAATTCTGTCATAGTAGGTAGATACATCCTCTATAATTACCGAATTCTTTGAGAATCATTAATATCTCCAGCGAGTTTTATCGCTTTATTTAACATTGCGACAACAGGTTGAACTCTTTCCTGGTTTGCATCAGCTTCACCGCGAAGCCAGTTTACGATTATCTTTAATCCTTGAATCTAAAATAATATAAACCATATATGGAAGCATCTTTGTCATTTACGTCATTCCAACTAAAATCTACCATATGATAAACAAAAACTTTATGTTTACGAACGCTGAAACTCCTTTCATACCTTTGCTTTCCCTTCTTTTGACAAGTCTTCCTTTTTACACCATAAAGCACCTCGTTTAACGACATTTCCCTTGAAAATAAAGGATGATGTTGCAAATTTTAACCTTTCTTTTTCATCGCATACAGTTTAAGAAAATTTACTGACTCGATCTTTCAATAACAACTCCTTTAAAACAAAATCTCTCACGACAGCCGTATGATAAGGTTCAAATATTTCTGGTGCGTGAAGAGCAATCTCGCTAATACAATACAACGTCGAGATGATAGAAGTTGATTCAAATTTAAGTTTTTCCACACAATTCTAAATGAAATGACAGCAAAGACACAAATTAGAAGAGACATGTTCACTTTAATGAAGTGCCATCACCTTTAATGCTCGGTTCATATTACGTACGATGTGACATGATTATTCATGGAACGTTTACCTCCATAATTCTTTGAAAAATATTTGATGCATTTGAAAATGTTTTAGCGATGATTCGAGCAGTAAGCTTTACTTGCGATGGTTTTCCTTTTGTAAATATCTTCAACAACGCTTGTTGAAAGTGACTGAAGTTAAATGAATTTTTAAAAATTACACATAAAAGCCGAACTTTTCATTTCGAAAATTCAGGGTTTGTAATTCATGAAACAAATGAATCATGGTGTGTCATTATATTTATACTAAAACCAAGAACAATAAAAAACAAAAAAGAAATTGATTTTGGACTTACGAAGATAAAGTTGAATCAATTTCTTCGATATCTTTGCCAATCAGTACAAATATCCGCAAAGCAAAACCAACTAATGAAATACGAAAATTTACGATGGCAAAAATTTAATGAAATTTATTTTTCAAAAGAATAACAACCTGTTACAACAGAAAGATAAACTTTTACATACTAACCATAAAAATCATTTTTCTTTAAATAAATCAGGAGATTTTCAAATATCAAAGGAAATTTGAAAGCAGCAGGAAAATAGGTGACACAAGTCTAAAATCCATTGAAAAGTCAGAAATCAAAACCAGTTTTGAATTTTTCAGTTTATAAATGAAACTATGCCAACAAGAATTACTTAGAGTACAACAACAAATGGGTCAGCAACATTCCTATTGGGTGACAACCTTGAATTTACACCTAACAAAAGGTCGTAGTACTGAACGTACCATAAGTAGATCAAACTTTTTCCCCTCAGTGACGTCATTTCCTATAGAACTGTCACTATCAAGATCCTCATCATCTTGGGAGTCGATATTTACGGTATCTGTAGCCAAGGTAACCAGTTCTTTAGCACATGATTTATCAATTAGCAAAGGTGCCGCTCTGTCTAAGATGACTTTAATGGTATCATACAATGGATTCTTTGCACCAAACTTTACAACAACTTCTTTCTACATATGAAACAAAATCACTTTTTGTAAAACTGCTATGCTTTATGACCATTATGACTAACTCAGCGTTCTTGCATTCTCCGTTTCAGAATACGTCTGTAACCGTAGTGAGATGGTCTCCAAATATATATTTACCACAGCTTCTGTGACTTTTGAACAGTCTTGTCCAGTCTCGAAACATGTCTTCAATGATTCGAATAACTTTTTGTCAGTAAACTTTTTCACCAACGATTTTAGATGTTGAAGTGATTTCCCAGGTTCTGGAAGAATTGCTAAAAATCGCAAATGAAAAAGTTAGTATTATGTTATTTGAATGGCCTATGTTAGATTGCCTGAGTAGGATTATCCACATATGTCGGATTACCTGTGTTGGATAACTTATGTCGGGCTACTTATGCGGGGTACCTATGTTGGTTACCCAGTCGGATTACCTAAGTCAGATTACCTAAGTATGTCAGATTACCTAAGTATGTCAGATTACCTAAGTATGTCACATTACCTAAGTATGTCACATTACCTAAGTCACATTACCTAAGTATGTCACATTACCTAAGTATGTCACATTACCTAAGTATGTCACATTACCTAAGTATGTCACATTACCTAAGTATGTCACATTACCTAAGTATGTCACATTACCTAAGTATGTCACATTACCTAAGTATGTCACATTACCTAAGTATGTCACATTACCTAAGTATGTCACATTACCTAAGTCACATTACCTAAGTATGTCACATTACCTAAGTATGTCACATTACCTAAGTATGTCACATTACCTAAGTATGTCACATTACCTAAGTATGTCACATTACCTAAGTATGTCACATTACCTAAGTATGTCACATTACCTAAGTATGTCACATTACCTAAGTATGTCACATTACCTAAGTCAGATTACCTAAGTATGTCACATTACCTAAGTATGTCACATTACCTAAGTCAGATTACCTAAGTATGTCACATTACCTATGTTGGATTTCATATGTAGTTTTATTTACATGGATAATATCACCAACTCACCTGCAATTCCGGTGATTTTTTCTGTCAGCAACTTCCTAGTATGTTCAGTCTAGAAACAACCATCATATAAATTATTCCCAAGGTATATTATAAGCAAATTCACACCGTTGATACAGTAAATCTGGTGCAACCAAACTACTCCAGTTGATATCTTTGGTACGCAGTCAGCAGTATATTATTTCTGTTTGTGATTTACAAATGTGCAAAATACTTACGTTAATATTTTCATGTTCTTCCCACAATCTTAGAACATCATTCATATCTGAACGTAGACTAAATAAAACAGCAGACATCGAAACATTTTAAAAAATATTTATTTCGACAATAAAGCAGAAAAGATGAGCTAAAATACCTGGCTTGAGTTTTAAACATATGGTTGAACGACCTACGTACACAAAAAGTTAAAATTTCCAATATAATCAATTTGAAAAAAAATTATTGAAAAAGAACATTTTTCACACACAAATGTAGTCACCTAATTGCATTGTCATCCAAAGTTAGATAAGAGTCAAATAATCTTCTCATTCTTTCTTTTTTTGGTAAAGAAATAGGCACAAGACAGCCAAGGAATACACGTTCAACATGAATACTAAACAAACAAGCAAACGTCAACATGGCCTACAGATGAGGTTTCTACTTCATCTGACGACTGACAAGACAAATGTAGTATCGAAAAATATTTGAATTCTTTTAAATTTGCTTGATTTAACAAATCTCCATTAAGTCGTGTATACATTTTTTTACATTTACGTACCGATCTTCAGCTAAGTTGTTGTAATAACAATGTAAAATTTTAGTCGGAATCCATGACATCTTTTTTGCATCGCTTTCACTTATATCACCCCTGAAATCATAATGATTGGTAGTAAATGGCAAATATTGTTTATGGAATGAAATATTGAAAAGCAAAACTTACGAGGAGATTTTTTTGTACAATCTTCCGAGCGCCATCATTGTCTCTTTTCTGACCTCAAACTACAGCAAAACACATTAAAAAGTAAAAAGAATAACCCAGGGATGTATAAAATTATTTTTATCAAAGTACCTTTCGATCACGTAAACGTTCTACAAGAACTTCATAAAGCTATACCAAAAGATAAAAGTTTTTGAACAAGTTGCATAATGAATCGTTGACAAGATAAAGAAAGATGAAAGAGTTGGTGTAAAAGAAAATAAATCTATGCATACGTATACCTCGTCCGGTATATTATTAACATCTACAGATGCAGCTTCACAAATGGCATAAACAACCTCCAAACGCACTCTTTGTTCTGGGTCTCTATGTCGATGAAGTAACTTTTCTGTACAAAAGAAAAAATCAAAGGACAAAAGCCCGCGTTTTGGATACTTAGATACACCTGTGTGTACCTGTTATATCAGACGTCAACTCTGGATGATTCACAAGGATACACTTGATGTGTTGTGTCACTTCTACTCTTACATCGGTTTCGATATCCACAAATCTAGCACGTAGAAAATATGTTATTATGCATATGGTAATAGAAGTTCGTGTTTTTCATTGGTAGTTATCACTGGCTGGATATAACGATATATTTTTAACTAGTTTACACTTAACGCTGTTGCACTAATCAAGTCAATCATGAGCAATAATGTTGTCCACTGGATTTTTCAAAACTTTTGAAAAGTGGTTATAGTCCCTTTACTTTAATGAGACTTCGTCAGTTTGTAATTTGGAGAGCAGAAAATCAACACTTAAGCAACATGCCCACTAAAATACGAATACACACACCTGTTGAGAAATGAATGCCATAGTAGTTTATGAGATTGCGCTAAATTGGAGTCTTTATCTGAGAACATCTTTCCAAGTAATGCTACAACTTGGATTCTGTCATTTTTCTCTAAACTCTAAACAAACGCACAAAACGATCAAGTACAGCTACATAAAGGTGTTATGGAACTGTGATATATGGAATAATGCAACGGTAAATGTTGACTTACTGACAATGAGTTTAAGAAATTATTTATTACACGAATAGAAATTATTAATTAGAATATTCGATGAAATTCTGCCTCACGGCCCTCAACCTAGTCGTTACCTTGATTTTACAGTCAAGTTGTGGCAAAACGGAAAGAAGAATAGACGGACAGACTTTGTAAAGCTCGAAAATAATATCGTAGATAACATCTTCCAAACTAGACTCTGATGCTTTGTCAAAAAACAGCGAATTGTTGAAAAACTGGAAAAAGAATAGTTTCACTGTTAGTTCACTGTACATAACGAACAAGGCCAAATTGAAATCATTTACCAGTAATTGTCGAAAAATCAAAAACAGAATATTTTTATTAATTTATTAACGTTCTCACCAGCAGTATATGTGGCTCTAAGGAAGATGATGATCTCTCAATTAATGAACACGCCAACTCATACGCAGCATGATTTGTCAACTAACGATGAAAAACGTCAAATATAAATATTACATCAAGAAACATGAATACTTTATTTTCTATATTAAGTCAGTTTTTTCACATTTTTACCACAAACTAATGTACTTGTATAGAAGTTAAGCACATTTTTTCCTGTAAGTTTTTCTTGAAGTGGGTACTTGGTAAAAGTGAAGTTAAGCAGTTAAAACTGTTAAGAAAATTGTTTTATTTGAAGTCGTAAAACAAACCAAAAAATGGAACATAATTTTCTTCAAGCCAACCTTATTTGGACTGACAATATTTTCCAAAATGGTGTCAATAAGTCCTGGTGGTAGGGTTACAGACTCGGCAATAATGCTTGACAAAATGTCCAACATGAAATTTTTTACTTTATTGCTGTGTTCGTCTCTGAAAACAATAAATTGTACATTAAAAGTCATTGTAAATACCTCCATTTACAGCCATACAAGAAATCATACTATACCTCACATTCTTAAAAAAAACTGTAAAACACTTAGTAATGAGGTCGGTAAACTGCATTTCAACACACAGAATAAATATCTTCACTTTGGAAATGGTCTAAAATTTTGATGAAAGCAAATTGATTTTGCAGTATTCATTCTAAACTCAGTAGAATTATAATCAAGATGTACCTCTAAAAGGTTGAACAATTTTTCATAAGATATACCCTTTTCGCCTTTCGTTTTGGCATTTTTTAATCCTTCCAGTTGAGTGATGATCAAGTTAAATATTGTCTTCACAATAAAAACAAACAAAATGATTTGACAGTTGCTATCTAGCTTAGTTTAACAATATGTGTTCTCTGAAAATTATGTTTTTCCTTTTACCCATAGTTGCTTTTCATCATAAGGAGCATTTGGTGCATAAATTCTGAAAACATTTGCCAAACAGCATGCGGCATAAAATCGAATGTCCTTGTCTGAATGCCTCAAAATAAATGGTTTGGCCAAAACTGTCACTGTTCCATGATAATCTTCAAGGTTTTCTCCTTGTTCAGCATCACTTAGTTTTTGTGCTATTTTCTTAAAAGATAAAGTGAGTGTTTTGAACTCATGAGTGTTGTTACATGCTTATACATGTTGATCATCCAGGTAGTATGCAATAGTCACTGGTAAGGATGATGAAACATCCTTTGACAAAAACACTAACAGCCCATTTCAAAGTAAGTGCATTCATTCAGTTTGCACTTACGATCTACATTGCAGACCTGTGTTAACCTAAAGCCTTCACCAATACAATGGTACAACCATCGTGATATTTCAAAATGGATCATACTCATTTGTAAATTTTGGTCTGAAGGCCATTATTGATGTATGACATTTATTAATATATGTCAACTATTGAGCTGAGTCAGATGGCTTACATCTTAATATCAACATTTGCTTTTATAAATCAGTAAAGATGGATATAAAAATAGGTACATCCTGTGCACAAAGATGTAAAATCAAAAAGAGGCAACATGAAATGGCATTACACACAAATAGTAATTGAAAAAATAAGATAACTGTAAAATTGCAAATGCTGCACAGCCTGCACTCATTTTTAATCTGATTGAACATTTAAAAAGTATTTTACTTACTTTCAAACGCTTTAGCAATTCATCTTTTGTCAAATTTTCTGCAAGATGTTTGTTGCCTGATCGTTGAGGTCGTGATGGTGAACTCTGACTAGTTGAGGATTCCTTTTCATTAGGCATAGTACAACTTTATCATTGAAAGAGCAACAAATAATTATTTTTTCTTATAAATCCATCCAGCAACTCAGTAAGTAAAACTAAGCATTTGAAATTAATATTCTTTTATTCAAGTCTTGATGTGTTAAAAAATGAAAATGTGGAGTTTTTGCACAACCTTTCGAAGACAACCTTTCGTGGCGCGAAATTTTACTTTTCTTCCACTTACAATTCAGTTGTTTGTTCACTGGTCACATGTACTGTGGGCGCATAGTCTCAAACTTCTCTCGCTGGTTTTGTTCAACAGCGGGGTTCGACTTCGTCTGCTGAAAAACACTGGCAAAAAGGTAAAATTGAGTAGATTGGAGGGAGAAATATGTTTATTATAATGAGTATTTCGCCCGTTTTATTGCAACTGAAAATAGCCAGCTGCTTTAAATTTCAGGTGCAGATTAACTCCATGTGTGGATCTACCGCTACGTAGATGTACAGCGGAAGACGAGTTCTTGATTCAGAAGACTAAACGCCGATGCTGAGATTCTGGTCAAATATTTAACTTATTTCATTCTCACGTACGAAAATCATTAAATAAATTCATTGATAAAAAAAAGGTAGAGGCAAAAACGCAATGAATATTTTATCCTGGTTCTTGGAGTTTAAAGAAATATTTAAATAATGCATGAACTTGCTCGTCGTTGGTAGCGCAGTTTTACATGTGTTGATTAGTATGTCCATACAATAATTTGCTATTATTTGAATTAAGTGTTGAAATTATAAAATGAGCATTTGTGAAGTATTTTATAAGTATTCACATAACTGTTTGATTCAAAATGAAACTTCAGTACCTAGTTTTATAGTCAATGAATCAGGTATTTCAAACAAATTTATCCATAATTAAAGTTAAAAAATTTTGATTTATGGTATTGTAATTAGTGGGTTTTTCAATACTCACACACTCTATTTTTTACTGTGCATGTTTCAGCATCAACAAAAGAATGCCACCCAGGGGAAAAAGAAAAGCAACAAAGGACACTTCATCAGCGAAGGAAGCAAAACTGCAAAAGACAAGGTTGTTTTGTTAAGTTTGTTCATTTCAGGATATGATTTTGAGCATTGACAGAAATCTAATAAATTTACATTACATGTAATCTATTTTAAATCAGTGAAGTGAGCCATAAAAGAGAAGAACTTTCAGTCAAGACATTCTCCATGAAAAAGTGCAAACTTTGGTTTGATGAATATGCTGGTATAAATACAAAAAACTAGTATTGACAATTATTTGAAAAATATTTTAAGAATTTTTAATAATAAGTTTTCATGATATTTTTAGATGAGCCTGATTTAATTGGTCCTCAAGGTATTCAGCGTTTATGTAAGGATTTGCTGTTGGACCCCGAGGATGTGAGTTTTGATTTTGAAACAATCAGTTGGTTACACAATTATCATAATCAACAAATGTATTTCTATGTTATATTGTCTTTTAGATAGTTTTGTTTGTTGTCACTTGGCAATTAAATGCAGAAAATCTTGGTTTCTTTAAGTTCAGTGAATGGTCAAAGGGAATGGCAGTTATGCAGTATGTCAGAAAGTTCTTTGCTTCATGTTATATTGCTTGAATGCTTTTTCTAATGGAAACATTTATTGGGGGTAGGGTAGAAAATCCATCCAAGTTGGAGTCATGGAGGTGGGAGAGGAGAGAAAATCTATCCTAGTTGAAGGGACGGAGGGAGGGTAGAAAATTCATCCTAGTTGAAGTGATGGAGGGGTTAGGGTAGAAAATCCATCCCAGTTGGAGTCATGGAGGGGGAGGGAAGAAAATCTTCCTAGTTGAAGGGATGGAGGGAGGGTAGAAAATTCATCCTAGTTGGAGTCATGGAGGGGGAGGGAAGAAAATCTATATCCTAGTTGAAGGAAGGGTAGAAAATCTATCCTAGTTGGAGTGATAAAGGGGGGAGTAGAAAGTCCATAGTTGGAGTCATTGAGGGAGTTGGGTAGAAAATTCATCCTAGTTAAAGAGATGAGAGAGGGAAGTGAATGCATCCTACCATACTCTATTTCTACACCTAATACTTCTTTCTTTAAAGTCAATTTAGACTAATTTTTCTTGGAATTCATCTAAGGAAAATGAAATAAGTTATAAAAAATTATGTTTGCACATTCAAAATCACTATTTTTTGTTCATCTACTGTGATGACAAAATGTAGTGTTTGTAAATTTGTTGTTTGGCATATTTTACATTATTCCTTAATCTGTAGTTTTTGTTATAGGTGTGATTCAACAAAGAAGCTTCAATCAAAAATTAAGTCTTTAAAAAATTTGATAACGGATCCAGTTATGTTCAAGAAAATGTATCGTTTTACATTTGATCTTTGCAGGGTATGTATGTTGCATTGTCTCGTCAATTTCCATTGTTTTATCTTGTCTTATAAATGTTGTGTTTTTATTTATTGTTTTAGAACAAGGATCAGCGTAATCTAGATATTGAAATGGCTTTAGAAATGTTAAAACTATTACTTAGTGGTTCATGGAGTCTTTTAGATCTCTTCATTGAATTTATAAAGGTTTGTTTATTATTTAAATTTTTGTTGATGGCATTAAGAGATGTCACAAAGGAGCATGGGAAGGTTTTGCTCCCCTTATAAAGTAAAAGTGATTTATATTTTAGTCAAGCTAGGGAGGGTGTGCTAAAAACACATGTCTAACAGTAGCAAAGTCAGCCCATTTTTTACTCCTACAATGCAAACATTATTAATCATTCAATGGAGAAAAATGGATGCAATTAGTTTTCTAAAGAAATGAAAAGTGATTTTGCTGGGAAATTTGCATTTTAGGAGAAAAAAATCGGGTTGACTTTGCTACTGAAAGCTAATTATTTCTTACATAAAGTTATATCTCTGCGTAAATGAATGAATAAACTTTATCTAACCATGCTAATCCCATCAACAGAAGTTGATTTCCACCTGGGCCATATGCAAAATATACACAAAATGAATTTTAGAATTATTTACAAAATCAAAAATTTACAAAACTAAGCTAGATTTATAGGATGAAAATACATGAAGGAAACAATGAGTTATTGTTTTACAATGAAAACTAGTATTTACAGATGCATGTATCAATGATCTATATGAGTGGAAATTTTCCTTTTTATTTCATAAGGAATAGAGTTCCAAATTTTCATCCCATTGTACATGAAGCGTAAACGTTAACTGCATATAAATATCATAAATTTTAATTTGAAACATCAATTTGAACAATACCTATGGTTACATACTTAAGGTTTACGTTTTTAAGGTGTACGTTTAGTTCATTATAAATTATTACGTAATTGTGTATTGCTGCTTGCTCATAAATGTTTGCAAAATTACAACAGTACAGTTAATCAATTAATCCATAATAATCGGATTATCGTTTTACGGTTAATCCATTATAAATGAAACTGAAGCCAGAGGGAATTCAATTTTTCAAAAATTCTACTCACGATGTATTTTTCTGAAGTTTGTGGTAAATTTTGGTAGGTTTATTTTTGAACTTCTTTACAGCAATCCACTTACAAGGTGATCAATAAAGATCAGTGGTGTAATATATTGGAATTTAGTCGAGCTGTAAAATCAGATTTATCCAATTACGATGTTGATGGTGCATGTAAGTTCCCTACACAACTATTGAAACTATATAAACACGATACAAAAGAAAGTCCCCCCCCCGGAGATCTATTGTTATAAATTCTAAATGAATGAATGCCATGTAAATAATGGATCACTCGTGCTTTAAGAAAGGATCTATCGTCTCTTGTATTCAAAAATTTTCAATTTCAAAATTAACTTTAGTGATGAGCATAGCTACGTGTATACGTCGCATTTTTGCTCTCAGCTGTTTTCTATCGTTGTTTCCTTTTATGTTTGTTTTTCTAAAAATAAATCAACAACAATCGTTGGTAAATATTTTTTTGTCTACTTTTGATTTTTGTCTCATACATGACACTTATGGATGTTTTTTAGGGCCAGTAATGTTGGATGAATTTGTTGAATGGCTAAGGGATCGTAAAAAGTTGGAAAACTAATTTCAATAATAGAATACGTTTTATACCTTCGTAATTTGACGTCTTGGCAAAATGGCAAAGACTCCCGAGGTATTGGTAATTAAACGTATTTGTACAAAATATAAAATGTATAAAGGCAAAATTTTTCTTTAGATTCATATATTTATTTAACAATACTTATAATTCTATGTACTGTTTTACACGTTGCAAAATATATTTTACTCGAATTTCACAAACATCTAACGTTTGCTTAAACATATAAATGTTGATGGCATGAATTTGTCTGGATTTGCTCTTGGAGATGAACTCTAAACTTTTACTTCTATTAAAATGTTTTGAACGCCTGACTTATGCGTTACTTCCCTGTCGTTTAACACCCTTTATTTTTCCTAGCCAGCCTGTTTTTTACTTCTAAAACACAAATATTTTTGTTAATTTTCATAGCCTCTAGCGAAACCAGCCGGTTTTTTACTTGTGCAAAACAATTGTTTTGTGTTCATTCTCTGGATAAAGAATGAACACAAATTTAGGCCTGATTCGACATGGTTGTTTGAATGGGTAAAAACTTTAGTTTAAACAACTGATATTTGCACTATATACCACGTTTTAATAAACTCTTATCAGGCAAAACAGTCCTTTACCGAGAAATATCGGACCTTTGTATTTTTTAAAAAATCGTGGTGATAAATTTGTACTGGAAGGCATTTTTATTGCTTAGTTATTAACAACAACAATTTAATTGCATATTTAATAAAATGTACAAATATATAATTAAGTTTAAAGATTGGTAATCCAGGCATATTTAATGTATAAAAATGAGAGTTACTCCGGATTTTTGTAACATTATTTTATTGAGCTTTTGACTCGGTACTTCGAGCCTTCATTAGAAAGATGTTGGAAGTTATAAATAAATAGATACATACATTGACGCCATAGGTCAGGTGATCATGTCTTAAAGATCACGTGACAAGTATATACAATATCGTCGTTAAAACATTTTGCGGTCATTACTGTGATGAAAAATACAATGCCGCGCGAATGTCATTCAAAATTTAAGTTCTAGTGTGCTTGATGCTTTATGCTTAGACATATGAACAGTTTTTGAAGTTGATCTACATGAACTTCTTTCAAAATGACCATCAGCATAATAACAACTCTTTACATAGTTGCTTCAACTGTGTAATTGTACGCTCGTACCTATTTTTTCCAAGTATTTTCCACAGTTAAAAATTTTTGAGAAATTGTGCGTAAGTTTATCTGCTCTCTGCTCACGTTACTGACATATTTTGATGGTAAGTCTTAAAATGTCATTGTTGTTGATGTGCAAAAGAAACAACGTTTATTTGTTCATGATTGAAATTTAAGAGATTTTTCACGGCATAGTTATTAAATTGGCACTGCAAAAAGAAGAAATATGCGATGAAATACTTGGTGTTAAACGAATACAGTGGAGTGACTGAAGGCAACTTAAAGTACATCACAATTGGTCTACGTCGATTGAAGCTTTTGATATGCAGGTATGAAAATATCCAAAATCTTATTTAGTTTTTTCCATAGCGGGTACTTAACGCTGTAAAAAATTAAATCTACCATGAATTTGTTTAAAGTTTATAAAGGTCTTGATAAAATATATATTTACTTTTATAAAACAATCGAATTTGATCTCAGGTATTTCAGTTGTTGTATTTTGTATTAATTGTTTTCAAAATTGCTTTTCAGCCTTAGCAATCGTGACCATTATGATAACAGGTATAGTAAAGCCTTATATTTCATATACTACATAAAACCACGCGTAGATATTAGAGTTGAATGACATTCATTTCAAACCTGATTAAAAAAGCGTTTGAAAATCAAACAATATCTTGTATTTTTTTCAAGGACATAGCTATCTCATGAGTTTGGTTGTGCGATGGAAATTTATTTATAATTTATTTATGATTTATTTTATTTATTTTTTACAGTTAGTAAATATCGAAAATATTTACATCGCACAACCAAAAAACTCGCGGGCTGGCCACATTACTGTTTTTTGTCAATATTTAATGTATTGATAATCTTTTATTACAATTTTATAAATAAAGATTAAACTTCTATCATTTTATATAGAACTGCTAGCCAGAATATATCTCCCAAGCAATGGTAAGTCTTTTTGTTCCATGCTTATTTAAATTATGATTGCATACAGGGGGAAATGTGTGTACTGTTAGAGAGTAATTAAATACGGCTCGTCTCGCAAATATTTTTTGTTTTCATAATTTGCTCATCAACAAAATTTGCTCATAACTACATCACCTGCGTTTAAAGAAACTTATTAAAGTGTTTCTTCTGTTTTATTTTTGAAATATCTAGATTATATTGGCTGTTACCGAGATTCTAAAGAAAGAGGAAGAGATTTACCACATCTCCCCAACTCCCATAAACGAAACAGAGGCGATGTGTTATCGTGTGTGTTAAGTTGTGCTAGGTCAGGCTTTCGTTATGCAGGACTTCAGAATGGAAACTTGTGCTTTTGTGGCAATAGATTTGGTCGTTACGGTCGTGTATCAGATAAACATTGCAACATGAAGTGTTTACCCTCCGTTGGTGAACAAATACCAGCTGTAACTGAAGATGTGTTCGATTCCTGTGGCGGAAAATGGGTGAATTCTGTTTATTCAGGTTGCGTAAAATTACCACTTTCGTTGACATACTGTGCAACTCATTTGAACTTTTCCTAAATTAGCTACGTTGATACTGAAATTCATCCCATTGAAATTTTATTATTAAAGAGGAAACATTCTCCTTTTTTTGCACCTTGCACGATTCGTGTCATCAAATAAGAAAATTTCAAATCAATAAATTCAAAACTTTCGGCTGCAGATTTTATATTTGGCATTTCTGCTATATGTACACAACGAATAACTACATACTTTTTTAACAGGAAATCGTAATTAAAAGTTTTTTAAAATTAGCATATTACAATATTTCGCTTCATAAGCCTAGATAAATGGCGAGGTCTTTGTAAGCTCTGTTTTTGCATCATTTGTTAGTGATCGGCATATGTGCTTCCGAATTATGCGATCTATTCCACCATAACAATCACACGTTTTGTCAAAAATATCGTGAACCATTCATCATTTGTCTTTTGTCATTATTTAGTTCGTGGCATTCAGTATCAAGAAGCAAAAGACGTTTAACAAAAAAATGCAACATCAAGTCACATTTGTGAAAACTTTGGTTGTAGAAATTCTTCTATAGTCTTGTTGGCATCGATATCATCAATCATCTCTGCGTCTTCGTAAGAACAGCTGAACAACTGGGGAACATTTTCACAAATATTGTATTTAATTTCTGCAAAAGTAACGTAAGACACAAGTGTAACTATCTTCACTATTGTGCAAAATTGACATAAGTTAAACTAACCTTTCCTTGTTCCTTGAGAATCATACTCTAATGGATCGTCAGACCATGTAAACCATGCATTGTGCCGCAAAGACGACGGATGAAATTCTGTTGCAAATTGTACATTATCGTATTGTTTCTAAGAAAAAATGAGGCAAAACTTGTGAATATATCTCACTGTAACACTATTCATATGTTTAATTTCTTATTTCCTCAAAACTCTTATTGATTTCTCAACTGTAACTCAATAAATATATACTCTATATGTTAACACTGCTGGTGTACACTAGACTAAAAATTTCTATCACAGGAATATTTTTTCACTATGCACGTTACATATACATACGTCTTCTGAAAAATGTTTCTTGCTAAGATAAGGTGATTCTTCGTTAAATTTCTCTGTAAAAAAAAGCATTAATTAGGCAACAAAATAATGGCTTGCATATGTATGTTCATTTACGTTTCCTGTGAACTAAGTTCTTATGTCTAATATACCGTATCAATAAATATTCCATCTGACAACTTATAATCATAAACCCTTCGAATGTTCGTGTCAAGGAAGTACATAAAAGTTTAACATTATTTAGAAATGTTGTGGCAAATTATATTTAAGAATTAATCATTCCTAAGTCATTTTTTTAAATCAAATTTCTTAAAACCTTCCTGGAAGCGGTGATCGAACAGCTTCCGCTGAAATTGATAAACTTTTTTTGCATTTTGTCCTTTGGTCTTGCTTAAATTCTTGAGCTCAATCACATCATGAAGTGCATTCAAAGCACATCGAAATCTTGATTTCCAAAGTTTGGCATTTTTGTGATCATCGCCAGGCTGATATCTGTTCTTGTACAAGGCCCATTGTTTGAAAAGATGCGAGTTATTTTCCCATTTCCATCCTTTGTTTCTGCCATGTAGCCAAGAAATAGAGAATATTCTCTCTTCTCTATTTTCCCATTGCAATCCTGTGGTTTCATTAAGCTCGAGCAATGTAAGTAGCCAATCTCTTAGTTGAAGTCTACCATCCACCATATCTCATGGAAAACGGAAATATACAAAACATTTATTTGTCTTCGATATACAACTGATTGACTTGACTAACGTTAGGCGCGACGCAAACTAGACATGCGATTGTAATTACTCTGTAAAAACATTTTTAACTTTCTCTTTCCTTATTCTAAATTTAATGGTTCTGTACATCGGCTAGGTGGTCTTTAAATACATCTTTTATTGTCACAAATCATGAATGCTCACCGCGAGCACGTGTTTGTGAAAGTAAAACATCCTGTATATAAGATACTATGTTTAGAAATTTGTCCACACATTGATAGTCACTAAATTATTACGCCATCATACTGCTGATTCTTGCCAACTTATTTGTGGAACTACGTTATAATTCAAAAGAATAATACAAAGTACTCATTATTTAATTTCAAGTTTTTGAACACATCTTCCTACTCATTTCTGTTGATACATAATTACATCATATAATTATATTTTCATTTGTCTTCCGGTTTTCTATTAAGAGTTCCGTTTCTGTGCTACAAGTCTGCACTTTGCACGGTCATTACATTGCCATTCATAAACTTTTTGTCATTGTTTTGAGCATGCGAATTGCAGAACAAACATTGAGAGATTTTTGCACTTTAGCATATTACTCTCAAAAATTATAAGTATTTTCTTTCTTTAGGTTTAATCAATATTAGCCGTAGTTGAAAACATTAATTGTGAGGCGATGATTAAAAAAATCACTACTAAAACCAAAGTCACTGATTACGGCAATAAGCAATAACATGTTTGAGTTGAGCACAGTGCACTTGAGTTTACACGATAGCGTAGAATGTAGGATGAACATCACCGTTATTTTCTTGGAAAAGAATTTAACACCTCTACCGGTGATTCACTACATTAAAGACATAATTGTTTGTACTGGGCAATAGTTGTAGTCTGATGATGTTTTATATCTGACCATGGTTAAGGCATCTTATTCTATAAACGTTATTTATTCCATTATAATTTTATTTTGTGGATATTCTGCCTTGAACGTAAAATCTAAACAAAATTTGCATGTATGAACTAAAACAGTACTTCGATAAATGTGTGTGTCGCGTATGTACTTTACGGCCATTTAAGATTACAACCCGCCGAACGATATTCCTTGAATTAAAAATCTAGAAGTTGATCGAACCGAACCGCGAGAAAAACTTGAAGAAAGTAATTATTTTCATAGTTGTCGCATCTGCCACAATGCGTACGCAACAATGCAGAAAATCTCATTAGTTTGAATATGGAAATTTAAAATGAGCATTCGCAACAATTGTGTTTTGTGAGATATGGCGCGTACACAATTAGAATCCTCAGAATTCGTGGTATATATGATTCCACGAACTAATTTGAATCATCTATTTATAAACGTTTCATATACAAAAATTATTCTTCTTTCTACTGGATTTTTATTTTTTATGATTTCAAAAACCTTACTTTAGCATTCGCAGGTAATAATTAAACGTATCACAAAATTCGTATCAACCCTGCTTTCGGCAAATTTATGCAAGGTTGATCATTTAGCTGAGCTAGTAGCCTATTCATTGTAATGGATATAAAGTATATATAAAGCTTTTTAATGTTGTAACTACTATTCTTGGATCAAACAGATAAACACTATTGACAACACTACAAAAAAATCATGAGTCATTTAATGAGAACCATTTTCAGAAGGTCTCGTATTCTATGCATGAGTCATGTCCCTAAATTGTCGATTTTGTTCATAATTTATTCAGTTGATTTGTAATTTTTGTTCATAATTTGAAGCATTTTTTGTGTAAAGTAAAAATATCCCCACTGACATGTCGGTGCATCTATTAAAATCGTCAATGTCATTATTCCAAAAGGATGATTTCACTGCAATGTTTTAATTAGCTTGTTTTATAAATGTTGTTTGAAAACCCTGTTCTTATTCATGATACTTGATAAAACCGAGCAAAATTTTTATTTCGCCTCGTAAATGGTTCAATATAAAAATTATATTAAAATGGTTAATGACTGCATCTTATTTGTGCTGTCACGTTTGTGCCTCAGCTTAAAGTTGTAAAACTGTTGGAATCACATACATATTGACCGAATTCAAATCAAATAAGTAAAATTCAATACGTCTACGAATCTTAGCACGACAACATAGAGTAAGAAAAAATTTTCATAATTTGTTCCATTTTGTTAAGTGTTGTGTATTATATAACAGTTGTTTTATATAATAAAGGTTACACCTGAAACTCTGGTCATACTACTACTAACAATCCCATTGCAACGTTATCTTAAAGTTTTTGAGCAAAGTATTTGATCTGATACCATATTAGGCAGGCTTAACACTTGTGTCTTGTGATGTTTATGCTTGCTTTTTTCTTTTTCTTTAGTAATTGACAAAGAAGTGATGTACCACCAAACAATGAAATAGAAATAGGTATTTCTATTTCAATGTATGTTTACTTTTGAGAGTACTTGTTGCAGTCTGCCGGTACTCTATCTACAATTCTCTCTTGTGTATGTGCTCTGCAGTATTCTGACTTGCTATGGAAAGAGAGTATTGCTTCACTTCATATAACTGCCATGATGATAAGTTTTATGCTAAATATTTCAATCGAAATAAAAATAGTGTGGATGTATTTTATTCAAATGACTTCTCTGTAAGGATTATATGCTTACGTTTCTGCAATGATAAAAGCACCTTAAATAAATAAATGCTGCAATCTTTAAATAGTTGTAGCAAAACTACTTTGATTATTGAATAAAGCTCGAGAAAGTTTTAATTCACAAGTATAAAATGTATTTATGATTCAAATTAAAAGACCTTCGTTTGTAAAATGTTGCAACATTGCAACATGCAATTTTTTCCAAGGAAGTGTTGGTCGTTCTTTGCAACTCGCTCAATTTAAATGTATTAACAAAATATTCCTGCCATGAAAGTCCAAATGAGCGTTTGGGAGACGTGCACTCTGTCGCAACAGTACAATACAGAACTAAAATCATAGTTGTGTATTACTTCTTTCCAAATATATTTGTTGCTTTTTCATAATTTCATGAGAATGCACTGTGACAAAGTGATGAAAATATACATAATCAGAAGATTTCCCAATTAACGAACTTGAAATAACAAGCTTGTTTGATGTTAATTATACCGCCAAACCCCCAATTTCACTTAAGTGTTTGGTTATCACAGCAAATGAACAAGGCTTGTCTAACATATGTTCGTATTCTTTATAATACTATATAAATTTCGATTTGTCTTTTGAAAAAGTTGTATTTCATAATCATGAGAAGTCTCGTGGCTTTCGTTTTTGAGCTCAACATCATTGATATTGTGCTAATAAATGCTATACACGAGGCACGCTTTCCTGTTGACCAAATAAACTACACACGAGAGTTTATTTAACAATAACTATTGTCTACATTTCAACATCCTGTGTTGCGCATACTTTAAAGAACATGAAAAACACAAAAATTTCTCCAAATCCTAGAAAGTTCATGAATAATTCAACGAGTTGCTGTTTTGATACATTGTAACCCCCAGGAGAAGGTTTTCTAAACGAGCAATCTTTATCTTCTGCTGTTGTATATGTTACAGGCGCCGTGCATATATGAATATGATTTTGATTGTTGAAGATGTTTGAAAGCTGCTTACTTGAGGAAAGAAATACATTAAGAATATAAAAAAGAAGTTGAAGTTGCAAAAAACATCTTGATTTTTCAACCCTTGTCATTGAATACCTTTGTCATCCTAACACGCCAGAAATGTTGTATCACTTTCGATATATTTATAAGCCCAACGAAGAAATGTGGCTGCCTTGATAGTGGTCACTCAGTTTGAAGTGGTTAGTCACATGTTCATTATAGGTACTGAGAAACTGGGAAGTAGATAAAAATCACAACACGTTCTGTTGAATTATTTTCGTTTTAATTGTTGACATTCTTCACAAGAAAGGAATAAAAAGCCCGATACACGAGGACAGCCAGGTGTTGATTGACGTGAAATAAAAGAAAGTGGTTTTCTTCAAATTTTGTCATTTTCGTGTCAACTGTCGAGTAGATCATGAAAGGAAAGCGAGACTCGTTACGTGTGTGGCTTGAAAAAAATTTGAATGCAAACAAGATCAGAGGTCTTGAATGGAAAGATGAAAGGAAAAAGATTTTTAAGATACGTTGGAAACATGCATCAAAACATGGCTGGTCTTCAGAATTAGATGGATGTGTATTCAGAGAATGGGCAATTTATTCAGGAAAATTTAAACCTGGGGAAGAAGGTGCACAGGAGCAACCTAAAGTTTGGAAAGCCAACTTTAGGTGTGCTTTAAACGCTTTGCCTGACATTCAGGAGATAATTTCTGAGAGAGAAACGCGTGGAAACGAAGCACAAAAAGTCTTCCACATGAAACCACGAGATAACAAGCAACGCCTTGGTAGAAGAAATGTTTTAAGATACTGCAAAATTGGACGCTCGTCTAGTTATCAAGGTGATGGCTAAATACCTTTCAATCTTCATTTCATCAATTAAATTTTGCTATTATGTTTAAACTATTTTTGACATTGAATGAATTTGTTAGTGAAAAAAAATCGTTGCTTTGAAAAAAAAATGCTTTAGCTGGAATCCTTTTAATGCTCATTTGGAAACTGGTAGGCCATTAGATTCAAAATATTTCAGAAACTGAGAATTGAAAACAAAATCAGACATCGATAATATGAAAAGTCAATAAGGTTATTTCGAAAGAGAAATGTTTTTATGCCATATGCGTTAACAGAGTCGAGTAAGGAAACACTTCTTGAAGTACTCGTTGAATACAGAATTTTCGTTAAATCTATATATACAGTTTGCTTAGAATGCATTTTGTTCAAATTTCAAATGTCCAAAAATATAATGAAATATACGTCTCTTTAACCTACTAGTACTTGCACGAACTATGACAATCACCACATATGTACAAAATTCACGCTTTTCTATGTCAAATGTATACATATTAATTAGCTATAGCTAAACCCGTGGTTAAATGTTATAATTACAGGTCCTTGTTCGTATGCCAAATATGTGCATCAACCAAATATGTTTCAAGCTGACAATAAGGTTGGGATTGTATAATGTAATTCTTTGTTATACGCTGACTAATTGTGACCAAGCAGAATTAATGTAAAGACATCTCCTTATTATCCATTTTTAGAATGTTTGGTCTCATCGACCGATTTTTGGAAGATCTGTTTCAGAAAATCCTCCTCCTTTGCTACAGCTGTATTGCTCTTCCATCGAACGACCAACAGGTTTGATATTTGAGTCCTAACTACTACAGACACGATTGTTTGTCCGAATTTTCATGCGAATCAAGTCTCGGTATTAATGAAAAATTATTTTATAGATAAGGCTGCTCTTTCAAGCTACGTGAAAACTATGAAAACAAACGAACCAGTTTTACCAGAGAACAAAATAATCGATGTAAGTTGGAGTTCAATTTCTTATTCTTATTTCACACATAAGTGTTTAGGAATTATGATATATTTTCTTGTATGACTGTGCCTAGTGGCGTAGAGGAATTTCTGTTCTGCATCTGCATGGAATAAATGAAACTTTCTTTTGTACTTGAAAGCCATTCCTTGTAAATTAGAACATAAGTATAACATTGCTTTTTGAATATCTAAATTTAACAACGTAAAAATAAGTGCAAACAGTTAATATCAAAATTATTTTGAGACAAAAAAATACAATTTTGCTGATGCCAAACCTATTCGAACATATAACTGGGTTGAGTTGCAAATGTCAGATTTAACTGAGACGATTCATAAGTTGGCATATTTAGCCTCGAGTTCCATTCTCTTCCAGACTTTGGACTCATTGGAAAATGATCCCCCCCCCCTCCAACTTCTTCCCCGTCCCATCACTACTATCGAGGTAGCAATATATTGTTTTAATGGTGTAGTTATTGGCTGTAATAATGTCATCCAGAAGAGTTTTTTGACTGACAAATTATGGTTTTTAAAATTATATTCTTGTCATGCTTTTTCAAGTTAATTGATTCTTGGTCAAACGAGTTAAAAGAACAGCATTCACACGATACTAGATTTTTCCATACTTCACATAAGACAAATCAAGGTATGTCAAAGATCTTGAAATGAAAATTTATTCTTATTTAGAATATAATCATTGTTATGTATATTTTATTTGATGTAAAACCTGTTACTTCACATATCATATACACTTTCACAACAATGCATTATTTTTACTTTCCAAAATCTTGCCAATCAAATGAATGAATCACTGCTGTAATACTTAGCCTCATCCGCCAATTTTATAATTCATAACTACATTACATTTATTTAAGTAAAAATGTTATATACGAACCTATCAATGTATATTGATCATACTGTATGACATTTCAACCATTTTTTTTCAGTTGGTTATACAAACACGGACATTGATGTTTATCATAATCCAAATATGACCATTGCTGGTCAGCAGACCTCTTCTAGATCTTCAACATCTCGTTATTTTATTGGTCAAAGCACTGTCGATGAATCTACACAAACATGTGTAGAACACGTCACTCGTATATGACAGAATAATTTTAGTTAACGTGTGCGTATTGTGCATATATGCGACAACTATGTTTAATCAGTGCAATGCAAAGTTGCATGGCCACCAAGCTAGTATTTTTATAGCTATGTTTAATGGCTATAAGCTTCGAAAATTTTGTCCATAGTCAAAATCATTTTCGTTAAAAATTAAATAACATTTTGTTGAGTAAAGTTCTTTTCGTATAGAAAGTTTTGTTTCAGTTGATTTATAACACCGTCCGTAAGATGGACATTTAGGAAAGCAATTTTTGTCACGACATTGTTAACACTTGAAATGGTTGTTGCTCATCAAAATAAAATAGTAAGTTTTTTTATTTTGTTTTTTTCTTTCTCGAAGACTTAATGGCATTTTGTGGTTGAGAATGACGAGTCAATTTCAAAAATTGACTTATGAAGTTTTTAATTTTCAGGTTTGGTAATTTTTTCTACCAACTATCACTAATTAGAGTGGTGTTTTAAAATTTAGAAAACAATACTTCAATAACAAAATTTGAGATGCGGACCTGGCTTTGTGAACTACCGGCATGTGCCATTAGATATAAGACTGTCTATACCCGTTAGGAATTTTTCGCTAACATTATTGTATCAAAACTCGTTTTCTAACATATAACAGATATTGTCGTGACATTTTTGACATTGATAGTGAAAAATCATCAATTCATTAATTACCTAATTTATTTTTTGCAATTTTTTTTATATTATACATGTAATTGTGCGAAAATACTTATGGTACACTATAATCGGCAATGTACTCCTTCGTTTATTAAAGATGTTCAAATTTTTATCATACCATCATCCAACTAGAACGCATAAATACATGTGTAACTTGAAGTAAACAATAAAAATATTTATCTGCACTGTGTGATATCATTTTCTAAGTCAGTTTAACAACCAAGAATCATATGGAACCTTAAAAACGATGGTTTACATAGCGATACGTAATTTTTTTGTCAATGTCTTTGACGTGATCAGATCAAGATACATGATCAATAATAACGAAGAGGAACATGATGACAAAGAAATTTACGATGTGCGTTATGGAAGTCTTGCGAAAGAAAGCCTGAAAGCAAGTTTACAAATATTAATTACCACAACGTCTTTGGGAATAGTCTCACTCTACATTAGTTTTTCAGGAGCAAGTTCTGTTTTAACATCATGGAGAATATTTGACATTCTACAGATAAGTTTGGCCATAATTTTGTTTGTCTAAGTTGTAATATACACTTTGTAAAAGCATCTGCGTATCAAGTTTTTTTGTCTAGTCTTTGCTTACGATAGAGCTTTAAATATAGAAAATTCATTAAAGATTGGGGGTTTTCACTTCCCTGTTATTTGGCCAGTATTATTCGCTATAGGGTTTAGCTTAGTGTATGGCGGCATTTTTTCTCTTCTAACAACTCTTTACCAAAAATAGCAGGGTCTGTTGCATTGAACTTCCTTACAAAATATTCTTTCTGTATGATCATAAGATACAACATTGCTCCTTTGTTACTTGATATAAGCAAACAAACAAATCTATCGAATGTGATAGCTTTTGCTCCAATTTTGTCCATATGGCTTGAAGAAATTATCTCTGTGTATCATGTCTTCATCAACATGTCAAGAATTACCAACAGAACGTATGCTGTAACTTACGTTTTTTTGTGTCGTGGATTAAGTATGATGTTCTATGATATATTGCAAGCAGATTTCACAACAAGCATTTGGTGTTTTTTTCGAAGTTGTCTGATCGGAAGTTTTAACCGAATAGTCTGCTTCATGCTAATAGAATACAAAATAAATGGTTGGAAAAGCCCAATACTTATGATTGTCGATTCTTCACAGCCCACGAGAAAATTCAAGATATGCTGCTGGACGTTTTAAGTACAATTGTATGCCAGGCTTTTGTTGTACTGTGTTTAATAGAAAAATGTGACACTACATTTTGGGCTGTTATGAACAAAGCTCTTATCAGGATTGCAGTCTGCGTACTCATAAAATTTTTCTTCTGCTCGGTTTTCATCTTTGTTCTTGTTCGTATGGGTGGCATTCCATTTTTTAGAGTCTGGCAGAGTTACAGGATACAGCACATTCTGGTTAACGTCATCATTCTGTTTATAGTGTTCTTCATGATGAACTCAATTATTCAAACTTATCAAATGCAACTACCATTCAATAAAGTAGACGAAAAAAATGAATGGCTAATAAACAAATTAAACAAGCTTAAGAGCAGTGAATATGAGAATATAAGTTGTTCACTGCCGGATCCCTTTAGTATCCTTGATCGATTTTCACAATTTACTTAAAAGAAAACACATAAAGATATACGAAATTCATTCTCCATGGAGTGCAGTATTTTTTTCAATTACTCGAAAACTCATGTACAGTTGTTTCGAGTGCCACGAATTCGTAGCTACACAGAAAAGATGGAAAGGGGGTAATTTGCTATGGCAAATCCTTAAGGCCAAAGGACATAGAGAGGAGAGAGAAATGCTGGTTATTATATAGTTCACTAATTTGTAGTAGACTTTTATCCATAAATTAGATTTAGTCTACTGGTTCATACAGACAAGAAAACTCTTAGGGCCATACAAGTAGATGGGAGAGTCAATTATTTGATTTTTTCCCAATCTGAACTCTCCACACGCTTTTCACATCTAGGACAGTAATATCTCTCGTACACTTGAATTATGTTTTAGCTATTTTTATTGAATATTCTGTTGATAATACGGCTGCTGATGAAATGGATAATATGTAGGGTAACCTATATAATTATTATTATTGTTATTATAATATTGTCCAAAATTTCTGTAAAACGGATTCTTCTGTTGTTGTTGTTGAAAGTTTGGTGATGATTTCTTGTTTGTTTTTTGCCTTTGGCCATTAAGTGGATGTTTATGAAATTTCAAATATCCTTGGGCAAGCTTTTTAAGATCCAAAACCAGATATCCGGGGTCTGATCTCGAAGGGTTGATTTGATCGTAGTCCATACCATATATCATTTTTGGCTGATTCTCAGGATAACGAGATGAGCTAGATTGCCCCCACTTGTTTGCTAGGATTAACCAATAATAAAATATATAAATGCTTGGATGTAAAACAAATTTAAAGTACCGCCTACCTGCAAATAAAGGATTATTTGGAACAAAATTTTTCTTTAAAGCAGTTTTCACTTCCTGTTGGATGACGTCTGTCAAATAAAAGATCTTTATTGCTTATGCAAGTTACCATACATTTCAAATACACTGTTTTAACGTTCAATTGTCCTCACGTTTTATTTCGTTGTCAACAATGTCAAATCTATTTGGCACAAAGTTTCTTTTTGTCATTTTGTGTTGAAGATGTTGAAGATGACCTCTCGGTATTGACAAAGCTAAAAAAAGTTATCTTAAAAATCATTAGAAGATAGGACATTGTACATTTTCCCTACTTTCTTCCAAACAATGTATTCACTCTGTTTATTTTCCAATAAATCTACTAGTGAATTGAATTCTGAATTGAAACAATCCATGCAATTGCCTCAGGTCTTTTGTTATACAAAAGAATTTGTTTGATACAGCAGTTCGCCTGAACACTATGAATAGCCATAATGTATGTAGACTAGTACTTTGTACCAAATAAAATGAAACTCAGAATTGTTCTCAACACACCAGAACAAAAACACGTACAGAGGAAGTTTTTCTAGCTGAAACGGATTTAACAATGTGGTGAAGTACGTCAGAACTAATAACTTTTAGTGATAATAATAAGTCCTCTTTCGTTTTGATATAACGACAGAAGATTTTTGCATGCTTAATGCAACTAGTAATTAGCTACCTGTTTCACTTGTTAGAGCCACGAATAGCAACAAAAAAATATGATAGGAAATCATTGTTGTTGTTGGATAACACACAACAAAACTATTTCTTTATTTCCATCATTAAAATAATTGTTGTGTACAACCAATTTGTGATTGTTGAAGTATAAACTTTTACCTGTTGCTTGGAATGATGTGGTCATCGATAACCTGATGACACAAAACTTATGGCGTTAAGTAATTATTAAGACAATTTCTTATCTCTTTACTTCGAACATTCCCTGATGTTGTAACGTTAAGTTGCTATCTCTGCAATAAGTAGACTATAGAAGGAATATCAGTCTAGCCGTTTATTTAATCTTGCCAAGCAGGACTAAAACTTGCCGCCTGCCTACTGTCTTGAACACATGTTATTATTGACCACAAAATCAATAGACCTTCATTGAAATAGTATGATATTTGTTTTAAATATTGCGCATAATGTGACTGGATACCCAGGCTTTGTGTAACCAGCCCATTGTGTTCAGCTTAACTTTAAAAAGCAGACTCGTTTATTTAAAAGCAGTTCATACAAAATTCTGGTCGTTAAACGAGTAAATTGACCAAACTTATTCGCTAATATAATGGTGAACTTTTGGCCATTGCTTTCACAGCCTTTGCATTTCATGAATTGTTGATATCAGTATACAGTTATTTAGTATTGTGTGAATATATAATAGCAGGAACTCATCAATAGATTGACTAACTGGAAAGAAAGACTGGATTATCTTTATGAGTCTACGACTGTAAAGTACTTCTTGAAAACTTCATGTTACTCAATATGTGCGTGACCACTCGACAAGTTACCATGACAGTAAATAAATTAATATGTTCCATGTAATACGATTGGTTGATTTCATGCGTGGAATTAACACGTTTGTTGAACTTCAATTGCGTAAAATTTATACAGCAGCAAGTCGCGTCGTGCGTGTAGAACCGCCTACACAAAGGAACACCACAAAACCAGCTACCTGTATTGTCGCCATTTTCGAGTAAAAATATTATTAGTTTCTCTGAATTGAAGAGTATATTGTCAAAATAAACACTGTTTTATTTATGATATCATAGGGATTTTTGATTTACTATTCGATCATAGCCTATTCATGCAAAAAGTATTCATTTTCAAAGAAATATTTAAAAAGAAAAGATTTGGCGATGATTCCTCGACAGACCGCTTCTTGTATTACATAACTTTGAGATCGAACATAAGTTGGATTTCTTAGCGGTTTTTCGTATTGCGCATGCTCAAATGAGATTTGAGCATGCGCATTTGCAAAAAGTGCAAGCTTAGTTTCAGCCATTACCGGAGTGTTAAAAATGTAAAGAGAATGTAAGAACAAAAATTACTAACGAACCACCATTTTCTCGATGCTCATGGACTATGGAAGCTGTGAACAACAAGGATAAAGTGGAAAATTCTAAAACAGGCAAATCCAATAAAGATAAGAATAAAGAATCCTTGTCCCAACGATTTCATTTGGAATTAACTACCTCAACTGATCGATCGTTCCCTGAGTTTTCATACTTAGACCTTGTCGGTGCAAATGTAAGTTTTGGATAATTTTGGCTGAAGTGTTGCTTCAAAATTGTTGAGACGGTATGACTTTCTGAACTACCGTTCATGCTTAGAAATCGAAAAAGAAAGAAGAAGAGCATGGAGAATGCAATGTCGATGAAATAAAAGCTTTGGCAAAGAAATTTGAAGATAAATATGTAAGTTCATTTGTCCCAATAATTGAGAAAATTAGTTCTGAGATAATTCTTATATTTGTACGAATGATTTTAATTTTAAATTTAACTGCTTAGATATTTTCGTGTGTTTTTAAAATTGTCACAGGGACCAAAAAGTACAACAAAGAAAGTCAAAGGAATTAAAAGCGATAGATATCAGGTACTATTTACTACCACTAGATTTGTTTGCTGCCAGGGTTGAATGTCATCCATGCTCATGCTAAGCTAATGAATCATGATAAAAATAACTTTAAAAAGTGAATGTGCGACCAACTTGGAACATTTCCAATGAGCTAAAATATATAATGGCTGCTTGCAGCAATTTTACACTGAGTGAATTGATTTTGCTGGGAGTAAACAAAATGGATATTGTGCAGTATAATTGTTTCAGCTTGAAATTTTATGGCTGGAAAATGTCATTGTTTATTTATTTATTTCAATATAAATGCCATGTTCTAATATTTATTGCTGATGCAATATGCATTATGTGAAATATTGACATATTTGGGCTCTATTGTTAACACATTTTCTTCCATAAGAATATTATGCAATTCTCAATAATCATTACACATTATGGTAAAATCCAGTTTGGATTGTTCTTTGGGTATGTTCATGCATAACCATTTGTAAAATCAAAGAACAATACATTGGTTAAGGAATAAAAATGCCACCATTCAAATCTCTTATTGATTTCAGCATAGAATAATTTTGTTAATTTTTTTTAATTGTTTGTCTTTTGCAAAAATATAACTCATATGATCTGCAATTTGCATAGCATAATAATTACACAGGGTGTGAAACAACAGTCAATCCATAAAGTCCACTCAAAACAAGCATTTTTCCAGATGGCAAAATTTTAATAATCATCTTGGTTGGCCATTTTGTCCAAAATGTGCTATGAAACTTTAGGTTCTAAACTATTTTTCAAATCAGAAATGGGATATCTGTGCAAAAGAGTTTGGCCTGCTGTTTAACCAATCTGTCATTATTTCACTACATGCCACCCATACAGCATCAGTGAGCAATGTTTCATATAATTTTATGAGGTAGTATAGTTGTTTTCATTGATGGTTTTTAATATTTGTTTTAGGATTTAGTTGATGTGACTTATGGTTATGATGCAACAGACTCATTTGTTGATGATTCAGAAGCTGTAAGATTACAATTTTTAATTATGTGAAGTTCAATTTTGTTGTGTTCAGTCATGTAAATGTTAACCTTTTTTATACAGTATGATGAATTAGTGCCAGCAGATTGGACAACAGAACATGGTGGTTTTTATATTAACATGGGTGAACTTAACTTTAGACCTGTTTTGTCTGGAGATGGTAGAAAGTATGTAATATTTTTTAGTCACTCTTTGCTTAATCAGAGGTGGGCAACAGATTTCTCATGAGATTTTTATTTACTTATAAAGAAATTCTGATTTCAAAGAAGTGAAAAAGAAGAAAACACCAAAGGTATTATGTTTTCTAGTCTTATTCAATATTTTTTCTCTCGATGCAGATTTTTTAAATATAAGGTTTTCTTGTATGCATTATTTTGCTTGTTTTTGTTTTGTTGCAGAAGAAAAATAAAGAGAACAAGGAGAAGAAACTCAAGGATGGTAAAAGACTTCTTTCAAGCACAGAAAAAGATAAGTCACCAAAAAAGATGAAACCAAATAGGTAAAAATAACATACAGCATTGAGGCTGTAGGAGAATTTTGTCATGCAATAGCAATAAAGGAACTCATTGGGACATTAAGAAAGCCATTTTACTTGTTTTTACACATTTTTACTAAGCAGATGATGAATGTGTGAAATAGATCCCTTATATCCCTATAATTGCCTTATTTTCCTTTTAAATTATCTCTTGTAACAACATAAAATAGAAAATTTTCAATGTGGAATGTGTTAATGTATACACAGGCATAAAAGCAATTAGCAGTGGATAGAAAATGACTTACTTGCAAATTAGCTCAATATGTGCATTTGTTTGAATTGTGAATTCTTTATGACTAAAAAAATTATTCAAACAATTATTAAACTGATTTATGCAATGGTGAACCTTCAGTCAATGAATATCAGTGCTGTTGTTTATAATGTTGAATGAAAAATATGACTAGCTTGCTTCACAATACATCTGAACTAGTGTTGTTCAGATGAAAACACCATTTATGAAAAACCAGACAGCCCTAGGTTTGCTTTTCTGGTGGCCTTGTCATGGGGTGTCACCCGGTAGTTGCACCTGAATAAATTGAGTAAAGAACTAAAAATTTTAATTTATGGTCATATAACTGCATAACTTATAAGGAAAGAAAATTAACATAGGGTGACACATCTTGGATTAGATAATGTCTATTGCCTTGCAACTTTATATGTTATCATAAAAAGTTGCATTCTAAATTTACTTAATGAAAGTGACAGCTAACTTTCTATGTGGACAAACAGAGTGATTTCGAAATTTAATTTGTATTCTTTTTACTTCATTAGTGATGAAAATGATGTGAAGCTGCTGAAACAAAAGAAAAAGAACAGTTTGAATAAAGTATCATTGACTTCTTCCAGTGAAGACACTCAAAGCAAACCTCAGACTAATGTTTCAGTTGGTGACATGGCTTTTCAAAGGTCAACATCAATAAAGAGTGAAAAAGATAGCATTAATGACCAGCATCCTCCAGTACAAGCTAGTTCCAGTTCTCCTTCACACAGTAATGTACAAAAAGAAAGTGATAACAACTCTCCTTCAGTGAGATTGCCTGATGGTTTACCACCATCATTGATATTGAGTGTGCAGAAATTGATCGAAGCTGCTCGCAAGGCTGGGGGTGAAGCAGGAAAATGTAAATTCTTTAATTCAGATGTTAACAGAATCTTACTTCAGTAAGTTTTCTATTTTCTGAATGTTAGTTTTAAGTTGAGACTTGAGGAGAAGTTAAAATAAATGATATGTACATTTTGTGTGATTACATGAAATTTTCCTATTAATCAACATTAAAATATGTTATATTTTTAAAGAATTGAAACAGACTCAAGGAAGCTACAAAGTCGAGCAAGATCGGTAAGTTCCCCTTTTGATCTCTCGACGAGAGGCTAAACACCTTTTCTTCTTAAAAAATTAAAAATAAATGTCAAATTTCAGGCTGTATACGACTACCTTGCTTTGTTTCTGCCTTGTACAAAAGATACGTTGGTAAAACGTGCTAAAAATCTTTTCATGCAAGAACAGGTATGTTTAGAGCAAAAACTATTTTTTTACTACTAATAATAATTATGCATTATATTCCTATAAAGGATTTTCATCATTAGCATTACTTTCCTATGAAAGACTTCCTTTATTTGCAGGTTGGCAGATTAAGAGATCCCTTGCTAAAACTTCGTTTGGGTACGTATTTAACAGTATTTTCTGATATATATTCTGTTCATCTGGATTATCAATGCCCTTTGACGCTTATATACGTATTGTTACAATTTCTTCAGCTATTGAGGCTTGCATGCCTGCTCAGATCAAGAATTATGAGGAAGAATTGGCAAAGTTGTTGGAAGAACAAGCTCTTCAAAGGTAAAAAGTCCATAAATGTGTTTGTGTATGTATATCTTTCTATAATCATCTGTTCTTTTTTCTATTTTCTAGTCAGAAATCTAGTGTGGATGCGTTTAATCAAAATTCAGAGAAAAAGGTCAATGCTGCAGTTTATATAAACTTTCAATACCCGCGTATAATAAACTGTGCTCTGTTAAACTGTTTTGTCATAACTCATTTCTTATTTGATATTTTACGACTTACTTTGTCTTTTGCTACAGGAGGATGTTGTAAATAAAGAAGTTGAAGCTGACAAAGAAACAGAGAAAACTGGTGAACCTACAACAACACCTGTGGATGGCAGTGTAAGTTTGACTTTGCATCATTTTGTCTGTTCAAAATTTGCTAACAAATTTCTTTATTTATCTCGAAATATTTTCCCCGAGGACTTTTTTATGCTTTATTTTGTTTTTTACACTTTAACGTACGTATCATTTAGATGCCAACCACTCCAAGTGATGAAAAAGGAAAGCGAACAGTTTTACCTAAACGTTTCATCTGGAAAGACGACATTAGGTAATTGTTTCGTACATTCAATGATGTATAGCATAGTCACTGATTTTTAGCCGTTTGTGTTCAAAATTAGAAGTCTTCTCTGTGACGTCGTGAGCATTAAAGTTGAGTTGTGTCTGATGTCTAAAAGTCGAAGTACTACTGCTGAAGAAGCTCTAAAGGTATTATTATATGTAGCATGATAAAGTGAATGTTTTGAGTACGGTAGTATAGTTAGATGTTTGTAGATGTAGATCGTCCAGGTTTGTAGAGTCCTGAGAAAGATTGTTGGTGTTGATGTTGACTGACGTTTCGACAACTTTCGAGGCAGTCATCTTTGGGCAGTCAAGAGAAGATGACTGCCACTTGGTTGTTGAAACGTCAGTCAACATCAACGTCATCGTCAACAGTCCTTCTCGGGAGTTTGCTAAGATGAACGAGATCTACAAACATCTAGTAGTGTCGTATTTAATCGTACGTAGGTAGCATGTTTTGTAAATGGTCTTCGTTGTTGACAAAAATCTTTGTTTCTTCTTCAGATAGTATGTGTTATTTTGAATCTGTATTTCTTTTCCGAAAATGTGTGTTACTTGAATATGTCTTTCTTTGCTTATTGTGTTTGTTATGGTATATCTTATAAATTTTAGGGATATTTGGAGACAGAAGTCCGTCCTTTGTGGCCTAAAGGTTGGATGACAACAAGGTTTGATCACGTGCTCTCTTTGTTTTTATGTTTAAACTTGAAAGTATGCTTTTCATAATGTTTACATTTTCATTATGTATCACTTTGCATTTTTCATTTACAGAATATTGTACCGTGAAAGTAAACAAGCGCACGCTAAAGTTACAAGCACAGTGTAAGTTAAGCAGTATACACTACTGTATTTATGCTTATTTTATTTATCGTGTACTCACTGATTAACAATGCCTTTATAATTTTTTGATGAAACTTTTTAACCCCCTACGTATATGATTATATTCTTTTTGAGTAATAGTAGTATTTCATTTACTTTAAGAAATGTTGTTGAAGATCTTTGAATTTTATTTCACTTTTTCTTACAATATTTTTTAGCGTTGCTAAAAGTAAAAAAGGTAAATTTTTATTTCGATGTTTTGTTTATGAAAAACATTGACGTAAGTGCATGATGTCATCTTTCCAGAGGCTTAATGACGTCAACCTGTACAGATATTGATATTTTTATAACGTATGTACATTTAACTTATGTTCTAATGCATTATGATGTCATTATTTAGATCCAAAGCGTCCAAAAGAAGACGAGGAGAAGCGTCAAAGTTCACAGGTAAACATTTCAATGATATACAAATCATATTTTATATTCAATTCACGCCATCTATCCTCCTAGTCACACCTTTTAGACACACATTCTGTCCTTATGTCATCGTCTTTTCTTCTCTTCACATTTCTGTCCTTCTAGTTACACCTTCTATCTTTCCAGTCACACCTTCTGTCCTTCTAGTCACACTGTCTTTACACCACTGTCTTTAGTCCACCTGCCTGTCACTTTTTCCCTTGTCTTTCACACCACCTTTTCTTCCGTCACCTGTTCCTCCTTTGTCCCACACTTTTCCTTCAGTCACCTTCACTGTCTTTCCTCCCATCTCCTTCTTTTTCCACTTTCTAGTCCACATCCTGTCCACCCCTTGTCCTTCTGTCCTTCCATCTGTTCCTTTGTTTCTGTCCTTCTAGTCACACCTGCTGTCCTTCTAGTCACACTTTCTGTCCTAGTCACAGTCCTTTAGTCCTTTCTTTCTAGTCACACCTTCTGTCTTCAACCTTCTGTCTTTCTAGTCACACTTCTGTCCTTCTAGTCACACCTTCTGTCATTCTAGTCACATTCTGTCCTTCTAGTCACACCTTCTGTCCTTCTAGTCACATCTGCTGTCCTTCTAGTCACACTTTCTCTATAACATAGTTCAAACTGTTTATTCTTAGGTTACTCCAATGATTGTTGATTTGAAAGTCAGCGAAAAATCAAATCCTGCTTTTCCCGTATCATCGAGCAGTGATGATGCCAAAGTAAAGGCAGATTATGTTTCAACCGTTTCGTTAAACATGTCATCATGTGAAGAGAAGAGCTTTGAAGCTCAGTCTGGTATGATGTTAAAAACTGACTCAACGAAGCATGAGACAGATAAAAAGAGTCTTAAGAAAATTGAATCCTTTGAAAATGCACTAGGGGAAACGTCAAATGTTAGAGTTTCATCAGAACAAATTCTTACTCAGAAGTCGCAAAGTGAAAAAGTTACGAAATCTCAAATGGTTTCTCTAATTCAACCTCAAATTAACGTTAAGATGGAAAATAAGGCGTCGCTTTCGGAATCACTCAGTGTTAGAAAGACAATGACCACAAATCCAAATCAAATGACGCTAACACTGCCTAACCAACATCATACCAAAAAACCAGAAAGTCAGAAAGCTAACTTTCCGTTGTCCATGATTTCAACACAAGTAAATTCGGAGGAAACAAGTCGGATTTCACAAAATACTCAAAATATGAAACATCCCAAACAATCTAAGGTTCTGTCAAATCAAGACCAACCGTCAGAGACTAGTGAAATTAAACATACATTGAACAATCAAATAAACGATACACTTGGATGCAACCAAATGCAAAATGACGATTGTAGCTTGAGAAGACTTCTTGGTAACGAAACCGTTCTAAAGAATGATAATTCTTCATCGCAAAGCAATTTACATGATCATGTTCCACTTCAGTCAATGGTAGGAATTCAAAAGCAGAATTCATTTAATGGCGATAGTTGCGCAGAACAAAACTCTCAAAATAATTCGCTTGCTCAATCTCCTCTTCAAACAATTGTTCAACAAATTAATTCGACAAATGTACAAAATTTAGGTCATACGCATAGCACTATATCAGACGATCGTCAAAATGCTGCAATCATTCAAAACCAATTTGAATCCCCAAATCGCATTTCTAATCAGCCTCTGAGTCACCCTCAGATACAACGGACTCATGGAAAAATCCATGGCCAAACTTTGATTCAGTTAAGCCATAGTCAGTATCCTGGTCAGGGACAATTAAAACGCGAAGATCCATCACATCCTTTGGCACAAGCTCGTACTCAGTCTCCGACGTCACCGCGTGTTCTTCCTCAATCTCCACAGGGTGTACCGGCAGTTGCATACTCCTCGCCTAATGGTAGGAATCAAGTAAAGCAAGCGGGAAGACTATTCTGGATTATTTGGACGAAATTAGTTCTCCTTGTACTGCAAAGACCTTCCATACCAATGAAGGACGACCATATTCTCATTCAACATCACCTTCATTGTCGTCTTGTTCGTTTCAAAATGTCTCCCAACAACATCAAATCTCTCCTCCGAAGTATGGTATCCAACAACATGACAGTTCCATCACCATCATCACCATCTACTGGGAACCGACGAGGTAGCATAAATGTTTCACCGTCTCCTCCTCGAAGTATGGTATCTAACAACATGACAGTTCCATCACCATCATCACCATCTCCTGGGAACCGACGAGCTAGCATAAATGTTTCGCCACAATTACCGTGTTTTCCAAACAGGCTTTCATCTTGTAGTTTACAGAATATTTCTTCAAAAACAAACCAAGATACAATGCGCTCACCAAGACAAGTATATAGTTGCATGAACAAAGTTCCATCTTCTCCCAACATGAATTGTCAGTTTCCAATGCAATCAAGTCCAGATTCTCATCACAGATCTTCGCATTTGAACACGCAAGTTACCGATTTTATGCCGACATCGAATAATCGCGATCCACAACTTAATACTTCATTGCTAAACTCACTTAATGAGTAAGTAAACTTATCTCTTGTTATATGATTACTTGAACAAATTGTGGCCTCGTAGTTATTAATGGTTCAATTTTGTACTACCATCACAATACGACCTATAGGCTAGAGTAAGTGCCATATTAACCAGTGGCGGATTCGTCGCTAGACGAAATAAATCACAACATATTGTTCATTATAAACTCATAACCTATAAAGGTACTTCATAGAATTTTAAAACTAGCGGCCAAAATTCATTTTGTCTAACACTGTGTCTTGCAACTCATTGTGACAAAACCCATTGATTTATTAAATTGCGAAGCCTTTTTCTTCAACTTGACTGAGCAATGACCATTGAGTTTTTATTTTTTCATTTTAAAATATGCAATGAAAACCTTCTTTGTTTATTCATCTACATATTCCCAAGTTATCACGTTTTTTACTCAATTACTATGTAAAACTGGTTTCATGTAATCATTGTCAAATCATTTTCTTATACGTTGTAGTATTTCTCCAAATCGTATGTCCCCAAGTATCCCTCTAGTTGGTTCACTATCTAATATACAGAACAATGGATCATCGCTCCCTAGCAATCCTATCACCATTCCTTCTATCATGAATTTACCCAATAATATTTCAAATAACAAGACGTTAAGCACTGTTGCGGAATTTCCACCAGCTATGAAGGCATACGGTGGCATTCAGCGACCTCAACTTCCTACACAACAATCAATGCTTCGAAACCATACGTCATCAGGTATGTTATTATAAACAAAATATTTATTCGTCTGCTGGAAAAAATCGCCACAAAGATGGCAAAAGCCAATATTACAATATTTTTATATTGTTTCATTATATCAACGCACTTTTTCCAACACTGTTTGTTCCTCTTGATAGATCATTAACAAAATGACAAACGATTCAAGAAGAATTTCAGATCTTATTTAGGAGTTACAGATTTCAGATCTTATTTAGGACTTACAGGTCGACAATTTTAGGAAATACATTATTGCTACTCTGAATAACACAATGTTGTTGAAACAAGACTCAAATTGTTTAAAAAAAAGACACAGAAAACTTAAGCAATATTTCGACTTTATTACAAAGGCATTATCTAGCCAAGACATTTATTTCATTGTACGTATGGAAGAGGGGTGCAAAACGCAGTTCGAGGTCTAACCATCCAGCTTCAATAACTACTACCAGTATTTAGACAATAAATGCCCACTGGTTTTGATACAAAGCACTAGTATTTGGAAGATTTATTAGTTATTCACTTATTTTTTCATATATTTATAGATAACCACAATCGACTCCCAAGTTATTCTTCCTCATATCGTCCATTTTCATAATGCTTTGTACGCCATGTTTGCATAGTCTTCAGCCGGCAAGGGACTTCTTGCATGGTTCAATTCAATATCAGAAAATGGAACTGTACTTTGCAATAATCATTTTCATATTTATTATGACAAAATTAGTGCAACAGATGTATTCAAGACAACGCAAATGAACAGAAATTAATAATTCACAAATTTTGCCAATAAATTTGAGGATTTTTTGGATTTAGATTGCTTTCGATGAAATATTGATCAATGATTCATTATAATTCTTAGGTTCATCCTATTTCTAACTCTTTTCTTTATCCGGATTAATGCGATATCATTTCACTGCTACGTTAACAAACGATTAGAATGATAGCAGAAGAATGATCCTATTATGATCATTGAGAGACACCCTTCATTAAAGTACAGCTCCAAAAAATTCTACTTTTTACGCGTCTACTTTTTTCATGCGTTCTACACTTTTTTGCTACCTTGCTTTGCGTTTGAAGTTGTGCGAAAGGTCATTAAAATTTTGAAACGTACAACTCTGATTGAAATGTTTACTATACAGTATAAAATATAATAAAAACTACTTTATCCATCTTACTATTTAAATCTTTCGCGAGATATTTTATCATACACCCTTACATTTATTGTTGGTAAATATATTTTTTTCTTGCACTACTGAAGTGGCAGCTGTCCAGTTAAGTAACGTTAGATCTCAACAAGTCTTGGATTTATTTTACAAGAGTTCCTGTGAGAATTGAGATCCAAAGAAGAATTCCAAGCCATTTGTTTGACTTGAATTTTGAGAGACAATCCTTGGCATCAGAGAGATCAACACTGGCGACCTGGAACAAATTGGTTTCATTGTATGAATATTTGTCCCTTTTTGGTGGATGTTTTCTGAAATTAAAAGCATTGTGCGTCCACATTACCTGCCAAAGGAGATGCGAACTTATTCCTATCAATCCTACAAAGTATGGCCATGGCTGTGACGTATTTATACCAACAGCAACGAGATTAGAAACCATAACCGCAGCTAGCCCACCAAGACATGGTTTGGCATAATTTCCAAAGAGTAGTGCTGTGGATTTAACACCAATAGATATATCATCTTCAATATCCTATACAGAAGATATTTGAAGGCATAATGTCATAATCACAACGGTATATGTAACATTCAACAGGAGTTTTAGCGTGCTAATTTTTCGCGCAATTTCTTCTTGCTAAATTGAACGTGCAGAATGATGACTTATTTCAGTCTTTATCAAGAAATACGACGACATTTGGGTAAACGAAGTTTGCAAGCAACAATACTCTACGTGTTAGATCTATAGATAATCATTCTATAGGATCTCTACACAACAACTGACATGTTTGTTTGATGAAATACAGCAGACTGACAGTGGGCTTGCACCTAATTGCCTCCAATGACTTGATTGGTTGATTGTAGTCACTGTTAAAGTTCAATTTCCATTTTTACTGGAAATTTTAGACTTATTAATTTATACAATTGTAAACAATCCTAAATTGCAAGTTGAGTCATCACCTGAAATGCATAAATAGTGTCATAAAATATTGTCCAGTTGATGGCAGCTGTGTACAATGGTACACACACACTCCAGTCTATTGACCCATTAACTGCTGACCATCCCAGCAGACAGCCCCAATTTATTGTCAAACCTATAATATACAGTCCATCAGTAAACTTTCAAAGATAGTGGTTTTTGTGAGCATTATTTAAATTAGTCAGAACTATAATGCTTTACCAAGCACTAGTTGAGGCCAATATGTTATCCTTTTCATCAGAGGATAGGATGCAACCAAAAAAAGAGAGGAAGCTCCCAAAATTATACTTAAAATAGAAAAAAATGACTGCAAGCAAGTGAATGAAAGTATGAGAAATAGATACAACTGAAGAACACAAAGCAAATATTTGCTACCTGTAGAAATTTAAGGAGAGTAGAACACCTAAAGAAACAGACAACTGTAATGCTAGAAATATTAATGCTTGAAAATAAGTAATTTCTCTTGATGCAACAGGTCGGGTGGATGTTCTTGCAACCTATCATTGAAAACATATTTTTAGTGAATCATAAACTGCAAATTAAGTAGATCAAGTCAAATCACATCAGCATTCATGCATTAAAAACACAAGAATATTAAATGCAATATTCACTGAAAAGTTGGGTAAATTGATTCAACCAAACATCAAAAATGTTAGCAGGTATACATATATGATCACTTGCACCCACAACTCTGAAAATGAAAATGTCGTTCATCTCTATTGTATTGAAGGCAGTAGAAACAATACTTGTACACAATAGAGTACTTTGTTTAAGAATCTAAAACCTGTTTGTCCAGATCTGCATCCCACATGTCATTAATAGTACATCCAGCCCCTCTCATTGTCACAGCACCAACAAAAAACAATGCCAATAACTGCATGTTTGGCAGTGTACCAGGATCAGCAGCCAGTGATATACTCCATGACCCCGGGAGAAACAATAACCAGTAGCCTATTGGTCGATCCATTCTTGACAAAAGAAGGTACGGTTGCACAGACTTGGGAAACCTGGACACCCAAGATTTGTTTATATCACTAACTTGTTCATTTTTAGTGTTTATGCATTTGATAGTTTGACATCCATAAATCTTTGGCAAAAAATTAATATGTTTCCAGACATTGCAAATGGGTATCTCCATCGACTCCACATAATCTTTAGTTGTGGTAACTGTATAAAACTTGAGCTGTAATTTTTATAAAACTGAATTGAGCTTCGTGCCCGACAATGTCTCCATAACAATACGTGTTTATTCCAACACATGTCAATGAAATAATAAAGTTATCCCTCACAAATAAAACAAATGAACACTACCGGTTGGTTATGAGTCACAGTTACAGTACATGTGGTACATGGTCAATCTGCATATTTGTATTCAGTAATATTGGGTAATTCTATCACCCTGACGCTGTACATCCATTGGCTACTTTACTATCCAATCATAATGCACTGATTTTGGTGGTCTTACAACTTGATGTATTTGAAAAAAATGGCGGATAGTATAATAAATTTATCATTCACGGAGGACGAGAGAAGTCCTTCTAAAGGAATATTTCAAAATGATCAGGTATATTTTGCAAAACTTATGAATCAATTCACAATTATCGAACGAAGCCTTCAATCATCGAACGAAGTTTTTTCTTTACAATAAGTGTATACTAATATCTTTGAAATACAAGTAAATTAAAAATTAGCAAAATAATTATTTTGTGTCTTTGAGAAATGTTTGCACCCGTAAATATTAAAAAATCATATTTGACAATGTTTATGACTGAATAAGAGTTGGCATTGTAGCATCGTAGCATTATTGTAGCATTGTAGCTTAATGAATGGTATTTTTTGTTGATTTTCTCTCTTTTAATAATAGCAAAATAGCACAGATGGCGCATTTCTTGATGAATTGTGGAGTGAAGATGGCTTCAGTGATACAGACACATCACTAAGTGTAACTCACATTTGTTCACTTAGTTTTAATACAGATGAAAATGATGATTTTCAAGCCAAACCCTTCATATCACATAAAAATGTGACTGTCAGACGCAGACCAAAAAAGAGCAAATTTGTTCAAGAAAATTGCACCAATTTAGAAAAAGGGAATAACTCATATGAGAGCAAGTCCAGTGTTGGATTACACTCTGATGTGTGTACTAGTGTTTTTTCACTGGAAAAGCATAAGGTTGATTATTTTTCACTTGCTCAATTGAAAGATGATACTAAAAAATCTTCAGATAGTGATTCATTGGTGAGAGTCAATAATTTTTCAAAAAATGTGGACAAACCACATTCAGAATATTCTCCTCAAGAAGAAAATAAAATGGTTAGTAACAGTGGTAAAGATTCTCAAAATCTTTCAAATAGCCACAAATCAAATGGAAATAAAAATATTTGCAAAACATCACTGTTTGAAACAAAAACAACGATGCAATCTCAGGGTGTGATTAGCAGCAAAAGTTTTTCAGAAGAAGTTCATCCCAAGGATGATCATCAGGTATTAGACGATGACTGTGATGAGAATGATTTTGATGTTTCAAGTGAAATCAAACTTTTCATGGGTGAATGTGTTAAAAATACATTTCATGGAAACAGTGAATGTTTACATAGCAAACCAAAAGACTGTACAGTAGTTGTTGTGTCATCGGATGAAAGTGATAGCAACATACTTGATAAAAAGGACATTACTTTTACCAAAAACAAAAGTTACAATGACGCTGAAGACTTGCAGAGTGGAGTATGTAATATAGGATTGACAAATACAAAAGATGAAAGCAATGTAAGTTTAAGTTTTAGCAGCTCGAGAGAAGGAAAGAATGTCAATGTTATATTATCAAGTGACAGTGAAAAGGAATTCCTTTACAACGATTCTTCAGGATCTGAGGATGATAATTGTGAGAAATATAATATATCACTAACGACTTGTCTACAAAACAATCTTTTCCCTGGCATTATGCATAACAAAGAAAACAGGAATTTCAATGATTTTGTTTTTACTCCAAGGTATGTGCTGATAAAACATTTCTCTCTTTGTTTACCTCCTGTTAAATGAATGTTAAAGTTGGATTATGTCAAATGTGTTGATTTTTGTTCTTTTGTTAGTGTGAAATTGAGCACCCCTTTGATTGAAGAAAGGTTGGATTCAACTGATGATGATGAATTTGAGCAATGTATGTTAGTTTAAGTCATTATGACCTGATTACATCCAACAACATATTACATCACCAAAATGACAAGTGCAGCATGGTTTGATGATGCATCATTCCTTTCTATTGAATGATTTGTGATTCTTTAAACAGTTTTAGAGCAAATAAAGACGCCCAAACCTAAATCAACTCCAAAATTGAGGTATGTTTATAATTTTATGTTGAAGAAGATTGAGCCTGATTTCACAAGGATATATATATATGTTTTAGTCTGAATGGGTTCATAGTTGATGATGATGATATATCAAATGATTCGTCTGAGTCTGATGATGAAAATGACAAAGGATATAGTTCTGGAGCATTGGATGTCAAGCGGAGACCAAGTATGCAATCTATAATTGTTTAGTTCTTACCAACATGTGAATGTTCCTCGAGTCATTATTGTTCATTTTCATTGATAATTGATTTATTTGTTGTAGGAATTGCTTGTTTATCATCACTCATTTTCTTGAACTTATTGTTATGGAAATTAAAACTTATCATTTCAAGTGTGTTTTATTAAGATCAGTAGAAACAACTTTTCCTCATTAACATTTTAGGATCAGTCACCAAGACTTCTAGTGTTGATAAAAAACGTATTGAAAAGAAAATAGCGACAATGAAGCCTGGTAGGCTACGATATTTTATAAACGTAAATGTTGCGTTTCGTATTTGTAGAAATTTATATTCTTTTTAATTGATGGTTTTTTCCTTCAAAATAGATAAAAAGAATGTATTCCCTGAAAAAAAATTATTGACTCCAAAGGATAAAATACTGAAAGAAACCTCGAGAGGTTGATCTTTATCTTCTGAAAGCAAAGTGAAAAATGTTACAGTTTCATACGCATTATTATTCATTAACTGTTTTTAAACCATTTTTTCACTTCAGAAAATATACCAACAAACCGAAAACCTCGGTACAAAAGTGTAAAAAGTTTAATGACTCCTTATAAAAACACACCTGGAAAACGTTGGCAGAAAAGTCGGGAGTTATTGGTTGCGGAGCTGTACAGTTATTACAACGAAACTGTTTTTCATAATAAGGTAAAATTTTTACAAGAAACCTGTTTCTTCCCACACAGGGTAATAGCTATTCATAATAGTTAAGGCTATTCGTAAATTTCACAAAATATCTCCAATATAATGTTCATCTTCATTAGTTGCCTGCTGATCTACCAATAATCTGGAACAAAAAGATGACAAAGACCGCTGGATATTGTTATTACATCGGGTATGCATGTGCTTAATGTTTCTTGATATTTGGTGGAAACTTTTTTTTCACGTTGTATTTTGGTCGTCTAGTGTTGGATAATTTTTGTTCAATTCTAACATTTGATATTTTCAAAAAGTTCTATGGTCAAAAAGTGTCGAATTGAGTTATCTGAAAAAGTTGTCGATTCTTGTGGTAGGTACATGTCTTATAATCTATGGCTACAAGTTTCCATTTACTTTGTTTTCAATATTTTGAAACAATTATTCATTCACAAATCTACACATCCCTGTTCCCAGTTATGGTTGACAGTTAAATACAAGAGTCCCAAACATCGCTTCCAAATTTAGAATTTTGAAAAAATCCTCTTAGCCAAGGTCGATCCAGAGGATTTAGAAAGAGTATGTTTCTTGAACGCGTGAAGATGTTTTAAAATAAAAGTTATTTTCACTGGATTTGCACTGACCTTCGAAAAACAACTTTTTTTTGTTTTATATATTTTCAAACACAAAACAACTATATTTAGATCGTATTCGCGATACTTTGATTCATGAGCTGTGTCATGCTGCCGCCTGGCTGATTGATGGTGTTAAAGCTGGTCATGGTCCTCAATGGAAACGATGGTATGTAGAAAATACTCTACGTTTTTAGGCACATTTTTTTGAAAATCATTCTTAGAGTTTTAATGTCATTTCTTTAGCAGTGACTACCTACACTGCTAACATTAGTGATATGTTTTACAGGGTTTTCTGGTTATAACACGATTTTTACAAAAAAATCTCTTGATCTTCCAATGAATATATCATCCCATTTTGATTGCGTATTTAAAATAAAAAACCCAGTTTAATTCATATTATTTACAGTAGTAAAGTAAATGGTTTGAACCCAGGAGTATCGTTACATGTTTGTAGATGTAGATCGTCCGGGTTAGTAGAGTCCTGAGAAGGACTATTTTTGTTGATATTGACTGACGACGAGGTAATATTCTTTAGCGGTAGTCATATCTTAACTTCTTTATCTACCGTTAAGGTTGTTGAAACGTCAGTCAACATCAACAAGAATAGTCCTTCTCAGGACTATACTAACCCGGACGATCTACATCTACAAACATGTAATTATTTACAATGTTTTAAATGCCATTCATTTATAGGGCTAATAAAGCAATGATGCTCCACTCAGATTTACCGCCAATATCACGTTGTCATAGTTATGATATCAACTACAAGTTCACTTACAAATGTGTTATGTGTCAACATAGGTTTGTATCGTACGTACGTAATTTTCATTTTTAAATCCTATACAAACGGCAAGTTTTGTCCTGCAGCTGGTTACACAAAGGCCCAATAACGTTATTCATTGCATGGTGACTTAAGTAACTTATTTGAGTCAAAAAATGTGGTTGTAGTTTCTTTACAAAAATGAGACTTTGTTATCTATCATTTAACTTATCGAATGTTCTTACTATGTTCAGTTTAATACGAAAAAAGTCCGTATATTAGATAGCGCTATGATGGTAATTGTTCTAAACAAATACCTTTCACTAATTTTGCTTATTCCTTAGAGTGTTTCAGTGCTCTACTGGGACCCTATGACTTGAACTTGAAATTAAACTTTGAAGAATAAGTCGAGGAATAAGTGTTGTAGGATTGTATTTAACTTATAGTTACTTTTGATCCATAATTTTGTCCAATGCCGGCATTGCTCGCGACGTATAATGATCCATGGTAATATTGAATGCTGAAGAATAAATCATTTATGTTATTTTAGTTTTGGAAGACATTCAAAATCAGTGAATCTGAAGATCGCACGATGCCCTATTTGTCTTAGGTAGTGTTTTTTTCCAATTAATGTCTTTAGTTTTCATCTACTGTAAGTTATAAAGATTTTGACATAATTTGCATTGCATTGTGTTACTTTAGTCATCTGAAACTTCTACCACAGATGAATAAAGACGGAACTCCTAGAGCTCCCTCAAAATTCTCGTTGTTTATCAAGGATAACTATAGAAAGATTAAAAGTGCCAATCAAGAGTTGAGTCATCAAGATGTCATGAAAGAACTTAGCAAACAATTCGCCGAGGTCGATATAGGTAAGAGACATACAGAGAACTTAAAGTATTGCAGTGATTGAAATAATCTTGCGTTATGAAAGAAAGAACCTGAATGACGTCTTATGGAACAAGTGTTGGTGTGCCGTAAATCCTTAATCAGTTATATTTAGTTTTAGTATCAGCGTTTTGTTCATTTTTCTCTTTTGGCTTGTTTCGTATGCTTTTTTTTCTGAAATTAGCTGTTTACAATTATATCCCTGATAGCGGTATAAATTTGCGATTCTCTAATTTATGAAATGTGATTGCTGCGGAAGAGGCATTCATTGTAGGTGGAAAAATAAGGTTTGAATTTAAGCCAAATGCAAAAGCCATTAACGCTCCCGGATACACGGCGGCATGTGGTTAACTGTGCTTAATGAATGGACTACTTGTTTAATGACTGTTTCACATTCAATACAGTGTAAGAAGATCATTATTTTCACAGGAAGGTCTTTGATTATTAAAGTGTTTATCAATCAAACCTTAGGCGACTACCACGAAAAGTGCAATCGCTTGTTACAACTTCCCGGGAATATGATGAAATTTACTTAAATATCTTTCAAATTTTATAAACAGTAAATGTTTTATGTATTAAGATTGTAGTATTGTTCTTGTCCACAGAGATTGCAAAAATAAAGTAAATGGTTTGAACCCGGGAGTATCGTTACATGTTTGTAAATGTAGATCGTCCAGGTTGGTATAGTCCTGAGAAGGACTGTTTTTGTTGTTGTTGACTGACGTTTTGACAACCTTAGCGGTAGTCATCTTCAGAGTCAAAAGAGTGACTCTGATGATGACTTTGAAGATGACTCTGAAGATGACTACCGCTAGGGTTGTCGAAACGTCAGTCAACAACAACAAAAACAGTCCTTCTCAGGACTATACCAACCTGGACGATCTACATTTACAAACATGTAGAGATTGCAAAAATCGCCAAAAAATTCAATCTAATTGCTGTTAAATACACTTGCTAAATATCGTTAAACGCCAGCTTCCTAACGACTATTCTAGCAATCACTTACACAAGCAACAATTAGCAACCCACTACCTGCCCACTACTCATTTGATTGCAGAAATTTGATTGGATAGAAAAATATTTACGTCACAGAGGGATTATTTTTCTTCAACAAAGAAAACCCCAAAACAAAAAAGTATTTGTCAGAGCAAACCTTTGTCGTCCTTTGATGAGTTAGAAGAACGCGATCTCTTTGAAAAAATTGGCAAAGATTTGTTGGTCCGTATTTGGATTTTCTACAAGCGTGGCATACTAGAATATTATTGCCAGAAATATATTCATTTTCAATCGTTCGTGATCAAATTTTCGTTAATATTTGTTTACGAACCGTAAGGTTAAGGAATAACAGTGAATTGCGTTTGTTGTCGAATAAACACTGGCTATTGAACGAGAAATTATGAAGGACGAAATCTATTTAGCTTGTAGGTTTATTTTTCGAATGTTAAAAAAGAGTTGTCGTTTAACTGAGCAACGACTACTACAATTTACGAGCACAATGCAGGATGTTCTATTTTCCCATTTTCTTCATCATTGGCATCTCGAAAATCCTCTACTGGGAAGCGCTTACAGATGCATTCGAATAAATCACATCATGGATCCTCTTGTAGTAAAAGCGGCTCGTAAAAGTGGTGTTAGTATAGCTGATTTAAATCTACCAAAAGAATTTACAATGTGGATTGATCCTAACGAAATATCCTATCGATTTGGTGAAGACGGCTCAATCAATACTCTATCGATGGAAGAAAACCAAGATCAAAGCGACAGCTCGTTGGAAAGTATGTTTACGAGTCGTTCAAGCTCACATTCGTGTGGAATGAAAGAAAGCAATGCAAGTGCAATGAATAAAGGAATCATCAAAGTACCAGAATGTGTATCTTCATAGTCAATAATAGTATATGTGAAAATTTTGTTAGTCGACGAACTCATTTCCGGATATTTACCAAACACGTAGTTTTATATTTAGATGATTTGTTTTAATGTGGATGCTGTAAATTTGTTAATATGAAAAGTGTTAAATAGTATATAAAATACCCTTTGACAGAGACATATGACTTCATAAATATTGTACAGCTTTAGCTTTATTATTATATTATTTTTATCGGCTTTACGTATTCACTTTCCAATCCATTCAACTGTTAAATTTGTATAAAACGATTTACTCGGAAATGAATGAAACTTTTAACGATAAATCTGCGCTTTTACTGAAAAAATAAAATATTGGCTTTACAAATTTAAGGTGTATTTGGTGAGTTTATTTTATGTTGACGTATTACATTTACGTCAACATACTCATCCTTAAGACTGGAAGTTTTCATAACGAAGCTAGACTTGAAGATCGTGAATTTATTCAAAAGAAAGTTTATCAAAAAACGAAATATGGAGGACTTTCAAAGTATGTTCCCAGAACAAACTATGCATACCACGAAGTTAATGAGTATATTTTGGTGACCAATAAGTCTTGCGTTTAAATCAAATGTTATGGCATGATATAAAATAACTTGGATTTCTTTATTACTTATCATCAACAAAGATATTCCACTACAATGTCATAACCATCTTATACTTAACAGCTCGTTAGACCTAAGAATCAACAATAAATATACAATACTACCTATAGTTTATCACAAAGATATTTTCAATTGGAACCAACTGAAAAACTAGTAGTTGGCAAAAATACAACAAACAGTGTATCTGATTGCTATGAAATTGTAAGGGAAAGTATCTCAACAGTCTAATGTACAACATCAAGAAAAAACTCTTTAAAATGGATAGCTACATACAAGCACCAAAAACGTTTGAATGTAAAATATATTTAATCACTCTCTTCTTCTTCTTCTTCCTCCTCTTCCTCCTCTTCTTCTTCCTCTTCTTCTTCTTCACTCTCACTTTCCTCTTGAGGCTTTGCCTTCTTTACTTTTTTTTGTGGAGATGGTGCTGGATTCTGAGAAGAAAGATTTTTTGGCATAAGCAATCTTAGCCACAACTCCATTAATACTGATAAGAATATGGCAAATGAGATATATCAATAATGTTTTGACCTTCAATAACAAAATTTATTTATAATTGCTATATGTAATGAAAGTCAAGTTAGCATCAATAAATCAACATACCTTTGCAAGGTACTCCTTCATATCTATGTCATATTGGGCTTTTGCTTTTTCTTGTCTATCAAGATACTTCTTTTTCTTCTCATCAGACATAGAACGCCATTCTTCACCAGCTTTCTTTGACACATCTGGCCCAGTCAAGCCTTCGGCCTTTTTAATTTCACGATATTCTTCCAGGAAATACAGGAATGATGTCATTGGTTTCTTTGGCTTGTTTTCATCTTTGCCAGGTTTTAAAAGTTTCATCTACACAAAATATGCATTACATGATTACAAATATTATCATGAGAAAATTGGTCAACAAAAATTTTCAAACTATTCTGTTAACATGCATTAAAATAAATTAAAATAAACTAAAAACTAGTCACTTATGTACGTCACGTGTTTCTTATATCATTTCACTTCCTGTACCAGTGAGACGTCGAAGGATAATGATTGGAGAAGAAGGGCAACCCAAACGGTTTGATGTTTTAAAGATCAACATTTTGTAAATTTATTAATCTACTAACTTTTCGGTCGTATTCTTCCTTCTCCTTCAGGTATTTTTCAACGTATGGCTTTCTTTCTTCCTCGGACATTTTTCCCCATGCAGCTCCTCCGTCTTTGGCTACATCACCAATCTTAGTTGATTTCTCTTCGCCATTCACAGATTCGTTTTTACGTTGAGAACGGAATGCGTCCATAAAATGTAAATACGCTGTTTTTGGTCGTTTGGGTTTGTTTGGATCTTTTTTTCCCTTACCACTCTGAGCTTTCTTGCTACCTCGCTGTTTCTTCACGGGTGATGCGGACTTGATACTTGCTCCTGCCCGTTTCTTGCTCGCTTAAAATTTAAGACGAAACAAGAAGACATTTTGATAATTGAACTAAAATATTCAATAAATTCTGCTAAAATACAAGTGTAGTTGCCGTAATTCGACCAAGCATAAGCTAAAGAAAGTATTATTTCATACTTCAATCATTGTACAATACAAAAGACATCGACGGCTAGTTGCTTAGACATTTGTATATGACATACATCAGGCAATCAGAGGCGCGCCGAAACAGCCATTTACTTGCTTTGCAAAGCTTCTTCTTAAATATAAGTGTCCAAAAATACTAATTTACGACATTTTAGATCTTATTTTGACTCGTCTTGGGAAAATAAATTTCTTTGTCAACTATTATTATCATATATATTCATATATATACATATATATGATATGTACGTACTATAGCTTTATATTATAGCGTAGCTTATATATGAAAACATAGTGGAGCTCAAACGCGAGCACAGAATAATTTTGCACAGATTTAACAGCCTATGTGACAACTTACCATCCATGATCGTTATATTTCCACAAGATATTTAATATAATTGAAGATCAAACAATTTTGTTGAGTAAAAGAGAACGCTTCAACAGCTCATTCGCTTATGTCGTTTATATTAAACAAGACAAAGCTTTATTACTGTCCCCACGAGGATTCTTTCACAGCGAGCGACGCTCATGTCATGTAAAGCTTGACCCGCGAGTACGTAATGCGCATGCGTCAGGAAAAGATGACGATATAAAAATAAAGTGCGTTTTTCCTGGTTTTTAGGGTTTGGTTTTATAGGTTTGTTTAAAGAAAAAATAGGTTTGCTTTACGACTTTCCTAAATACAGCATCATGTGATAAAATCATGTGAAATCTATCAAAATGATATAGTATGAAATGTATCCCTACATCAAAATAAGCTTTTCAGGTTCCACAATCGGCAGCACTTGTCACCATTTACTGCAACGTAGACTTGATAATATGGTCTCACTTGAGCATTTCATTTTGGTAATTCAACTGGTAATTCTTCGTTCAGTTGAATACTTGTCCAATTTCCAATGCCAGATGAAATTACGTCAATCGTGAGAGCGACAGTTTGTCTAATTCATTTTGTTCTGCTATCTTTTAAGCATATAGGGTTCTTTAAATTGTACATCGTCAAATATTGGAACAACGTTCACAAAAATTTAACATAATTTCCTAAGATATCACTGTAAACTATTTACATAATGTGCGCCTGCACCTTAAATGCATGATCCAATTTTAACAAAGTACACAGGCAATCCGATCATTCGCTCTAAAGTTCCATTTTCAGATAATTTACGCCACAACTTTCATATATTATATATAATAAAAATATAACATAATTTCTTAAATATCACATTCAGTTATTTACAAAATGTGTGCCTTAAGTGTACGAGCTAATTTTGACAAAATACACAAGCAATTCAGTCATTCTTTCGACAGTTCCATTTTTAGATTATTCACGTCTTATTTACTTCTGCCATTAAATTACATGATGCTTTGTGCTTAGCCCAATGTTTAACCTGACATTCTCTAAAACAAAAGTTTACGCAATAAGGAATACTGGATACTAAAAATATACATTTAAATATTTACCCGCTAGAGATAAAATTTTTACCTTTTGCAGTACCATTCGTTGCGACACCGTGAACATCTCTTGCTAGCCAACTCTGCACAATTAGCACATTTTGGAGGTTCTGCAATTAAGCCTTCAAGAGAATCGATGTTATAAGTATCTGCCCACCTAAAATAAATATGCGCCGTAGTATACAAAGTATAGAATCACAAAATAAATATTTATCAGCCAGAAACTTCAAGCAATATTTAACGTACAGTTTGGCTTGATTCATCAATTGTTTTCCAGATGGATTTAGCCATCCACTCATTTGATGTTGAGCAATTTTATTCCATTTATTTTTATTATCTTTTAGAAGCTTTTCTCTTATTTCAGGAATCTAAAAGAAATTGGGCAATTTCACTTACCATCCAAGCAAAACAGCGTATTGTAAGCTTGAATGATTTTAAATTTGTCTTTTACCTGCTCTAAAACCAGATCTTTTTTTGCAATAGGTGGATCAACGACAGCAAGTTGTTCGATAAATTTTTGTAAATCGATAAGATTGGGGATTTGATCAAGAAGAATTTCATTCATAAGGCCTCGAAGCTGCATTAAATGAAAAAATACAGAATTAGAGAGTAACTTTTTCAGGACAAATTGTTTGGTTTGCAAAGAGCGTTGAGCGAAGCTTTGAATTGAAGCGACATCGATATGCATGGTTTGGAGGGACATGTATGGATTCAAAGGACATGTTTGAATTAAGGCAACATGAATGGATTGAAGATAACTATGCTTGTACAAGTAACGGTCGAAATGGAATATAAAGGGCGGGAAAATGCGGACTGCGGAGGAAATTTATAATATTTAAACTCCTCGTTACCTTCAGAATCTGGGTTTTATTGTAAGTGTTAAATTCATATTTACGTCGGCATTCTGGATTCATTAAAAGATGGTACAACGACAGCCAAACCTGAAGCAATATACCTTTTTTAATAACATAAATTGCTAATTTGAAAAAGGTAATTACATGAAAAATATCGACATCGTATCACCACCTGTCCATCACTTTTAGTAACTTGAAATCTTTCTGCATCAGGCAAATTCTTCCATTTTCCATCGATAAACTTTTGAAGTTGGCCTTATGGCACAAAGAATATTTTTATAACATTACAAATTGAATTTTCGTATCGCGTAGTTTTTCGCTTCACGTTTATGCAGGGGCAAAACTAGAACATCAAGTGAGGGGGGCAGGCATGATATTCATGATGCACAAAATACCTTTGGTGTCTCGTTTTACCCACGGAGGTTTTTCAGCTAATTGTACCAAAACCACTGGTATATCTAGGAAAGGGAGTTACAATATCAACTGCTTTTAATATTCACTTAAAGCTAACTTAAATTACATTATTAAATACTTGTTGAACTTCAATTTAATTTAGGAATCTTAAACAAAAGCCCAACATGGTTTCTTGAAGGTTCTTAGCCCTACCTACGTTTGTAAACGTTTAATGACAAACACTATGAATTCTGGGTAATGACTTACACTATGAATTCTGGGTGAATCAATAAAAAAATTTTAAATCTGCCTCATGGTTAAAAAAGTAAGACAGAATTGTAAGTTTTAAGAGTGTGTGAGACAACTTTCTATTTTATAGAATGATATTCAACAAAATTTGGGATAAAAATAAAATGCATGGTGAGTGAAACTTGTAATTTATTCAAGCAAAAGACACTTAGGCTAAAGTCATAAAGGCAAATATTTTTGTCATTCAAAATATAGTTAAATAAAAGTTTAAGTGAACAATTTATGATGATGCTATAAACATATTTGAGCAACACTTATATTCATAGCTAGTTTTGGAATAAGTAATAGACATGACATCATCATACATAATAGACATGACATCATCATACATAATAGACATGACATCATCATACATAATAGACATAACATCATCATAAATAATAGACATGACATCATCACATAATAGACATGACATCATCATACCATGTGTATTGAGAATTCTGGTCATGACACTCAATGGTAAACTATGAACATAAATAAATAAATAGATACAGTGATCATATTTCATGTCAAAATTTTCAAATATCAGATTACAGATACCTTGATATATGATCAAGGATATAACACAAAATTGATAGCGATTTAATGCTGACATTAAACCTAATTACTTGTCCTTGACAAACCAATTCCTTCAAAAATGAAAAGTAAAATAATCTTTAGGAAATGTAATTTTTTTAGAACAAACAAACGTTGAGCTTTAGTAGTTTCGTTTGTAAAAATTGAATCTCATCTGTTGACACTTAATGTGTTCAGTTACCTGAATTGAAGAATTAGTTGCACAAAATTCATCCATGTTTTGGTCTTGACTGCAATAAAAATTCATATAGTACTACTTATTTCTATAACCGTGTTCTACAAGAAAATCAACAGCTGTTTTTTTATAAACTGTTGATGCGCTTTAATCTTGCTGTGTTCAATTAGATGTTATTTATTTCTTGTAACCATAGTTACATACCTTGACACCAAATATGTAATTTGTCTATGACAATAGTCAACCAGATCTATTAGATTATCACCAGCAGCTTCACAGCTCTCCTTAGAATACATGGAAAAATATGATACAGCTATTGTTGAAAGCTTTATGATGTACATACGTATTATAAAAATTTACTTCAACATAATCTCTTGTTATGAGAAATACTTATTATATGATCATTATTAACAAAATAATCATATCATTAAATAATAATTACTCTTGTTGACAAAGTAACAATATTGGTACCTTGTAAAACATAATAGTTTCCAAAAGACTGATTAAACTAACTTCATGAAAAATCTAAATACACAATAAACATATATTTTATGTTCATCAGGCAAAGAGAACTGATACACCATAAAAGATTTTTTGCTGAAATATCCTGACTTATCATACACAGACAATTTTCTTAATAAACATGTTACGAAACTACATACCACCATATAAACAGGTAATGTTGAGGCAGGTTTGAACTTAGATTGAAGGATAATAGGTAGAACTTTACTTCTCCACAATTCATTTGTTAGTAAATCATGAATCAGAATAGGAATCTTAAAAATTAAAACGAGGAAACTATTTTACCCAGTAGTTGGTGGATCACATTGTTTTTAACTACAAAAATCTTACCTTCTCATATGAAATTATAAGCTCTTTTACAAATTCATCAGTATTCAAAGTGGCATTTGCCAATGCCTGATTCAGTAAATGATTAAGATTTCGTTCAGAGAAAGCATGATCATCAACAAAAATCTATATCCATAATTTTAATTTGCAATAAGAATAATTCTCTTTTAAGAGATACCTGCATGTTTAGCCTTTCTATTTTATCGTGGTTATCCTGCCATCTAAATTAAATAATATAAATGTCCATGTACGGTTTCTAAGGTAATTACAGGTTCTATATCATAAGCAATGTACGCTTATGGTTATCGTAGGTGTTTGCACCAGCTTAAAGGAAAATGAGGAGTGAGGACATCGTTTTGTCGTTTGTCGAAATTAAACTTTGATGTACATTTTATGGTGAAGATGTGACCTAAAGTTTTCCTTCAAGGTGATGATACCCTGAAGGGTACACATTGCTAAGATAGCTTAATCATTATTTCATGTTAGTCGTCGACTCGTCGTATGTACAAACAAGGTGTAAAAATACACAGTGAATTATTAGTCCGTCTTCATAATTAAAAACACATTATCTAAAATACTTTGAATTTCCAAGGTCTTGAATTTTGTTTCTTTGAAGGACTTGTACATATAATTCTGCTTCGTTTACAGACAAAATTTGTGATATTTCCGCCATGTTTTGTTGCCATGGTATAAAAGCTACGCATGCTCAGATGCATCACTTCACAATCATTGACAATTTGATAATTCTTTTTTTATAATCAAATTAATCATATTTATTGTTTTCAACAACTAACAATTTTTGCCGTTCATTAGCGAGCTAGCACCATTGAATGTGATGATTAAATTACGGACTGAATGACTGATTGAAAACTGTTTTTCGATGTTTATACTTTACTTAATTAATGGCTATACTATGGTTTTGCATTATTCGGTGGCTTGAGACAAAGAATTTACTGAAATGATGAGAAAGCATAGGCTGCCCAGAAATCTGTTTAAGTTTTTTATTCAATCAATTTAAGTAAAAAGTAAATATTCATTGATTTTTGTGCAATGATTGACACGCACGCGATCTCGCGTGACTTCCACGTTTGTATAGTTTTAAAGGTTGTATATTTTAACGTTAAATCAAATAATATATATACTATTTCTTGTGCTATTTACATAAATTGATTGAATAAAAAAACTTGAACAGATTTCTGGGCTGCCTATGCAACGATCCCCACTTCGACTTCTTTTCTTGTTTAGTTAATCACACGCATGCGTGGTTGCAATTTCTCGAGAAATAAATGGCGAGCACAACGAAGCAAGGAAAGTTAGATGAAAAATTGAGTGACGATTATAATTCTGTCTTCAATACAAAGGTTGATATTAGATAATATCTTGATAAATTCTTTATTGCAATACCATTGTTCCCAATTGTTTTGACCAATTTTCTATGTGTAGAATAAGTTATAGCCAAATAATAAACACAAGGAATATTGATGCTAGTAGACTGTAGTATTAAACCTCAAAATCGTTTGCCAATTAAAAGCTTGGGTTTGATTTGAGGTCACTCTTATGACAACTGCTCATCTTATACAGGTTTCTCAATACTTATCACGTTACTCCAGCACAGTCTTTGCATGTGAAACTTCAGCTGACACAAGATATATCAAATGTGACTTTCCTTGTTGTCCACAGCATTCAGGAAACAGTGGTAATGTTGAAATATACCAGGCACCAATTTTTTGAGCATTTGTCTTTCCATATTTATTGCCATAAGTTTTCACAACTGAGCCGATCTTCTACATTTTTGTGATATAGCAAAAAATACTTGGATATTGAATAGTGTGCGAAATGTGAAGAATTTGGAGAAACATGTAGGACAAGAAGTTGCTAAATTTGTGAAAGAAAAACTTGTTGATAATTTTGAGGATAAATCTCATTTGAAAAGAAGTGAAGAAATCCTTGCATCTCAAAGACTTGAACTAAATACCAGAAAGGTTTTTACAATTGATGATAATTATTATTGAAATCTCTTGAATTTAAACAAGATTTAAATTTATTTTCTTTACATTCACCAATGTGTTCATTCACTGTAACACCAAGTATCTCATATCTCATATTTTTAGGTTCTTGTTGTCTTCAACCTTGCAGATCCTCAGTCTTTACTTGGTGAATGGTTGGCATCATTTTTGAATGCAGCTCGCTTGCAATATGGTAAGTTATAAGATTCTGTGAAAATTATCAAACCACAATGTATCAAAGCAATAAATGTCTTGTTCCAGAAACTCCATTTTCCTTTGGTTTTGATTTTTCTTTAAGAGAAAAAATCAAAATGTTTAGATTAAATTAAGTTTACTTTATACACAGTGTCTATTGTCTTGTGTTTTCAAATCTTTTAGATACCATACTTTGCAAAAATTCTATAGTTAAAATTGTGCTGCTGTCTAAAGTGTGCTTAGAACTTCCACTTTGATACACTTTGCAGAGTTGAAGTTTGGTTTTTTAAAATGTTTGATGGGATTGGTTTTTTAAACTTTCTTTTGTCTCCTCTCATGTTATATGATTGGGTATTCCAATAGTAAGCTTTAGCATATCAGACCATTAAGATAATATGCAGAGAGAGTGATGTTGCAACCTATGGCTGGACCCCTTAGCCAATGCAACTTAATTAATCCAAACCTCTCCTGTTATTTGACATAAACTATATATGTCTGTTATATTGATATTTACATATGCATACATAAGTTCAATGCTGCTCGATGATTGTGGTGTGATTCCACTTGTTACAAGCATGCTTGTATAATTTCTGTAATAATTTGTGACTAAGTAATTTATTTACTTCAAAAGTATTGCAAATAGATCCAATTTGTTTTTGTGAAACAATCAACCTGTTGAAGTGTGCATGCTTGAATGACTGCACCTGTGCAGGTGATTCTCAAATGAAATGTGATTAAGAAAGTTATTTGGTAAGAGTAAATCCATTTGGCAGTTGCAATCACTGTTGCAATGTTTATGAACTTGAACAGTTGATTTAGTGGACTGTGCATGCTCAATTGATTTTTCTAATAGTATGTTACGGAGTGAGCAAGTTTCTCTCAGAGCAATGCAAGGAGATTCAGTTGATTGATATGAACTCCATTAGTTGATTGAGTGGACTGTGCAAGTTTTCAGTCATATATTATTGGCATGTTGTCTGTCTTCTTCAGCTTGTTTCAATCATTGTATTTTCAAACTCGTCACCTCAATGAGCTTTACTGTCATGGTGTGCCCCCATCTCGCATCAACAGCAAAGTAGGCAATACACAACTATAGACATTACATCTTGGAACAAAAAGAAAATATAGAAATATGCGCCTTTAGAGATTTTGTCTTACTTTCGTTTGATTCGGTTCAGTTTTGGGTTTTTTTTTAAAAAGGACAACAATACACATTTACCAGCTGATTAACAAGTATGACCATAAGGTACCGTAAAGATGAACAGTTCAACTTAAGCCAACACATGCTTGCTTTCTATGTGTTTTGCAAATCTTTGTCATTACCATGTAGCTACTGTGTTTATTGCTTTCTGTGACAAACTACACAAGGTGATACAAACATGTTTCTTGTCGTCTGTCTTGAAATATTTTCAAATGAAACTCTTTTCGTGCGGTTTTTTTAAGGAGAGAATGAACCGAACATTTTATTTTTTAAACGTTAACCCCAGCAAGCAATAAGTTAAGCGTTTAGCGGACGTTGAATGAAAAAATAAAATAGAAACCAATACGTTGGCCTATGATGTTTTCGTTGTTTGATATTGTAAGATGTTTATATTGTTCATTTTTGTTTCTCACTTTGAAAAGATTATCCTTGAATTTCAATTTTGTTTATATAGATGAAGCAAGTTGTGATGTTGAAGTCATCACACAATCTTTTTCTAGTAGATATGAACTTATATCTTGTATCGTTAAATTGGAATTCATAAAGCAATACGATAATGGTGCGTTTGGTTAAAATGATTTTTTATGCCTGGCTTGCACGAGAGACATAAGAACATAATATCCCTCAATATAACAATGAAAGTAAAGATTTAGTTACAAATAAGGACATAATATCCCTCAATATAGCAATGAAAGTAAAGATTTAGTTACAAATAAGGACATAATATCCCTCAATATAGCAATGAAAGTAAAAGCTCTAAGATTTAGTTACAAATTCCCAAAATTATTTTATAATAATAGACATTAACATGGCATAATGCAGGTTAAAAGGTTAGCCTTAAGGCCATAACCATCCAAAATATAATGTTGAATTATTTTCTTTAATTTAGTTGATGTTATTACAATCTTAAGCTGCCACTCGAGTTCTCAAGGTCAGGTGTTTTCATGTACACCCTCAGAAATATCTAGACGTTATGAATATGAAGAATTTGCTCGCTACACGATTTTGTTCGAGTGCTTCAAGATACTCTTGGACGATCCTTGTCAGCTATCCACATTTCGTCTTGTTTTACGTTAAAACTTGACTGCTCTCATCAGGTATAATAACATGTTTTATCTTTGATATATTTTATGAAACACACATAAAATGAATATTGTGCATTCCTATATCAAAAGATGGTTCTGCCGTGCATTCAGCCAAAGATCAGTAATATTATTTCATTTTTAGAAATCTATTGTTTTTACATTTAGTGAACACTGAAACATTTATATAGAAGAATGACCAAACTTGTGAACAGGCTACATCACTGTTGTCTATGTTTTTTTGTCACGTAATTTTTAGGATTGGCCTGTTGACGTCGAATGGTTGAAGAGAAATCTTTGCTGTACCTTATCTGGCAGCACAAAGGAAGTTTATGAAACCGGATCTCAAGTTGCAGATCTCTTTATAACATTATCCACATTGTTGCGTACAGGGGATAATTGTTTGGGCGACCACCTCAAAGTTTCTATAAATTCAGCTAGAGTGGAATTATTTCCTGATTTAGCTTTGGAGATGGGATTAGAAATCTTATCGCCCGAAGTCGTAGAGGGAAAAATATCAATGCTCAATGCTGATGAAGGAGTAATGAATTAAACTACTTTTTACTAATTAAATCTGTTTAATTAAATCATTTATATATTTATTAGTTATATTGACAATGGTCGTTTTGGTTATGCGTTTCAGGGATTGCTGTTTGTACTTGATCAAATATTTATAATTACAAGTCATATACTTTTTTTCTAGGTATCAGCACCAAGCCAAGTGAACTCATCTTTACATATAGTTATCATGGTCGGTAATGATTGCAATACCCTAAATCGTTGACTGCACAGCAAGCTTTAGCCGACGCTCTTGTCAAAAACCTCAATATTCGTATTTTGTCTGACATCAAATGTCAGTATAATTTGATCAAAATCGACGATGACGAATTGTGTTGGCAAGATAAACTTCGCTCGTGTGTCATAAGCATTGAAGGAAAAGCATTTTTTATTGCATTAGGTTCTTGTTGGACGAAACTTAATTTAGTCAATGTAATAATGGAATTACTTTCTTTGAAAAAGCCTGATTTCTGCTACGGAATACACTTTCAAGGTCTAAGCTCAATGCAGGCCTATTTTATGAAAATTCAGCTAAAGGACGCAAACACGTCTTTATGTTCCACTGTTGTAACAGCTCTTATTCAAGATGGAAAAAGTAATCCAATATGTTCGTTCCCAGTCTTACTATACATGATTCATCTCGCTATTGGCGAGAACGGAGAACGTACTTCAGGCAGAGGTCATATTCCAGGTTAGTAGTAAGACGTAGTTTTTCGTATTGTTTTGGTTATCTTTCATCGTTAAAGCTAAATATTGATTACTTATTTCTAGCTCATTTAAAATATAAGAAATACAATGGTCCAAATACTTCACGATGGACTCTCGAGGATGTGTATATGGAGACTGCTTATGTTCTGTCTGGATTATCTCGGAAAGCTGGATTACGCTTGCTCACTCAACCAAAATACAGTACAGAAAGTTCAATAGACATGAAAAGAAAACTTTGTAATGTTTCAACAAGTCAAACTACTGATGATGGGTGGGAAATTGTAAAGAAATTTCGTAAGGAAAGTTTAGTAGTTTTGTCTTCTAAAAATGACATAAACGTTTTAGATAAAGACAACGGTGGTGCTATGATGGATGTTTTCACTGAGAAAGACACCGAAGAAAATGAAACAAGAAATGTGAGGTTGAATCTTTCGGTTCATACACACACGAAAGGTAATGAGATGAACTGTGTAACCATGGAATATTTAGGTGATAAAGATATTGGCAAAAATGAAACGGGGGATTTGACGATGGACCATTCAGAAGATAAAGTCTCAGCAGCTAATGAAACGGGGGGTGTAACAATGGACCATTCAGAAGATAAAGCCTCAGGAGCTAATGAAACGAAGAGTGTAACAATGGATCTTTCAGTAGATAAAGTCTCAGGAGCTAATGAAACGGGGTGTAACAATGGACCATTCAGAAGATAAAGCCTCAGGAGCTAATGAAACGAAGGGTGTAACGATGGACCATTCAGAAGATAAACTCTCAGCAACTAATCAAACGGGGGGTGTAACAATGGAACTTTCAGTAGATAAAGTCTCAAGAACGGGGGGTGTAACGATGGAACATTCAGTAGATAAAGTCTCGGAAGCTAATGAAACGAAGGGTGTAACAATGGATCTTTCAGTAGATAAAGTCTCAGGAGCTAATGAAACGAAGGGTGTAACAATGGATCTTTCAGTAGATAAACTCTCAGGAGCTAATGAAACGAAGGGTGGAACAATGGATCTTTCAGTAGATAAACTCTCAGGAGCTAATGAAACGAAGGGTGGAACAATGGATCTTTCAGTAGATAAAATCTCAGAAGCTAATGAAACGAAGGGTGTAACAATGGATCTTTCAGTAGATAAAGTCTCAGGAGCTAATGAAACGAAGGGTGTAACAATGGATCTTTCAGTAGATAAACTCTCAGGAGCTAATGAAACGAAGGGTGTAACAATGGATCTTTCAGTAGATAAAGTCTCAGAAGATAATGAAACGAAGAGTGTAACAATGGATCTTTCAGTAGATAAAGTCTCAGGAGCTAATGAAACGAAGGGTGGAACAATGGATCTTTCAGTAGATAAAGTCTCAGAAGATAATGAAACGAAGGGTGTAACAATGGATATTTCAGTAGATAAAGTCTCAGGAGCTAATGAAACGAAGGGTGTAACAATGGATCTTTCAGTAGATAAAGTCTCAGGACCTAATGAAACGAAGGGTGTAATGATGGATCTTTCAGTAGATAAACTTTCAGGAGCTAATGAAACGAAGGGTGTAACAATGGATCTTTCAGTAGATAAACTCTCAGGAGCTAATGAAACGAAGAGTGTAACAATGGATCTTTCAGTAGATAAAGTCTCAGGAGCTAATGAAACGAAGGGTGTAACAATGGATCTTTCAGTAGATAAACTCTCAGGAGCTAATGAAACGAAGGGTGTAACAATGGATCTTTCAGAAGATAAAGTCTCAGGAGCTAATGAAACGAAGGGTGTAACAATGGATCTTTCAGTAGATAAAGTCTCAGGAGCTAATGAAACGAAGGGTGTAACAATGGATCTTTCAGTAGATAAACTCTCAGGAGCTAATGAAACGAAGGGTGTAACAATGGATATTTCAGTAGATAAAGTCTCAAGAGCTAATGAAACGGGGGTGTAACAATGGATCTTTCAATAGATAAAGTCTCAAGAGCTAATGAAACGGGGGTGTAATGATGGATCGTTTGGTAAATAAACAAGAGACTTCGTCATTCAATTTAAAACACAACACATATTTTCAACAACTTGAAACTGCATACGTACACCATAGCACATCTAAATGCAATGACTTATTGGCATCTGATCATTGTAAAAGTTTGCCAATGACCAATGAAGATCTTTCTTGTTACAATTTCTCAAAGCAAAAGAAAGAGACCGTAATAACTACCTGGAGTGTTGAAGAAACCAAGATTAGCGATTATAAAGTTGATGAAAAAATGTAGAGAATTCGTTGTCTTTAATTAAAGATTGTTATCCGTCCGAAAAGGTTGATTTTACCCCTGAAAAAACAAACATACGCAACTTAAGTGACACAGTCAATGTAACTGAACAATCAAATTCTTCTTTAAACTTTTATGAGCGGAATAATACTGACGGCAATGAAGATTTTTTGATTTCAAGGTCACCCCAAACTGGTCTCGTATGTACTTATGATGCAAGTTCAAACGATCAATCTGCATATACTTGTTGCAGCAAAGAATCTTCGTCAATTTCTCCTGACTTGAAACAGAAAGATGTTTGCAACGCAAGTGAAACCTGTTGTAATACCATACGCGAATACGATGATGATTATGTAAATGTTCTTGACGATGAATCGTGTGACGAGAGCTCGTGGAACATGAATGATGATTTACCTTTGTTGGCTAATGTTGATGAAATTCTAGTTACACATTACGTATTGGATTTGAGTGTAGACTTCAGTAGAAAAGTAATGAATGGGGATATAACTTTATTTTTAAAGCCAGCTTTAAAGGTGGATACAAACAGACAGTTTCAGTTGTGTTTAGATTGCTCTTTAGTTGATATTCAGTCAGTTGAAGAGATCAATTTAACGGATGAATTTATTGTAAGACGATATTCAAACGAAACTGAATGTAGCACTTATTCATCAGATATATTTAACGTTGACAAGTACGAGAGATCTCCTAAACCTCTTCCTTACTCTCTATTGCCATACGCTGTTCGAAATTGGTGCATTAGAATTTGGAAACCTTGCAATCTTGGCAAGACCTGGCCACGCTGTGTAAGAATCAAATATTGTACAAGACCCGAGGGAAAATCTCTGACGTGGTCCATCGATCAGAATAACAGGTATACTAAATGCATTAAAAAAAACATACATAAAATCTGTTGTCTTGCAAAACGTATATTTTTCATTTTGTTGATTATTGATTTTAATAATAGACCATGTGTTTTTTCTCCTGGTGCTTATATCAACAATCGTTCTTTAATGCCATGTCAAGAACCACCTGTTGCTATGTCGACATGGCAAGCTGCCATTCATGTTCCTAAATCATGTCGAGTTTTAATGAGTGGAAATGAGATTTCTGCGCAGCGCAACGAGGAGGATGATATCGGTAAGATGCAGATTAAATTAAACTCGGGGGGTGGGGTAAGAAAAATGGGTTGACTCCTCAATATGATTGCCCCGTGTTTCTTTGCCGAAAGCGACTTTGCCTAGTCAACTTGTTTTGGTTCATTCTGAGTTTCATTTGCTCGTTTGCACCTGGAAAATTGTCATTTTTGTTTAAGTTAATCCATCTTGGTAGGAAAATTTACATGTACGTCATGTAATTAGACGTTGTGATACATTCATCTACCTATCCTCTACAAATTTTCCCGGAATGGTGATGTTGATGACAAACGTGAATATTTGACGTTTCCGTAGTTTTCAACCTTGACTGTGTGATGAGGTCACAAAATAAAACTCTTGACACCTTGAAAAACTAGCGAGAATCACGAATTGTATTAAATATTAACTTTTTATTATTATTATTTTAGTGACATTCCTTTTTGAGATGAACGTTTCATTGCCTTGTTCTACATTGGCTCTTGCAATTGGTTGGTTTGAATGTCGTGAGACGTCAACGGTCGCTTTATCGTCTGTCATTAAATGTCGTTTGTTCAGTGCCGACAAACTTGTTAATGAAGCAAGTGAAGAACTTCTTCCTCGCTGTGCCCAGTATGTGAGCGCTGCCTGTGAATTACTGGGGCCTTATCCGTTCACGAGAATGGATCTTGTCATACTTCCCAGATGCTTTGCCTGCATGGGCTTAATGAGGTTAGAGCATGCTCTGATATGCTTAATTACATTATTAAAATTTCTAAATGACTGCATTTTGTTTTATGGATGTAATTTATTTTTGCTTTGGTGATTAACGGAGGACAAATATTCGAAAAAATTAGGCAAAAGCAATTGGAATGTGTTTATCCAGGACATGCAGTTTTTTTAATAAATGTGATTTTTTCTCTTTGTGTAAATGTGATTCTATTGTCTTTGTGTAAATGTACACTATTCTTTTCGTATGAATTTGATTCTATTCTCTTCGTGTAAATGTGATTATATTCTCTTCCTGTAAATTTGATTCTATTCTCTTCGTGTAAATTTGATTCTATTCTCTTCGTGTAAATTTGATTCTATTCTCTTCCTGTAAATGTGATTCTATTCTCTTCGTGTAAAGGTGATTCTATTCTTTTCGTGTAAAGGTGATTCTACTCTCTTCGTGTAAATTTGATTCTATTCTCTTCGTGTAAATTTGATTCTATTCTCTTCGTGTAAATGTGATTCTATTCTCTTCGTGTAAATGTGATTCTATTCTCTTCGTGTAAATTTTATTCTCTTCGTGTAAATTTGATTCTATTCTCTTCGTGTAAATGTGATTCTATTCTTTTCGTGTAAAGGTGATTCTATTCTCTTCGTGTAAATGCGATTCTATTCTCTTCGTGTAAATGCGATTCTATTGTCGATTAAATGAACTCAGAAAGTTTTATTTCTTTGCAGTCCAAACATGGCGTTTCTTTCACAGTCTATTTTGGCCCAAGATGGCAGCATGTGTACACGTGTTGCTCACGAGATATCTCATTCATGGTTTGGTTTGCATATTGGTGCCAAAAATTGGTCAGAAGAATGGTTGAGTGAGGGATTTGCTACTTATCTAGAGGAAAGAATACTTTGTAAAGTGGAAGGAGTTAGTACTTCTATATAATGACCATATTTGAATTGAACACTGTAAAAAATATGGCTTATGTGTTTTTCCTTCTTAATGGCTTTTATTTAGTGGACCAGCGACGAAGAATTGTACTATATTGAGCTATATCAAATTTTGAAGCATCGAATTTTGTTAGCCGAGTTTGAACATGCTGATGAAAACATGCAACGACTTAGGTATTTTAATTTTAAGTACTCTCATATTGTAATTAATGGTTTGAGTACTTTTGAATTTTTCTTAAACAATGCTTACGTCATACGAAACCGTCGCATTTGTGATTCACCATTTCTCACATTTCAGACCAAAGTTGCCCAGTGTTGTCACGGGTAAGCTGCGATAGCATTTATGTCAGTATACTAAGGATTTTACTGCACGTATGGATCTGTATTTTATGGTAAAAATTTTTAAATTGTCTCAGTTGGTTCTTGTACTAAAAATATAGCTGCCGAAGCTGTCCGTAAAAGTTTAGAAAAACCAAACGAAAAGGAAGGCGATGATGTCCTTTCACAAACTACTGTAACAAGCAATGGTCAAGTTTGTTCAAAGAAATGGACACAAATATACTATCTCAAGGCATGTTGTTGTCTTGATATTCACATATCTATTTAACAAATGCTCTCGCTAATAAAGTTATCTATGGATTTTTAGGGATATTTTTTGCTACATCACATGGCCTCTCTCGTTGGGATAAGGAATTTTGATAACTTTCTTAAGGAATATGTCATGGAATATGGTGGAAAATTAGTTAACTCTGAGGTAGTTACTAGTTGAGGGCTTGTTAAAGTGCAAAATGATGTTTTCGATCGTGTAATTAATGTTCTTTGAAGAATTTCAACAATAACTTACATGTTTTTTCATTGTTTAGGACTTTTTTACATATTTTGAAACAAGATTTACAGAGCTAAGGTAAAGCTGGAGATGGTTTTCTAACAGTATAAAGTATGGAGTTTTACATGTAGTTTTTAAAATATCAGGGAAAGCAAAATTAAAAATCGCCTAATCGAAGAATGGTTAGAAAGTCATGGTCTTCCTTCGGTAAGAACTTCATTGGCGTTTCTTCATCTTGTCATTTGTCTTCCGACAGTTCTGACGTTGATACATTTACACAATGTTTCATCTGTTGGATCTTCTACATTTAGCAAATGAAAAAAAGAACTAAATCTTCAAAGAATTTCTTGATACGTCAAGTTGAAAATGAAGTAGGTACAATTTGAGGTATTTTGAAATAATTCATTTTATATAACATTTTAGCCGTGCAGTATTATCATTTGAAAAATGTTTTTGTTTGCGATGTAGTTCAGTTTCTGGAAAAAAACAGACTCAGTTAATAAAAGAAGAAAGACATTACATATCAGAAGCAAGAAACCTCTCAAGGATCATTCTAAATTGGTGTGTGTTTTATGTTTCTTCCGACAATCCTGTAACGACTACATTATTTCAATACGCATTACGTAACTGTTGTTTTTCAGAACGATCAAATTCAAATAGTTGTCCTCTTGGAGAGATTATTGGAGCGTGATACCTTTGCAACAGCAACTCTTACTCAACTAGATAATTGTTATCGTTTTGCTGAAAAAAATGCCGAAGTATGTTGTGTTTGGTTTATTGTAGTTGTTTTATGCTACGAACAATGTTCTATGAATGTCGCCTGCATTCAACGAAACAAATATATCATAAACATTGATTATTTTCGTGATAGGTTCGTCATCGTTGGTGTGAACTTGTGGTCAAACACAGGTACAATAAATTGCACAACATAGTATCCGTCAAAATCTCTTTTATTCTTTTAACTCCATTTATTTGTGCTTAAAGCCAAAGACCTTTGCCTTACAAAAAGACACTATCTAAAACAGAAACTCACTCGCCAAACCATGTATTCAATTTCTGTTAATTTAGTTTTTCTTACACCAATGCTCTCTGAATTGGCAAAAATATCTATAATTTTTTTTCAAAGATACGGACCTGGTTATCCTGAAATAAAAAGGTTTTTGATTGAAGATCAAGTAAGTGACTGAAATTGTAATCAAATTGTACGGATTACTACCGAGTATGTAGTTATACCTATAATTGCAAGATGTACCCCCATGAATACAATGATTAACTAGCTAATTGTACCTAGATTAGCAAGACGTACCCCCATAACCATGATAAGTAGCTTGTATGTATATTAGCAAGATGTACCCCCTTGAATACAATGAGTACCTACTTGTATCTATAATAGCAAGTTGTACCCCCTTAACTACAATTAGTGGCTAGTTGTATCAATAATAGGAAAATGTACCCATACGTACCTACCACGAGTAGCTAGTTGTATCTAAATGTACTCATAACTTCTATGAGTTACTGAATACACCCGTAACTACCATAATAGCAAGATTCAACCATTCATGGCGATGACAGGTGACTTTTTCTTTACCACTTGCAGAAGCGTAAACAGTGTAGCAACACGATAAAAATTTACTAAAATTTATATTTTCAGGGAATGGGAATCTATCTTTTTGGTGAATTATTAATATCGCAACTACCTCGACAAAAGCAATTGGTTTTTGATGTGCTCTCTATAATAGGAGGTGAAATGGACCAATGTACATTAAAGACAGTTCAAGATATGATTGAGGGAAGAGATTAAAATCTTTGAAAAAGGCACTCGTTTAATGACGAGAATGTTCCCTCGCAAGCCTTCGCAAGATGGCTAAAACGACAAATACACAAATCTGGTAAATTAAACATGCGTGAACAAAAAAAAAACTCTACAAAAATGGCGAAGTCTGATGTTTAATGTATTTCGTTATAAAACTTAGTGTACAAAGATTTATTTATAACTGTTTTAGCGTTTCGAGAAAGGAGCTTTTTGCCGATGGTAAACACGTGACTGTTGTATTTTGTCTAAAACAAAAATGTCGGGTTGGTTAAAGTATATAAATTATTCATTCATTCATGTACAAAAGACAATAATGCATTATTAATGTACACAAGAAGCAAAGACATACTGTCTATTGAAAAATATTTGGTAGAACAAAACGATAGATCATAAAAACATGCTAAAATGCCTGAATGTTGAGCTTACTTTGACAAGAAGGCGGTTAAAATAAAAGCACAATCTTTGGGAAAATATTCCTGTTTTATAGCGTTATCAAGTGCCAATAAAACACCAGTGATATCTTGACAAGTTGGTTTGATCTTCTCTTCACTCTATGTAAAAATATGTATCTTTCCTCTCTTTGTACATAGCTGTTTTATGTAAAGAAAAAAACTGAAGTAATCACAAAATATATACCTTTAATAATCCCATGAAAACGAGTAAATCGTTTATAACTGTTTCAGGCTTATCGCAAACTGAGAAGGCTTCACGTAGAATCAAGTCTTGAGAAGAATAAAAAACACGTGCAAATATGTACACAATGTCCGGTGAACATAGATCTACGTACAAACAGGTTATGGTGCTCGTATGTTGAAATCATTTACTTTATAACATATAACTCTACCAAGAATTGTCCTCGAAAAACATACCTGTACACGGAAGAAAATCACGAGTGTTGTGAATCATAGAGGACACCTAAGAGAAACACACATTCACATCATTTATACATAAAGAACTGCTAAAACAACTTAACATAAGGAAAGAAGTCTAACCTCTACAAATAATTTACAAATAGACATCGCATCATTTATACACGCCTGTATATTAAAAAAAAGATTGATGTAAGGTTCAATACACTCAACTTCCAATCAACTGACATACATTACCAACATTAATGAACAATATTTATCATTCCGCGTACCTTCAAACTTCTCTGTATAAGTTCAACTCTGTTTTCATGTGGCAAGTTTGTAAAACTTTCCAAAGACGGATGAAGCAAAAATTTCTCAGCGCTTTTTACATCGTCCTGGAAGTACAGTTCTTTACAAGTTCTTTGAAATAGAATCGAGTGGATATAGTCGAAAAGCAAACTAACGAACAATAGTTCAAATATTTTATTCATTTTTTCTAAATTAATTGATAAATTCTTGTCAAATATATCACTTATTAAATAAATTTATGCAATTTAAAATAGAATAGTAAAATACAATTACACGATTTTCATTTCCCTGCGCAGAATTCGTCAGCGAGTTTTCCAGTAACTTTAAAAAGATGAATATCGCGATTCTTAAGAAATGGTGTCATTAGCTCAAACCTGTTCAGATTTTATCTTTTCATCATTGACTTTTTCTTTTTCTTCGTCGCCACCATCTTCATCTTCTTCATCGCTTTCATCATCATCAGTTTCAGAATCTTCACCTTCATCATCACTCATTGAATCAAGAACATTGTCAAGTTTAAGCTCGATTAATCTATTTTGAACTTCTTTTATGCCATCTTCTCCTATAGAGTTACCTAAAGTAGAACATTTGTATTATTAGCATCATTGCCATTACGAATGGCGGGAACCAAGGTCGCTTGAAACGCAAGCAGTTATTGAATACTATACCTATGCTAATAAAACTTTGAACGATGTATAATAGAGTTTGCATTTTAAATATTCCCATATATATGTGTTGACTGTAAGTATTCTTTTGTTTTATTAATTTATTTTCATTTGCTCAAATTCATATTACGCAATCAAATTAACACGCGCGCAACAGAAACGGTAAAACAATATTCCGTTCTTTTTAACTCACCATTTAGATAAAGTTTTTTAAATTCTTTTTTGTTTTCCAATGACTCTACAACTTGCAAAGCTGCATCTTTGTTTATTTCACAAAATGTTAAAATCAATTCCTGAGGAAAATGTGAAATTACAGTTGGTAACGTTACAAATTGATTGGTAGTTTCAGTTGATTAGATGATCACCTTCAATTTAGCATGGTTTGTTTTTAGAGCATCTGCAATGGCACTTGCTCCTTTTGACTTTACCAAACAATCACCAAAGTTAATAACTTCTAAATTTGTAAGGCTAGGAAGAACCTGGTATAAACGGAGTGCAAATGAGTTTTAAAAGACATAAATGTACTGAATATTGGTGATGACTATTGATTCCTCATGGGATGAAATGAAAATGATATAATTCGATAATTGTGACCATATATGAACAGCTTTTTCTAGAATATAGTACATATCCAAAGGACTTGGTTTGTGTGTTTGGTGAAAAGCAACAAATTTACTTCTGTAGACATTTGTGTTGAAATAAACCCTGCGCAGGCTTTTCATTCAAATTAAATAGGTTTTCACAATTAAATGGTAGTACAGTCGGGGTCAAAGTTAACTTGTAATACCTTTGACATAGCTATTGCACCCTTAGCAGTAAATGTATTGTCATTCAAATTCACAACCTACAAATCAAAATAAATTTAAGAAAATACTTAATGAAATAACTTTGAATATGAAACTTCATATGTAAGTATTACACACTTTAAGAGCAATGTTATGTTCAAAAGACTTGGCCAAAGCTGATATTCCAGGATGATTTATACCATTTTGAGGCATGGAGATTTCTTCAAGAGTTCCAATTTCCTGCATAGAATATATAAATATATGTAGCAACAAATAATATTGAGTTCAATATGAAATAATTTTTACAAATTCTTTTATTACCGTAAAAGCTCTAGCCAATGCAATACTCCCTTCATTTTCCAATCTATTTCGTCCAGCAACAAAACTTGAAGCTTTAAAGGAGTGCCAGCAGCAACACTTGCTTTGTGACATTCTAATAAGGCCTCTGACAAAATCTAAAATAAATGGACATATTACATGAGTGAAGATGTTCAGCTACTAATATATGTTCAAAAATTTTTCGCACCTTTCCCCACCAATTCCCAGACCATTATTATTAAATTTCAAAGTTTTTAAGGAAAAACAAGACGGACTTTTCAGAAGTTTTGATACTGATTTCACACCATCAGGTCCAAATGCATTGTCACATAAATCCAACTCTGAAAGTTGAGCCCCTGCAGTTATTACAGCATCACCAAGACTTTCCTTGAGAAAAAATAACTAATTTAGATGTTTGTAATCATTACAAATGTTTGAAGTAATATATAATCTTACCAGAGCTTTTGGTATCTCTGCTTTTAATCTTCCAGTAAACATATCATTCCATAAAGCTTTCTAAATCATTATGAGAGATGTTAAAGTAATAATCCATGACATCAACATTTAATTTAACATTGATCACAATGACATCAAACCTCAAATTCCTTTCGTTTGGACAATGCTTGTGCAATGGCCTTTGCAGCCTCCACACCAAGGGTATTCCCCTCCAATGATAGGGCTTGCACATCTTGACTTTCTTCAATTTTCTTTACAATCTCAGCAACTATAAATAATGATAGCAATCGCTTGTTCGAAATTACAAACAAAGTTCTTATTCTCAAAATTGATATGCTTCTCTCACAAATCACATTACAATAAAAATGAAGAAACATCATCACACCAAAAAAGATCATTAAAACGATGCTAATACTAAATCATGGACAGTGTTCCATCAGCTCACCATCTTCCGCTGTGTCCAGTTTCCGTCCACTGTCAGCCAAACACACCACGTTGACGTGCTTTACAGACGTTTTAGCCAGAGAGTCAGTAACATTCTCAACTTCGTTTGTTGAAGCCATCGTCCATAAATTTGATGCTGTGTTTTGCTCTACAATATCAAATGCTGCTTCAAACTCTAACTACTCATGTTCCACAACCAACTTCCGTTTGTTGAATAATTAGGAGACTTCCCGCGTGAAAAGAAGGTAAATACGCAATTTTGAAATCGTCTAAAGCTAAACTTATATCAAGTATTGGTCATTCAAACCATAAGCTGCTAGAATACAACGGGCGCCTTCAAATAATTTCATTGGAAGTTATGGAACTGATTTAAAAGTTTTCAGACATTAGTTTCTGGATAAAGAATCGGTTTATTGCACTTCAAATTGTTGAAATATTTGATCATTTCGATAAAATTAGGTATAAACAAAAACATGGCAATGAGATGATTTGCACTGCATGTAATAAACTAACTTTGAACCAACTGTTTTTAGATTTTTTGAACTGATTTCTTGTTGTCATTGACTCATTGCTTTGGATCATTATCTGCCTGTATTTGAAATGGTTGGTGTTGTGGTAAGTTTTTACTTAATATAAAATTTTTGTTAAAGAACGGATATGTGAAGAAAGATTATTTTTTATTCCAAAAAATTCTGTAGTCTTTGATATTTAAATGATTTGATTAAACATGCAAAATTAATCATGCGGATCAGAAAGAATGTATAATATTAGCTATCTTTCTGTAGTATTAATCCAAAAGAAACCATCAGGTTTCTTATTGGCTGAAATTAAATAAGTGTTATTTTACAGTTATATGCACTTAGCTTTATCAACTTTAAATCAATAGTATATTTTTGATTTCCCATATTCCTTATTGAAGATCTCAAGGCATCATTCACCATTTTTCACATTTTTCTTAAATTTAAATTTGGCAATGGCTGCTGATTGTTGTTACTTGTGGAAATGTGAAAGCTGAGAATTTTCTGTGATACTAAAATTGGCATTTTGTTATTTTATTTTAATGAATATATTGAATATTGAAATTGCATGCATTACTTCTAGAACATCACATAAGTTAAACATGTTATTTTATAGTTATTAGTAAATATAGAAGTGGCGATAGCTTGCATTTTCTTTAGAAATTACTTCAATTCAATAAGACTACCTATATCTCCTACTGTCAGCTTGTGTTAAAAAAAACTCATGCTAAAAATTAACATGTGCTAAAATGACTATGTTTATAACAGTTTTTAGTTGTTCAGGCAACTAAAAAGAACAGTTATGGATAAAACAGTAATTTTATTTTTTGAAGTCGTTTTAGTTATATTTTCACATCAATAATGTAAATTGTGCATCAACAATAAGGTAAATTGTGCATCAACAATAAGGTAAATTGTGCATCAACAATAAGGTAAGTTGTGCATCAACAATAAGGTAAATTGTGCATCAACAATAAGGTAAATTGTGCATCAACAATTGTGCATCAACAATAAGGTAAATTGTGCATCAACAATAAGGTAAATTGTGCATCAACAAAGTGAAATGAACTCAGTAACATAAATGACTATGATGATGTGCATTAATTAAGCCCTGCTCTAAATTTTTTTGACACAGATAAGTTTGCTTTACCCCAACAGATTAAATGGTACGTTTGGAGCTCCTGCTTGCGCTGTTGCTTGGGACTGCATAATCAATAATTTGTTTTTCTGAGCGTCATTTTCTCCAAAATTGTTAAACGCAATGTTTGAATTCACATTCCCATCGTCATTGCTCAAGTTTCTTATACTTCTTTCAACGCGATTCTGTATTTCGTTCAACTCTTTGCGTTGATTATTGACGTAGGTCAATGCTACATTAATGCTTGCCACAGCCTCTTTTGCTTTCGTCGTGTTTGTCACGTCAATCATATCAAGCCCAATGTTGCTGTTGGACGAGCGCGTGTCATTCAGTGTTATTTCTATGTATTCATTACTGTCAGCACCAACGGTAAAACGTTGTTTTCCATAACTACCATCGAGCAGATGTTGGCTGTTGTATGTTGTTGTTTCTGCAAGACGGTTGAGCTGCTCTTTCAAATTGATAACTTCTTTTTGAGGTGCATTGCGGTCATGGGAGTTTTCAGATTGTACAGATAAATCGTGCATACGTTCCAGAACATCATTAATCTCAGTTAGCGCACTTTCAGCGGTCTGTATCATCGACAGAAGGTCAGTCAAGTTACGCACTGCCACATTCAGGTCATGTCTTTCCGTGTTCGAAAGACCAGAGCTTCCCTCTACCACGTCATCTTGTTGATTGTTTAATCTAAAGCCCGAGGACAGACGATCCATTGCAGTTTGCAAACCAGAGTTTGTATTGCCACTGTTAAGGTTTCTTAGATCAGGGTTTATGTGTATCGATGGATCCATTGAGAGTCTTTCTGCAGCAGTTTCAACTTGCACGTAACTTACGAATTATGTGATAGATTGTCAGAGAATGGCTTATGACTACAAAGTTTCTTCTTTCCAATTTGACTATCGTATATGATATGCATGATTTCATAAAAGGCGTACTGGTTCATCCCATGTCCATATAAGGTATGCGTAATGCTATCAACGAACATTGAAATACCGCGTCTTCACTTCGATAAAATATTTGAAAATAGAGTAGAAATTTGGCGTTAAATTTTCCCAAAGATGATAAAATAACCAGCAAAGAAGCTACCAATATCAAAGAAAAGCCTTCTTTGTCTTTAACGTGATGTTTGTAAAATTTGGTTGTTAGATGTTGTCTTGTGTGGCTTTGGTTACCTTCGCTTTAAGCGTTGATAAACATTCCATGTTTTTTACAAAGTACCTTATTCTGTACGAGCTTTTTCAGCATTCTCATCTTTAATAAATTGGAGGGAAGAGTTCATTTTACCTATTTTAAGTTTGAAGCAGTTCAATTCAGAAGAGCCTGAATGATTATTGGTTGTAAGCAGGACTGCATGGACTTTATTTTGAATGTGGGGAGAGTAACAGTGTTTTGTATTGGACATGATGGAAGAGTTACGTCACAATAAAAATTGCTTTCATTCCTTGGAGCATTTTTGACATCCAACTGTCAAGAAAGAGATTATTTTTCTTCAAAGTTCTTAGTTATTAAATAAAAGGACATTGCATTTTATATTGGATTAGGTAGTAAATGCGCTTCTCAAGGCAATTTTCAGGTTATGACCACGACATGCTCTCTTTTCTAATTACTAAATTTCTTAATTTTAAGCAAATTTAAGCAGAACCTTCTTAAAAAGTGGAAATTATATAAATTCTTGAGACATATCTGTTTTGATGTTCAATCTCACTGTCCATAATATGGATTTTAAAATTCTCGTTTGAAACTGAATTAAAAAGTGAATTAAGGCAATGTTTAGCAGGTTTTCATGTTCTTTAAAGGCTCAAGTGAATATTTCATCCTGTTTACCAAGTCCATATTTATTTATTTACTGTCGACCTATACAAAAATAGTTTAAAATGACTTAAAGAAATGTAGTAATGAATGACATTTCATAGCGATATTGTATCTTCATAATTATAACCATTATTTGCAGGCAATAAAAATAAATAAATTTCACTTCCTTTACGTTAATTTCAAACAAAACTTCTACATATGCGTATGCGCAATTTCCCTGAAAATATAAAAAACGTTCTGTGGTTGTGTTTAAGGAGAATTATTTTCTTTAGATCGAGATGAAGCTTTTGTCTGAATATCCCGATTTTCAAGTTCATCGCTATGATGTTTTTTATTTCTTGTCCACCATTTTCGTTTTGGACTTGAGATTTTTTCCTCTAAACTCGAAAACGACGAAGAATTACAATTTTTATTTACGCTGCTGTTACTAGGGTGTACTTTTCCAGATTTAATTCTTCCTGAACTATCTTGGCTAATAGTTGAGCCTTCTCGTCGAAAATTAGACCGCTTCGTCGATCTCTCAGATTCTCCATCCACAAAATCATAGGTATTCTCGCTTTCTTCGTTTTCATACGTTTCACTAGTGCTTCCACTTGGATCAGATGCGTGTCTTTCGACTCCTTTTCTGGCTTTAACTCGTGCAGTAGAATTTTCCTCGAATGTGGGGCAAGTAGCAGCACGTTGTACTGGTATTTTTTCATTAGACGTTACATTTGTTGTTTCTTGGCCTGTGGCATTTTGATTTCTGAATGATTGGGTACGATTGCTCAAAGACTCAGTCGAATCGCACCATAAGAAAGAAGTACGAACTCCAAGATCAAGATGGCAGCAAGTTTCAATTTGTTGCCAACGATATTGAAGTTCTTCCAAGTCATTAGTCACTTCGGCCAACAAAGATCTACAATAAGTCATAGGAATCGTTTAGACACTATACTCACAACATGGTTCATCACGAGTTTACATCATCACAACATATATAAGCATATACATTAGTGTCTCTTAACATTTTTCTAACATTTCATTATTTTCCCAAGCAAAAACATAGTAGCCAACGATAATAGTTGCGTTTTACACTTATTTCCTATCTACGTATGGTAAATTTCATCCAATTACATAAAACAGAAATAAGAGTGTGTCTAAGTTACAATTGAATACTTAAATTCACGCACCGAGCTCCAAGTATTCTTTGATCAACATCATCAATATATTGATCATGAACCAGTCGAAGAGAGCCCAATAAAGTATTTCGCTTTCGTTTTAGTCGACTACACTGTAAATAAAACAGATCTTAACTTCTTAAGCGTTAAAGATGAACAAAAAGCTAAAGTTGGAAAAGCATCTTTATAGAAAACTAATTATTGTGAGTCTGCCTTACAACTTACAGCATCTTTTGCTTCCTCCATTTTTTTCATAGCTACGTTGCGTCGGTATTGAAAGTTTTTTACTTCTTTCTGGTAAGTTAACTTGAGCCATTTTTTCAGTGATAAAGATAATTCTGATGAAAGATATTCAACTTCTTTTTCAGAGTTGTTCAACGCCTCTCGCACCTGATACAAGAATACGCAAGCAAATACACGAGATTTGGATTGAAAAATGGAAACCTTGTGTTTGATAGATAAGAAGCATCACTTGATGTTGACATATTTCACCGTTGTTGCATTCATTTCTAATCACGCGTACAAATTTATGTCAACGATAACGTGATAAAAGGAAACTACATGCAACGACGTGGACTGATTCCTACATAGCCAACTAACTGATCAAAAATCTGTGCTTTGTGCTCCACCATAATGCCAATATTAACCATAGCCATCCCCTTCTAGGAGATGTTGGTGCTCTTACAGTTCTAACTCCATGTAACTATGGACTATATCTGTATTTTTGATCATTTACCATAATATGATTGCAGTATGGTACCAATTCAAACTTTCTCATGTGTACAAACTGTAATTAATTTAAACACAAACAAAAAAGCCTTCTTTGATAGAACTAAACCAAAGAAATTTTCCTTGTTCATTTTCTTTATATGATTTTAGTACAACTACAACATACCTGAATTAGTTCTTGTTCAGCAAGTTTTAGTCTGGTATGAATTTCATCAGAATGCCCTTCACGTGCTTCACGAAGACGTTGAGCTTCTCGCTAAAGGAAGTAGACAAAACATTAATAAAAGGAATTAACTTTTTTTTTATATTTTGTAAAATCTTGTTACCTTTGCAGCTTCAATCTCTTCTTTAAGATTGCTTTCAAGTTGAAATTTTTCGTGCTGTACAACTTGATGGTTCTCCTCGGCTTCCTGTAGTCTAGGAAAGCGAAAAGAACAAAAAAATTCAAGATAAAAGATCTTTAGTTTTTGGCTAATAAACTGCACATATAATTTGATTTTAAGAAAGTAAATGACCTGTTTTTAAGGTGGGCTAGATTTTTTTCTGCATCTTGCAAAATTTCCACATCTTTTATCATGGACTCCATTTGTTTCTGTACTTTACGTTTTTGAGTATTCGAGAACCAAAATCCCATCATAGCAACAAAAACAAGCAAACCCAAAATAAAGTCCTTGAAGTAGTTGTGTCCTTAAATTAAAATTTTTATTACTTTAAATTTTAATAAGGTAAACTTTATGTAGTAAAAGTATAATTCAAAAACAGGCTGACTTCTTAAATCTCCAAAAAGAACAACATCCATTGCTCTAAGAGAAATCTTTTTTCTTTCGATTGCATTTGGAATTTTGAGCTGAACAAATAGTTCATTGTCATTAGAAGCTAATCTAAACAAGATAGTAAACAGCATGTTGGAAAAAAAATATGTTTTAGAATCATAGCCACGTTAATTATTTTTGACCTTGGCAAGTAATGACCATTGATTTTGTTTTTTCTAAAGATTTCAGCATACTGAGGTAAATGAACAACATCAGTTAACCAGATTGCAACATCATCAGGAGTCCATTTTAAGACTAATAAAACAAATATAATAGTTATATAATTTGCTAATGGAACTATTCAAAAGCAATAATTACCATGGTTTTTCTGCCAAGCATTCCACAGATCATTTAGGCTAATAGAGCCATCACCAGAATGGAACTTTGAGTGGCGTTTTTGATCTTTGACATTTAACTCATGTTGAAGAAACTGCAACAAAATTTTCTCGACATTTGCAATTGAACTGCAACCTTAAAACAAAAGCTCATAAACACAAAAATAAAAACCTCCTTTGACTCAGTGTAATCCACATCACCATTCTTGTCATCATCCAAATTGTCATGTAATTTACGAATTGCATCATATTCCAGTTCTATAAGCTTTTTATCTATAATATAATTAAAATATTGAACACCCTCAGATTTCTAACATGAAAAACTGAGTCATTCTCTTAATAATTCATTGAAAGAATGAAGCATTGTATCCTACTGCATGTGAACCAACTTGTATTAATGAAAAACTTGGAAATAAAAGTTTGATGTAACTTCTGAAAATAATTCAAACATAACCATTAGCCATTTAAATGGGCAAAAGGAAAGCCTACGTAGCATCACCAGGAAACTGTTTTTGTAATGATGCATTTCTGCAAGAAATATTTTTGGATAATTTTCGAGCATAATTACAAAATTAATATTTCCATAATATCAATTATTACAGTTGCTAAAGACGTTCGTGTCAATTGTCGACTCCGAGACGCATCTTGACAATTATTATAATTCTCAAACTTTACGAAATATATATATATCGTTGTACAATATACATTGCCAGCAAAGCATCGGAATTAGCATCAAGTACTTTTGTCGTTTCAGCAACAATTGCTTCATATAGTCCACTACATTTCATTTTCAACACCTGGGTAGAACAAGGACGCTCACCTTCGTTTAACAATTTTTCATTTCCTAGTACGACGAATAATAATGACATCCATAAGCAAAGAATAGAAACGAGAAAAAAATCTCGCGATTTCATGATCAACAAAACAAAAGAGAAATACACGTTTCCATCAGTATTATACTATAGTGCTATTGCTGGAGAAACATAAATAACATAAGAGCTATCATATTTCATTGTCACATGCACTGATGCATAGCAATGAAAGCATCAACATAAAATGTAAAAAGGAAGTCGGAGACATACGAGCAATTCCGAAATTTTTAAGTACATCCATGTGGGATCTATGTAAAAAAAATAATAGCCTTTTTCAAGTATTTCCTAATTTTAAAGTAGCTGTATTATTTACAAAAAGCTAAGAGCTGTAAATGATATTAGTGATATTTGGTATACATTTTTACTTCCTTTGAATTAATTATTAGCTGTTGTCGAACCAGTTCATGAATTTTATTTTACCTTGACTTACGTCACTTCCTTCGTCCGCGACGAAGATGACACGTAAATTTTAATTTGTGAAATACACACAATAGATCGGAGATCAGTTGTTGATTTCTTTTTATTTTCTTTAGATCGGATTATGATGGGGCCTACTGAACCTTTAGGTTTGTATTTTTTTACATGAAAATTGTCAAATAACTTCACTGTCGCGAAAAATTAACAGTTGTGTTTACGCATTTTTAAAATTTAGTATTGGGAAATTTTACACTGTTCAAACGTTTCGATTATGGATATGAAATACCGATAACCAATTTTATATTGATAAATTATGTCATGATGATTACAGCTAAACAATCATTGTGCTAAAGATTTGGTCTTTTATTCCTTTGATTTATATGTATCTACTTGACTTACAAATCAGAATAACGTTTGAACAAGTATTTTGAACTTTTAGTGAACACAAGCAATGCCGAGATATTTTGTATGACTGAATGAAAACAAAGAGATCTCTCTTAGAGGATTTTTTTGTAGTCTCTTTGTACACTGTGTAATTTTATTTCAGTAGAAATAGCGTATAAAATTGTTTTTTAGCGTCCGGTATTATTGCCTACAATGGAGACTCAGAAAGAGGATGGAATGATCCTCCAACATTATCGTTTAGCTCAGCCGGCGGGGCTAAAAAGGGAAGGAAACTTGATCTGAGAAAGCGTGTTTCTCATCAAGAAGCTCTAACTGGCCAAAGAGTTGTTTCCCCAGTCAATCTGTCTAATGTAAACCTTCCTGGAAACTCAACCATAAATGGTGAGCAATTAAATTCGTTCATTCGTCAAATAGCATTTTGAATGCCAGATATAATTGTATCTTTTTATTGTTTGAGTCTTTTAGTTACTATTAATCAGAAACCCACATTAAGGGCCTGTATACATGGAGTAGGATAACTTTAGCAAAAGTGTATCACTAGAAAGCAAGTTACTGTATGTCAATATATTTTATATGTAGCATTTACATGTGCACTCAGGTTACCCTTTCAGTAGGGTTTTGTTTACATCACATCTCCTGAACATATTCACATATGTATAGCAACATCAACAGGGAAATAAATTGCTTGCAAAGCATATAATTTTACACAAAATGAACTACATGACTCTAAAGCCCATGATGGCAATGAAGGATTTGATTCTTCCAATGCCAATTCTTCATTAAAAACCCCCCCAGCTTATTGTGTATATAATGGCACTGAATTTGAAATCATTTTCAGAGGCCTTATACTTAATTATTGATGAACATAAATATGCCTCATAGAAGCCAAAATGTTTCAATTGCAGTCAATTCTACAGCATGTCAATGCTGCCATCTTTGATAATACAAACATTTGTAAATGGTAGAGTCACCCTACCAATGAAAATAGCCTTGCAAGGGTTACCCTACCTAATGTGAACGCTTGCTAATTTTGACTGGCTTGCTAGGGTAACCCTTCTGTAACCCTTCTGTAAACCTTAAATCTTGTAGCTCAATATTTGCTCATGTATGTTAACTAAGGATTAATGCTTATGCAAAAATTTCACATATCATTTAAACTTATTTATGGGTTTAAACACAGTTCTTTTGTGTAGATAAATGGTGAAGTGATTAGATTTGTTTGAAATATTTTTATATAGGTCATCAAACCAAATCACAAGGTACAACCAACATACATAGTGTACCACCCATACATGAACATGGTACTTCTACACAAACACTACCACCATTTTGTGATAAAGTTGATGGTTTCTCAGCTCAGCAGCCTCATTATCAGATGCCAGCAAGCAATCTTGTGGGAAATCCAAAAACATCTGCATTTCCTCCATCCCAGATTTTCACTCCTGTTCAACAACATCCTTATGTTACACACTCAGAAGCTAGAAAACTAAACAATGAACTTTCATTGGAACAATCTACATCAGCTTGTCCTAAACCCCAGGCTTCATCCAGTCTTGGTCAGCCATTGTTTTCTTTTCCCAGTAGTTTCAATATGACACCAATTTCAAGTGCCTTAGATGATAGCCTTGTTCGCTCAAACCCAATAATCAACCCTGAGACATCAGCCAGAAACTACACTACTGTATCTGGTCAAGCTTCTGAGTTGTATTCTTCATCACTAGTTCAACAAACCCAAATATTTACCCCTTTGCCATCCAGTGGAAATAGTATTACTACATCACCAATTTCTAACATTAATAAAAGAAGTCCAATACTTGAAAGAGCTTTTCGAAACAGTTCAAAAATCAACACACCTCCTCTTGTTGATAGTGGTAGAAATTCTCCAGTTTTATCTGTGGAACAAGATAGTTCACAAGTGATAGCAACAACGGAGATTCATAGTGCTTCTAGTTCACCTCGATGTCAGACACCGGATAATGCATGCCATTCTGAACCTACTAGCAGACATAGCAGTGATCAATTTGATAGTGTTGAGGCTTTGAAAGTTACTGTTGATGCCATCAAAGAAATCATATTAATGTCCAGTAGCATTTTAAAGGTAATCTATATTTTATTGACCTAATTATGATTTATCAAGCCTTTATTTTTCTTTTTTGATACTTTCTCAGACACGAGAAGTTGATGATGTGAAGAAGAAAGTTGGCATTATGAAACAATTGTGGGAAGAAGGCAAACTTTCTCTTCCTGTTCAAATGTCTATGAAACTTTTGATTAAGTGTAAGTGTCCTGTGCACTGGCTTAATAATAGATAATTGTTGCAACACATAGTTCACCTTTCTTACAAAGGTGCTAGCTGGTGTAATGCAAATGTATGAGTTTCCTTTATTTTATGTTCAGAGTAATTGGTGAAATAATTAATAAAAATCATTTATATTTTAGCATTGCTTGATGGTGACATAGAAACTGCCAATAAGCTTCATCTAAAACTAATGGTTGACTTTGTAGGAGAGGTTTGTGTTTAATGAAGTGAATATCTATTATTTTTATTTTAATTGTGTTACATTTTACATGTTTTGATTATAACTTCTTCTTTCAGGTAAAGCAATGGATGGTTGCTATAAAAAGATTAATTGCTGCTGTAAGCAAGTTAAACATGTCAGGCATGTAGCAAAACTAAATAGTGTATATAATATATACCGGTGATATATAAAATGATGGATGTATTTTAATATAATGTATATTGTCTGAAAGATGTGCCAAAGAAGCTACTAAATAAGAAACTGTTTCATGGCCAATTAAATTATCATGAAATGTTTTAGCTATATATATTTGGCACATATTCTTCAAAAGATTAACAAAAAGTATTCTTGAATATTCAGATATGAAACTTAAAATGGAAAGATTTTAGTTTGAAAATGCAGTTTATAACTTGGGTTACAATCCCAGCTCACAAATGAATGGAAAATATATTGTCTAAGTTGACAAATAATGATCCATATTCTTACACCACAACACTAATTATCTTGCAAATCAACTTTGTGACAACCTACAGTTGATGTAAAAAATATTTTTTTACTCTTTTTAAATGTATATTTTTACAACAAGGTGAAAATTGCAAATATTACATCAAATGGTTATCCATTGAATTTTACTCTTTAAAACTTTGTTGTTTCTTTAAGGCTGGTTCTCGTTCAATATTCCAATTGAGTCTTTTCAGTTGTATGGATTTCAGTACACAGAAATGACTCAAACAATTATTTGAGAACAAGCCTTTAAACACTCATTCATTTTGATATTTTATCCAGTTGCACAGCTTTCACAAACTGAGCCTCTGTGTAAACCATTATCTTCAGAAAATATATGCATAATCTTATCATCCAGTGTAGAACTACCAGATGGAAAATATATTTAGTTTCATTCATTAACAGTTGATCTGAATTACATAAGACTCACTCATTGTAATTTTAAACAATAACAAAATAAGAAAAGTGTGAACTGCTCTCTAAATCTTGCTGTGTCCAAAGACCTATTTCACTACTATACTAGCATAAAGATCTTCATATTTTACATGAATTTTTTCATTAGTATTTATCAGTTATTTGTTGGGGAATACAGTCAATAAAATTCAACCTCAAAAAATCTCAGAAGACCATCTTGCTCATGATTGGTATGACTTGATCAAATCTTGGACGTTTAGTTGGATCTGAGTTCCAGCAAATATTGATCAGTTTAGCCACATGAGGAGAAAATCCAGGAGGCATACTTGGACGCAAACCTTCAAGAGCGATCTGGAAAGCATTCAATACAATTATTTTCAGTAAGTGTAAATATGTTCGCTCATATTTTAGAAATAATCACTCTCTCATTAGAGAAAATTTTCTATTGCCTGAATTAATTGAAAACAACAAAACATAGCCACATACAATTAAAATGTGATTATGATAAGTTGTTAGCTTGGTAATTTACAAATAAAAAATATTTTTACCAAAATAAAATGTGTAGATACAAACCTTCATTCCAACTTCCATTGGTGGCATATCTACAAATGGAACCTCTCTTGTTGTCATTTCCCACAAGAGAATAGCAAAACTCCACATATCTGCCGAGCGTTGATCAACTTGTTCAGGATTTTTATTCAAAACTAAAACAAAACAACTTATAGACTTCTTTGTCCCCAATGAACATGTAAACATTTTAAAAGATTTATCATTAAACGCAAACCTTCAGGAGCCATCCATTGAGGTTGATAAATGCATTTTACATCTTGAAAAGAATATCTGTAATCAGCCATGGCAATACGTGCTGTTAAATCATCGTCAATCTATCAACAAAATTTATAATTTGTTAAAACATGTATAATTTTCAAATCAGTTCATATTTATTCATATTTTAGTTCAAAATTGTATTTTATTACCATTATATGAGAGCTTTTGATGTAAAGTTTGGGAACAAATGGGTCAAGTGAGTGAAGATATTGCATTCCTTTAGCAATGTCCATGGCAAATTTGAGTGCTTGTGCTGCATCAACCATTACACCTGTATAAAAAGAATTTTTTTTTGATAAGTCTTTCACATTGACACAGTGTATAGAGTTGGCATATCATGGAATAGTGTCATATAAATTTCATTAATTTTATGGTTCAAATTATGTTGTTTTCTAAATTTAATCCAGAACTTTGATGAAACCAGGGTGAAACAAAGCATACCAGAGCCTTCATGAAGGACATTGTAAAGTGATCCGTAAGGCATGTATTGACTTAATATGACCAACGAACCAGACTCGTTAACAGCTCCCAAAACAGGTAAAACATTTGGATGTGAGAAGATTCTGAAAAAAGTAACGACAAAATATTTTGAAATTTTCAACAAATTGTGTTTTGGGCAGTATATATATCCCACCTTAGTTTAGGATACTCTTCAGCAAAATCTCGAGATTTTCTTCTGTTGTATTTTGACACATGGATTTTTTTGCACACGACTGGTAAGTTACTCCAGATTCCTTTCCAAAGCTTAAATTATTTAATGAAATTCCATGGTGTCATGTAGGAGATAAGAATCGGCAAACAATATATGTATTAATAATAATAATTATGTATGCTTACATCAGAGCTACCCTTTGTTTCTAGCTTGTCTTTAAATGTAACTTCATCTGCCTCAATCCATGAGTTTCTTGACTGAATGTCACGCAAATCACGACCTAATATTACCAAGGGTTAAAACTAGTTTAAGAGTAAACTTAGTTGAAAAAAGTATGACTATGACTGAGAAATCATCATAAATGATTTATCACAATATCAGTGATTGTTAGTGGATCATGAATACTTACTTCTATGGAAGTGTTTGCTAGCTAAAGAAAAAATCAAGAATGTTAATTTAGAAAAAAATAAGAAACCACTAAAATTAGTAAAAAACAAAAACTGTAGCAGACTTATACATACGCTTATAAGGAATCCTTTTAAGATCCTGTCCACATTCTTTGGCTATTGCTGTAGTATAAATATTAATTTATATAAACAATTATTTTGGTTTATTTTGTACATAACCATGTCTAACCTTTGAATATATTTTGGTATTTGACTTTTGCCCTATCTATGGGAGTTTCTTCCAACTTGTTACATTGTGACACATTGGCACCTTTCTTAATTAATTCCTTCAATCAAAGTTATAAATTCATAACATATAAATGGATGAAAACATATAATGTATATTAAAACTTCACTCCATAAACTCACCCGACAGATCTCTTCATAACTCCAAAAACAAGCATAATGAAGAGGAGTATTTCCATGCTCATTTGCAATGTTTACATGTGCGTTCAAATTTAGCAACTTTACCAAAAACGAAACATATAAAATTTATACTTTCATGATTGGGTGATTTTTACATTACAAGATTATTACTTTGGGCGGGGAAAGGAACGTCATATCAAATACAGGATATATAAAAAAACAAGCAAACCTTGAGCACAATAGGTTTCTGGCCTTTGCTTACAGCACAGTGTAATGGAGTGTCGCCTCCGTTGTTGAGATTGTTGATTCTAGCGCCTCTGGCGACAAGAATATCAAATAAGGCAACCCAGCCTTCCCTTGAAGCCCAATGTAAAGGTGTAAAACCGTGATCATCGCTGAAATGTCAAAAATGGTCACGGACAAATTTCTTTATTATTTTTTAAAACTTTTGCGTTTGAATACATACAATCATACAAAGATATCTTTTTATAAAACGAACAAATCAAAAACTTAAATACAACGAGTTGTTTAGCACATGGGTAGTCTTTGTGCAGAGTGACAGATATTCGATTTCTTCAAAGCGAGAAATTACAAACCCTTGATTTAGATCATTTGTCGTTTCTTCAAGCCATAGCTTAACATAACGTATATTCCCCTCACGACAAGCAGAATAAATGTCTTCCATTATATCAGATGAAACAAAAACTTGCAACTATTTAACAATTTTCGAATTCAATTAACGTTCGTTAATTTATCCTTTTCACGCATTTCAAACGTTAAGTTACAACTTCTGTATTTACCTCCCAGCATTTAATGTTATGGGGGTCCGAGTGCCTGGAAAACTGGTAACCAGTTATAATTTGTTGTGTCATGGCAGTCATCGTCATGGCTTGTGGCCATTGGTTATGAAAGGACGTTGCGAGAACAATTTTCAACAGTGCTTTTTTCAATTGTTAGACAAAACATTGTTTGTAATAATTATATAAAAGATTATGAGGCTAATGAAGTAATTTATAGTATATTTCAGCAATACACAACATGCTTTCTTCCTTTCCATTCAAAATAAAATCTGTTCGTGTATTTCTTGGGTATGTGTTGATGTTTGGATACCTTTGGTGGTGGAGCTAACTTCTCTCGTATGTCTTCTATACTATCACCTCTTTCCTTCATTTCAAGAACTTGTAACATTCGTTTCTTTAAGTCAATTGCAGCTTTGGTAGATAATCTCTTTGCTGAACATCCCATAATATAGTTATCAAATCCTCCAGCTCTATCAATTGATCGCATAGCAGATGTCGTCATTTCATATTTCAATTTTTCTTCAAGAATTTCGCTGTAATATGTTTTTCTTTGCACATTTGGTTTCCAAACTTTTTTGTCTTTTTCTCAGAAAAAGTTGGTTTGTTTCCAAACATGAGACCTTTACCATCATAAATACCTTTATTTGCTCTAGGAGGAAGAGCTTTTGCACGTAAAATAATGCGATAATTTACCATAATTCTTCTAAGAAATGCAAAATTACCAAAAACAAATAATTCAAATAAGAGATTCTTCACAAGAGAGCTACATCACAAAGTATTACAATGATAAGAGTTTTGCGGGCTCGTTTTGCTGTGGAATGTTATTGACCAATGGTTGCTTGTATGATAAGACACGTGACATACTGGTCGTTGTGTGGTAAATTCAAACAATTTTTATTACGGGACGCTCAAATTTTTAAACTAGCAAAATTTTATCATAATTTTGTCGTATTTTGTTGGTAAGAGCCTTCTTTTAAGTATGGATATTGACAAGTAAGTGCCTACTACTCTTTTTTAAAATAATTACTACATTCTTTTGTTTCCAAACTAAAATAAATATGTTAGGCAAAATGGAACCTAGAAATTTCAACCGAGTTTGACGATTTTATACAACAAACATGTAATAGATGAATACTTCAGGCAAACAGCATTGTCAAAAGACGTTCTACATAGGAAAATGGACTATCCTAGATGACTGACACTGTTCACTCAGTGAGAAAGACTGTGGTTGCCTAGGATCCACACTTACTAATATATATAAACACATTCAATAAAAGAGAGTTTAGTAATCTGTTACCGACTGATTAACTAAGTCTGGCTCTTGTATGAATTTCACTGCTCATTTTTACTTAATTCTGTGTTTGTTTCTCTTGTAGAACAACAAACATGGACATCCAGGATCTCAATGGGACTAAAATAATTCAAGATGGTTTAGTTGTTATGGTAGCTGAATTCATGCAGACATTCGAGACAATTTGGGAGGAAATGGGAATAAGTGCATCAGTTCATAAAAATCGCCTCGATGTTATTTTACAATATGTGCGTAGTTTGTTTGTGGATATGATAAATGATGAAAAAGAATTTATGTTAGAACTAAAGTCAAGCATTGAAACATATGAAAGAGAATTATTGGATCTTGCCAATGAGCTTGGTGAAGTACCATATCAAGTAATGTATAAATTGGTTTTTTGTTCTTTAAAGCTCAAGTGTCTTTCAAATGATTTTTATATAACAACTGTCCTTTAGCCTCAAGGTGATTTGAAGCTTGTTGAGCTTGAAAAGACATTGAGAACAAAGTTGAATGATTGGAATACGGTATATACTCTATAGTTTGACATAATGATGTCCAATGCTTGACATTTTTTATATTGATTTTATTCTATAAAGGAAAAATATCAAAGACAGAAAGCACATAGAAATCTTAAAGAAACTGAGAAAATGCTGTGCAGCAGATTGGCTTTACCACCTCATGATGCTGGAGTAAAAGATGTGCCGACATTAAAACAACTTAACGAAATTGAAGAAAACATAAAGTATATGCAAAATCAAGTGGTATGTGTATAAATCTTTCTTCAAAGATGATTTGTAAACTAGTAAAAGTGTTGATCATCGTCAATGACGTTTTTCCATGGAGTCATACAAAGTAATAATATTCTTTACCAAGATTTTTTCTGAAATTACAAAATTACTTATGTTTGTATCATTTGGTTGTGTCATTTTGAATGCTTTAATTGTAACATGTGCAGTTTTGTACAATTTTGTCTATATTTTAGAATTTAGATATATTGTGTATATCCATAATTTCACTGTGTTAGTTTTGGCATCCTATCTCAATATGATGCAATGACTACTTTATAAACATTTTTATAAACTTGATCATTTTTATATCATAACAGATAAAGTGTCTTGAAGAATTCAAAACGTTACGTTTATCAATTTTTAACTTGTGGGAGGAACTTGAGAAAAATGCCGAAACTAAATTTGAAAAAGATATCGCACAAGAAGATTCTGAAGCATCATTTCTTTTGTCCAAAAATAATTTAAATGCAATGAAAGAACTCAAAGCAAAGGTATTGATCCTACTACTGTCAACTTTCCACAAAAACTTAAGTTTTTATGGGCATACTGGCTACAATCTTCATCTATTTACTCGACTTTCCAATGATTATACACCTATAATTATGCCTTACGTTCGTAAAGAATTAGAAAGAAATGTTGATTAACATCTCAAGAATAGATTGACTTACGTACTTGCTAAGATTGCCTGTCCTTATCATTTCGTAAGAAAATAATTTTCTTGATATTTCTCAGCTTGAAAAAGAGAAAAAAGAAAATTTTGGAAAAGCTAGTCGTCTCCGTGAACAGCTGAAGAGATTATGGGATAAACTTGAGATTGATGAAACAGAACAAGAAAGATTTAGTTTAACTTGTTCAGGTTTTCAACCCTCCATTATTTCAATGGTAGGTGATATCTACACACGAGAGATTTATAGTTTTACAGACATTTTAAAACGATTAATAAGATTGCACTCGGATTAGTGATATATAATGTGACAAAATTTCTTTCTTTGCACTCTGTCTTGATAACAGCAGACAAGTAACGATACACAACTTTAGAGAGAGAGTATTCATAATGGAGAAAATACATGTCCGTGAAAATTCTTTATGGTTTTGTTTTAACTAGTAACTGTACTTATGCACGATCACCGTTTTATTTTATCCCAGTGAAATTTCATACTTTGTTATAATTTAACTAGCTTAAAGAAGAAGTTGATAAACTGGAAGCACTTAAGGTTTTGCACATTAAAAAGTTTATTGAAGGATCGAGGTACGCTTCTATGTTTTTTTGAATTTATACATTTCGCCTTGTGAGTCAAGATCCATAATTTCGGTACGTTTTTATCAGAAAAGAGCTGGCTGAGATTTGGGATAAATGTTATTTTGGTGAATCTCAAAGACGTGAATTTACTCCTGCATTTGATGGTAAGAACAATTTTACTCATGGCGTACCATGCAATTGTTTCTTGTCATTGACATTCTTGTGGTCTCCACAATACAAGTGGAAATTGTCGTGATCCTGCCAAAAAATGCAATTTTAAAGCCGCACAGTTGTACGCATGCCTTTGATTGTATGCTTTTTGTATAAAATGTTATGTAGAAAATTACAGTGAAGATGCGCTGACTTTACACGAGCATCAGGTTGAAGTAATGAGGAATTATTACGAAGAAAATAGCGCAATTTTTAAACTCGTTGAAAAGAGGGAAAATTTATGGAAAAAATTTATCGAATTTGAGGTATTTTATCTTTTTAAAAGTTTTCGTAATTTATGCACGTTTTTTACGAAATGCACTTGCTGTAGCATTGATAGTAATGATAAAGTTTGACATTCATGTTCACATTTATTTTCTGCCAAATGTTTGGAGGTGTACTTTGGATTGCTTTTCATTTTGACTTTGAATGCTTATCCCTTCAATTTTTTATTAATTTGGTTATCTCTTGTAGAGTAAGGAAAACGATCCAAATAGGTTGTTTTTACATCGTGGAGGTGCTTTACTTAAAGAAATGAAATCACGAAATTGTGTGCAAAAAGGTTTACCAAAGGTAAATGATTTTAAATGTTTCCAAGCATGAGAAATTAAATGCGTTATGTAACCGATATCTTACGTGTTTAGATTGAAGAAGATTTGAAATGTGCCATCGAAACATGGGAAAGAGACAACGAGAATATTTTCTTAGTGAATGGGGAAAGATATTTAGAACTTATTGAAACACAGCGTTTTGAACATGAAGAGGAGAAAAAGAGAATTGTCGCTGAAAGGGTAATGATCAAAAAATTTCATTTTCTTTCTCAGATTATTTGAAGGTTATTAATATAATATAACGGAAGTGTATTTTACAACATTCAAGCAAAAAGCTAAAAAGGAAGCACTAAACAAAGAAATGATTTACGGTTGTACGCCAAACAAAAAGTAAGTGGGTTTGTATATTATTTAAAAATTATAGATAATCAATCTTCAACATTGGATAATACATATATTTACTAATCATAGTATGAGTTGACTATTTGCATACAGAAATTAATATCTTCGTACTACATACAGAAATTAATATCTTCGTGCTACATACCTTCGGATTTCAAATGACAATTATCATTTACTTAGATCTGTTATGAAGACTCCATTAAGCAAACGGCTCCGTTCTGCAAGCAAGGTACGTGTTAACCTACTTTGATTTCATTTTAGTTGCTGGAGAAGAAGTAATGGAGCTAAATAAAGTTTACTTACATGTCTTTAATTATCATGCATCTAGATGAACTCTACTAACAACTCTACAGCCGCTACGCCGTCCAGATTATTTGGGTCCAGTGTCGTTACCAGATCACCATTGACCCCACGTAAGAACCTTATGTCAGCGTTGAACGTAAAACCGGCTAAAGTTGCTAAAGGAAAAGTGACTAAGGTAACTTTATATAAAGTAAATGGTTTCACCCCGGGAGTATCGTTACATGTTTGTAAATGTAGATCGTCCAGGTTGGTATTGTCCTGAGAAGGACTGTTTTTGTTACTGTTGACTGACGTTTCGACAACCTTAGCGGTAGCCATCTTCAGAGTCAAAAAAGGACAAAAAAATGTAGCGAATGAAATGCTTAAGTCTCCACTGCGCATGCTCAGATGATTTCTTTGATAATTGCGGCTAAGTGAGCGAATTGACCCAAATATAGTGCTAGTACATATAGTTAGTCGTTGCCATGACTATGAACAATTAGTCTAGTCGACTGCACATGCTCGTGCGCATGCGCATATGATTTCTCAATTAAATTGTTACTAAGCATGCTATTTACTACAAAATCGGTGCTGGTAGATGCAGTTTGTCGTTGCCATGACCATGAACTTGTGCAGCTGGTCAAGTCGACTGCGCATGCGCAGATAATTCATCTGAAAATTTGCGACTGAGCGAGCTAATTACTCCATATAATCGGTACTCGCCCATACAGATGGTCATTGTCATAAGCATGAACTTTGAGAGTTGGTGAAGTTGACTACACATGCTCAGATTAATTCTCAATTAATTTGTGACGGAGCGAGCTCTGAAATTGATGCTTGTATATGCGTTTAGCAAATTTTCTATCATATATGTTTTTGGCATGTTGTTTGTCTTTTTAAGCTTGTTTTGACAAATGCATATCAAACTCATCAAGACTTTGTTACACCACTCGTAGTATCCGTGACAATGTTAGAGATATTTTTATTTTTCTCCATAATTTTGTATCTGCATATATATTTCATGTCATATCCAAGCTTTCCTTTCATTTGGCGGAAATGGTTTTTATTCACTCTTACACCTTCTTCCTTCTTAATTAGTCGTACTAGGTTTCTAAAATAACGTTTACAAATGCCTTAAGAGCATCTTCTTTCGATTTTATTGCCACTATTCTGCAAAAAAAGTACTATGTCCGACCATTTGATTGTCCGAATTTTGTAATTTGATCTCGTATTTTTGACACGTGTGTTTACGGTCGGAAAGGTGGATTGTGAAACGTATTTAGTGCAAGTAAAATTCATTCACCAGTGTACTATATCTCGTTTTAGTCAAAGAATAACTTTTTAGAGAAAAATATCTTAAAACAATAATTTCGTATCTAGAGTCAGAAACGACGATCTTCTCGGCTTTCTAAGAAATTTGCAAAGAAAATCGTAAAGCAAAACTTAAACTCAACCTCAACTGGGTCCTCACGTGACACGTCGATAATCGGTAGCAAGGAGTCTTTATCTTCTTGTATGTCTTATTCTCAATTTACAGTGAGTATTTTCTGTGGTTCAAGCTGCTGCACTAGTTTTTCTTCTCACGTGATACTTATGTTTAACCAGTTGTACAGGTTTTTCTTCTCACGCGATACTTATGTTTAACCAGTTGTACTTGTTTTTCTTTTCACGTGATACTTAGGTTCAACCAGTTGTACTTGTTTTTCTTTTCACGTGATACTTAGGTTCAACCAGTTGCACTGGTTTTTTTCTTCGTGATACTTAGGTTTAACCTGTTGTACTGGTTTCTTTCTTCGTGATACTTATGTTTAACCAGTTGTACAGGTTTTTCTTCTCACGGTGCACAATTGTTGCTGTACTGCATGGTTTATCTTCTTTTGAAATTAAAAAAATAAACTATATCTATTTGAATCACCGATATGTTTTCTATACATATTTATATTTTTAGAGTGGTCTGCAGACGAAACAAAAAGAAGATGTGTTGAATAGTACACGCTCTCAAGTAGTCACTTTAGTGTAAACAACATAACTTGATTTTTGTTGACAATATAAGTCATTTTGTCACATTCCTATCATGACATTGATGAGCATCACAAGTATGGAGAATTGAAACGGTAGAATTTAAAACTGTTTTTATATCTTATATTCTTAGCCTCATCACATTTGTATATACACTATGTACAGAAATATCACATTTTAAATATTACAAACCACTTAAGCACGGCGATAATTAAAAGTAGGAACTATCCTACTGATTTTAAAACAAACTTCATATTTGCAAGATGATCTGATAGTATAGCGAAATCCATTATCCAGATAGTGTTAAACGTTTTGTGGAATCGTTTTCAGTTTCTCATATTGTAATGATGCTACAGGAGATGTTAATAGATGCTACAGCCCAAAGGAGATGTTAATAAATGCCATAGCAGATGTTAATAGATGCCATAGCAGATGTTAATAAATGCCATAGCAGATACTTATCATGTGATGCTATATTCAGTTTTTAACAATGTGATTACGAATTTAAAATATGGCAAAAAGTTCGAGACGTGAGTTTTTGTTATTTTTATAATCTTGGATGCTACATCACAGCATATTATGTAAAAATGCAAAAAAAATGGTTGATATGGAGCGACGCTCTTCTCTAAAATTGTCAGGCAAACCAATGAAGTTGGTTTTCCCTTGAACTGACACATATTGACTTGTTTTGCGTTGTCTAAACTCCCGTAAGGATAGCGCAGAGTAATTGCAAAAAATAGAAAATAATCTTTGTTATGTTTCTTGTCCTTTGTGCGGTTATGATACGTATGCATGCGCAGTTAACATGCCCGAAAGTATGAGAGGTACGTGGTTTAACATCACTGAAAAGGGGAACGATATATTTAGGTTATTAATTAATACCGCAGTGTGTAAGTTCCTTTTGAAAAGTATTTCTAAGGCATGCTAATTTTAAAACATTTAAGATAGTGGTTATCAATTTCGAAACTACAACAATTACTTATGTTTAAAGTTATTTACTACTATAATTTAAAATAATTTCATTATATTACAATGCCAAGATTTCCAAAATATAAATGTAATCGTCTGGTTATGTAACTTATCTTATTAATTGTGAACTCATCATTCGGTTCATTTAGTGCCAACCTTTAAACTAACTTTATAGATTGTACTAAAAAAAATTAAAACTAAATTCTTGTCATATTTCTAATTTCATCCAAAAGAGGTTGATTACTTCATTTCGATTTCTTGAATGTTTTTCAAAGACCGTTCTAATCTTTTATTTTTTAGCCAATCTCGAATTTTAATCAGTTCTTTGTGTGAAGACAAGCTTCTTTGAACAACTTACCTCAAAAGTGCAATTTATAATTAGTATCTACAATTTAATTTAAATGATGTGTGCATCTATGTTGAATGGAAAATCTTTTATTAATAAATCTTGTATGTTACTCGTCCACAATTCCCTTCTCATGTTTCAAAACCTCTTTATTTCGAGAAACTTGTCACCGTTGCTCCACCCACAGCAAAACATATGGCAACGCAAAGCAGTAAGAAATTTCTCCAACCCTAACATATAGAAAAATGATTTTTTCACTATCAAAACTTTTGGTAGTTTGTACCTTGGGGTGATCTTTAATAACTAGGAGAGCAGTTAAACAGGGATATTAGCTCCAGAAAAAATAATTTCATATTGAAAATTTTAACAAAACTGGTTTGAAAAAATAAATCGTATTCAACAAAAATCATACCGTTATTTCTTTGAATATTAATACTCCCCAAATTGAAGCAATAATTCCAGGTCCCTTAAATAAAATAATGGTTTTAAAACTAAGCAGCACATCTGCGAGCCGTAATACTTCATTGACTTTCACATACGTAAAAATAAAAATTCAGTCAACTTACTGTTGTAACGATAGGAAAACTAATTGCTTCCGATAAATATGTGTTAGCAACAAACCAACCAGCTAAAAAGAAATATAAAGACGACAATGTTTTGTAGCTCTAGTTCAGATGCATTTTTCATCTTTGATCCAATTTATGGACAATTGTCAATTCACAGTTTCTATCCTGTCAATTTCGTTTTTAAATGTTTCCAGATCATTTAATAAATTGAGAGGGTTTAGTTAGTTAAGGTTTTTAATCAGCGTCACAATGATGTAAATAAAAACATACCTTGACCGATACCCCATAACACTCCAGAAAAGAATCCTGGTGCAACTGCTTTAGGAAAAACATCTGGTTGTTCCTCTTGTAAAGACTGTATATTACAAAATACACCGTACTGAATAAAAGCGTCCCAGAATATTGAGAAAACGCGTACTGAATACCTAAATGAAAATTAAAATAATTGATTGCAGTCTTCATGTTGGTAAAATGTCAAGTGTAATATGGACCAGAATACCATCGTCTGGGGCGTCTGCATGATTCTTTTGAATTATGTAAACAGGAACAAAACACAGACCATATAAAACACCGGAAACGACGGACAAAAATATTCCTCTATAGAAGACAGCAATAAAATGTATAACTTAATAGTATTGGTAGTGGGATTATACTTTTCATTAACGATTTTTCTTGGTGGAAAAATTTGGTCAATATATTTAAGACGCTGTTACATTATGCAACTTGTCTCTCGTTGCAACAAAAATTACATGCGAGATTGCAAGGTTTAACATACCACACAATAGCATTGTGTACGAAGTAAAATTTATATCGACTTTTCTTGATGATTGACATGTAGAAACTCACTATCTGGCTAGCACATATGAACACAATTTACTCTAATGAAAATACATCGTGAAAGATGCAATTCTTAGTAAGACGCCATTGCAGGAAAAGTTGTAACTGTGCTTTAACTATTTAAAAGCATTAACGACAATTTCAGCGGGCATTTTTTAGTTCCTACAAATCTGTATGCATCATTACATCATTCGTTTTTGGAATCTAGAGAAGCCATCAATCCATGATGAATCAGCATTTTCTGTGTAAGTATTTAAAAGGTAGGCAGTTTGATCATCAGTACAAGATCCATTTTCACTTCCATCATCCTGAATCACTTCAGAACGCTCTACTCTGTTCTTGAAAAAGCATAAAACAACATTTTTTTAACAAAATGAGTATATAGTAAACAGCTAGTGGAATGTTTAAAATGGCAATTTGTCATTAATCAAAAATAGTTTGTTGTTTTTTTCTGTATAATTTAACAAACTTATGAACTTACTGTATTAATTAATGCAGAGTTTTCAGTTTTAATGAATATGAAGATTACCAGACTATACAACAAAACAGAATGGACAAATGTTTTAAGTTTATTTATTGTGATGAGAAAGAACATAGAACACATAAGAACATGTTATGATATTTTTCCAATTACATAGCCAAACCTAACGATACTTATTCTTACTCGAGGCTAACAGCAATATTGCGGTTCTTGTCTTAACCATAGCATACTTTTGTTTTCTTTTCAAGTTATTTTTCCATGAATTTATAAGTTGTATGTTTGATGGTAATGTTATTACATAAACAGTATGGCTAGCATACAACTTTATGCTCAAAAAAACTAATAGAAGTAGAAAAAGGCACCTGATCACAGCTAACATAACGCCAACATAATTCAAAGCTGAATGTTTGACAGGCTGTTCACATATCAAACCAAACATTCCAAATCTATGATTTAAGCAAAATATTCACCATTATACCTATATAACACATTGCATATATATCTATAACACATTGCATCGAACAATTCAATGATGAATAGATAGTAATTTAGTACCTGCCTGTAGCCCAGCCTGTTAGTAAATTCAGGGTTCCCCATATCAATAAGCCCATGGCCAAACCAATTGTTTTGACAATAGGAACCACGCATATATTACCCAATCCCCAAAGAACTCCACCAATCATTTCCAAAGGAAAAAATTGTCTGTTATGTCCATTATAAATATGAATGCAAATGCCCGATGTCCATATTCCCAAACAAACTATCCACTGAAAGAAGGCACCTAAATAAATAACCATATGAACACAAGATAAAAATAGGTTATTTTCCAATGCATAAGAACAATGCATCTCGTAATACATATATCAAACACAAATCTTGAATTGTGTGGTGGTGAGCACATACCTAGATTTGCATAAGATAAATTTAATATTCTCTGACCTGTCAATACCTCAGTTGAAAAATACACATACCATCACCCGTTTTTATCTTTTTGACAGGAACAAAATTACTTCCAAACATGATAATTGCGATAAATGCCCCAATGTAACCTTTCACAGGAGAAAGATATGATATTTTTTTCTGACGTTGTTCACATATCGTCAGATTTTCACTCCTCTTGTTTTCATGAGTGGTGATGGTAACACCTGGAACATCAGACATAAAATTTTCACCTGCTTCAAAATTATTTGCTAGGCAGCATCGTAGGATAAAAAGAAAGACAAACATAATTATATATGTTAAAAATGCGTGTTTTTTTATCTCGATCATCTTTACGAAATAAGATTTTAATTGCAACAATTTCCAAGTTAGCCTACAAACACCTACAAAATATTGGGCAATAAATATATTATTGCATCATTGATCATTGGCCTTTATTCACGGGTATCTAAGAAAGTTTTTCGTTCCTACTTGTATTTCTACTCTGTTCCTATGTTGATTACTTATTCCATTGTAGTGAGAAAATGTGATAACATTGAACGTAAGTACTGATTTTATTTATTCTTCTTCCGTGATTTTTTTCACCAAAAAATCTTGTCATCATCCTCCTGATTTTACACACTTATGACATACTTCATTTTACTAATTCCACGTGTTTGATTGTTATGTAGGCTCTACTTATAGACATCTCTATTCCTTCTTTAAAGCAGACATTTTAATTTTATGATAAAATTGCTTGTCATGTCCTCAAATCAGGCAAACCTAATCTAAGAGATAATTATTAATATGACAAAGAAGATTGCACTTTTACTGTGTTTGAGCAAATCGTTTTTATCATTGAAATATGCATTTTTAGTTGTAAAGTTGGTACAAATAAGTCACTTAAGTTTGATGAAAAATACAAGAGAGCTTTACAACAATGCCTCAAAAGAAAGAAAAGAGGAAGTCAAGAAAGAAGGATGATGATGATTGGTAAATCAATTCTACTACTTTTCATAAAGATAGATTTGTTGAATATAAATTAATAATTATGAATATTTGTTGAATATAAATCTTAATGTGTCTTGTGCAACAGGGAGGATGACATAGCTAACGAAATAGAGCAATTGAAATCCCACAAAGTTGACGATATTACTGAAGAAACGGTAGTTCACTACTTTTGCCAATTAAATAATTATTTTGTATTTTGCGATAGCATTTATGTGTAATAAGTGATACCTGTATTTGTTTCAAACACTGAAATATAACTTTGGTAAAGTATCCAACTAAAGTTATAAAACGTTGTGCTGATTAAATTTGATTTACCTCATGCTTATTAGTATAAGCATATTGTCTATGGTTAAATCTTGTTTTTTAATGTTGTATAGAATGTTGAAGTTAATGATGAAAATGAGCAAAGCAAGAAGAAAAAGAAAGGGAAAAAAGGAAGGGAAACAAAAGCATCAGATGATGAGTATGACATAGAAAAGAATGTAAACTCAAAGTCCAGTTTTGGATTACTTGATGATGAAAATTCTGATGAAGATGGCTCCAGGGAAGTTGGACAAACGACTCATACAAAAAAGGGTAAAAAGTCAAAAAATGTTTTAGAAAACAAGACAAAAAACCATCATGAGGAAGAAGAAGATATTATTAAAATGGCTGATGGAATCAATGAAAAACTTTCTTTGCATTCTGGTTATGAGGAAGATGAAGTTGATTTTAAGAAAGAAAAGAGAAAAGGAAAAAAGAGAAATCAAAAACAGAGGAGACTGGTGAACATGAGAATGATATTGACTCTACCGTAAAGACTGCTGCTCAGAAACGAGCTGAAAAGAAAGAGCGAGATAAAAAGAAGAAAGAAGCTCAAAAAAAGAAAAAAGAAACCATGCCAAGTGAAAGTAAAGCGACTCAAAAAATGGAGGATGATAACAATGAAGTTGAGGAAATTGGTGGTAAATAATTGCATTGATTTTTTATGCTGAACTCTGAGTTGTCTTGAACTTAAAAAAATAATTACCAGTGTTTCCACTTGGTGCAATTTGGTATTCATTCTTTTGAAGTACTTCACCAGCAAAATAAATATTGGCATTTTTAAAACTATAGGTGCAGTTTCTAGAATATTAGTGAAAAACTATTTTAATCTCTTCAGTTTGTTCCATTTTCATTGGAATTTAAAGTGGGCAAAAATAGCATTTTTCATAAACCCTGTCTGTCGTCTGAAAACTCTAGAAAAACTTACTTTAGTGAAGTCATTCACAGGAATTTTTAAGACAAAAGATTTATTCCAACTACCTGGGATAACGTCAGAATTTGGCTATACCCAGACTTCATACTATGACGGACAAGGTCCGTTGAAAGCCAAATTTAAATATCAGTTACAATAGGATGATTTCACCAAATTGAAAAATTTTATCACCAATATGTTAGAAATTTCCCCTAAGTTTGGGTGACAGCAATAAAATTTTTTTCTTGTAGAGGGACTTTAATGTTTGTTTTACCTAATACAAACCTATTCCTATTTGAAAATTAATAACTTACCTAAACATTCTCACATTTTAAACTTCATTAGATGAAAATGCTAAAGCAGAAAAATCTGACAGTATTCATAATGGGAATAATGAGGTTCCTGAAGGTGCTGAAGGGGTATCAGAAATAAACGAGACGAATGAAGATGGAGAGGATAAAAAGAAAAAGAAGAAAAAGAAAAAGAAAGGTAAGAAAGAAGAAGAGGAAGCACCAAAAACAAAGAAACCAGCCAGGGGTGATCAAACAAATGCAAGAAGCCTTAGAGAAAGCAAAACAGGAACAGGAAAGATTAAGACTTGAAGAAGAAGCTCGACTTAAAGCTCTAGAAGAAGCTGAAAATCGACGTTTGGAAAAAGTAAAGTAAAATTCTCGAATCAGTTTTATTTACAAACACATGTACTTGTGTTTAGCTACTACTGCTCATCTGGGGCCGGTTGAACGAAGCCAGGATAACGTTATCCATTGGATATCAAAATCTTCAAACTGGTAAAAAAGATGTTTGTATTTTTCTCACGACGAGGAAAGTTCTTAATCTTCAAAACAATATTTTATTTCAGTGATTGTTCAGTTCGAATCTTATATTTTTTGCTTTTTAAAAGGTTTTGTAAAGTTAAGAAAAACTTGCTATCCAATGGATAACGCTATCCAGGCTTCGTGCAACTGGCCCCAGCCTGATCTACATTTCTAACTTATGTTTTGATAATATTAGGAAAATGAACTGAATGTTTGAAATACAATACCGAATGAGCTCAATAACCATTACAGAATACATTATACTTTATGTTTTTAGCTGAGACTTGAAAAAGAGCGTAAAGAAAGACAAAAGCAAAAAGAAAAGGTCTGCAAATCAAGCTTGCAGTTTTGTGAAGACTTTACATTTGCTTATATGTTTTTCTTATCCCTATAGGAGAGAAAGGAACGTTTAAAAAAAGAAGGAAAGTTTTTAACTCAAGCTCAGAAACAAAAGAAGGCCCAAGCGGAGGCGCAATTGAAAGCTTTACGTGATCAAGGTTCAAGAACATTGTGAATTACCTGCTTAAATTATAAATTACCGTTGCATTCAGACAGTGAAAGTTATATCAAAAACTATGCAATTTATACACACTAAAAACGTCGATTTTAAATTTTTTATTGTCTTGTTTTTATTGTCAAATCAATGATTGTTTTCATTTATTTCTTTTCACAAAAAGGGATCGAAATACCGAATCGTAGCGAAGTTGAAAATTCAGAAGTAAAAAAACCGGTCCGGTATGGAAATAAGAAAAAGCATAAACATCCTCAAGAAAAGATCGCTGAAACTCATTCTGGTGATCAATCAACCGAACAAAAAGGTTTTTAAGATTTTTACCTATTTTGTATGATTGTATCTGTATGAATTATAAACCTTTATTGCATGATTCTTGGTGTGCAATCCGGCATGTGGGATGATTTTGAGAAAGGTTTTGGTTATTCGATTTTCCTTATTTTATTTACAATGCAAATGTCATCCAACACGACAAAAATTGTATTGCTCTTTCTCTTCCTATGAAGAGTGATTGCACAGCATCTATTGGTAGGTATATTTATACTTTAAATTCTATTTATTGTAACTTTTATTTTTCGAACATTTTAAAGAATCAGAAACAGAATTAAAAGACGTAGAACAAGGAGCAGAAGAAAATGAAATGGTACGTTTCTCATTCGTTACCAACTAATCACCGTCTTTTTAGCAAAGTTGTGACCATTAACTTACATATGTGTATTTTTCTTTTCTTTTACAGTTAGGTGACGTTGTTGATGTTGATGATGACGTCAAAGATACTTGGGATGAGGATGAAAATGACGATGGTGAGGGCAATTTGCTTTATCTTTGAAGTAATGCAAGGTTTTTCGCAAAAAATATTAGAAAAGTAGTGTATTCATGGGTTTCGGTAGTGAATTTCGTGATAATTTTCATTTAGAAAGCGAGACGGCGGAAATTCCCGAGGTTATGCATTTCAGTTATTTCGTGAAATTGGCCAAACCTGTATTAGCATTAATTTTTATTTCGATTTTCAAATTATTAGAAAGCTGTAGATGTTGAAAATTCAAAGGAAGGCTCATCTGGTGATGAAAGTGAATCTGATGATGAAGATGAAGATGATGATGAAAATGATGGCGAAGATGGTGACGAATCTGAAGATGAAAATGTGAGCGAAACTGATGACGAGGAACAATCTGAAGAAGACGAAACATTGTCTAAAGAAGAAAGGGAATTTTTACGAGCTGAACAAAGAATAAAGGTTACTATGTAAAGAATGAAATTCACACCATCCTTAAAATGTCCACAATGGAAAATAGTGAACAATATGATATTTTATATGTCTGTTGACTTTAGTAAAATGTTGTTAAAATTCTAAAATTCTTGTGATTATTTGATTTATGTATGTTGTTGCTTTAGTTAAAATACAATAATGGATGAAAAGATTGTTTATTTCATCATATTTTCATTAACAAACATAGAAACGCAGGGAAAAAGCTGAAACCACCCGGTCAAAGGAAAAGTTGCGATCACCTGTCATATGCGTGATGGGTCACGTGGACACTGGCAAAACAAAAATATTAGATAAGGCTAGTTTGTTAATGCTTTAGGAGACAGTTATGAGATTCTTACGTAAAACAGTTTGATATTTGGGCATTTTGTTTGATTGATTGTACTAAACAATACTGACAACTGCGACATTAATTATATTTCATATCTTTTCTATAGATACGTCACTCTCATGTCCAAGATGGTGAAGCTGGAGGTATTACGCAACAAATTGGAGCCACAAACGTTCCAAATGATGCAATTCGACAACAGACTAAAATGATTAAAGACGTTAGTATCTCAATTATTGAACAAAAGTGATATGACATTGGAAATTATGATGTGACTTTTTATAGTTTTTAATAATTTTATGGTCAACGTGATGTAGCTGTTAAGGACTTGATGATTTGATTAAGATAATGATTATTTATGATTTCATTGTACAGTAACTTGTTGTGAACATTTTATGCTGTTTATCCGCGTAATTTGTGATTGTATGTTTTTCTTTTAGTTCACTGATTTTGAAATGAAAATTCCGGCGTTGTTGATCATCGATACGCCAGGCCACGAGTCATTTAGGTATTAATATTTTAATTTTCAACACAACTTACGATCAGCACTTTTTATCATTTTTACACTATTTCTTGATAGGAGTTCCTTCTACATAAAATGTCTGGGGAAAGTTTAATAAAATCCATGAATATTGTTGTGTGGATGAGATTGCTTGGTTACGTGATTCATGAAACTATTTCATTATTTTTCAGTAACTTGCGGTCACGTGGCTCAACATTATGTGACATGGCCATTCTAGTTGTTGATATTATGCATGGTTTAGAACCTCAGACTGTAGAATCTATCAATTTGCTGCGAAAGAAGAAAACTCCATTTGTTGTTGCTTTAAATAAGGTGAAAATATCATGTAGTTTTTTTTAGTTCTTTCACACAGACAAGGTTTTGGGAAGTTTAATATATACGAGCAGTCTTTTCTTGGTTATTCCAACCCAGCTCCTGTGCTTTATTCAAATGAAAAAGTTTGATTTAAGATAAACGTTAGAGGAACGATGATCTACCTATTTTATTTATTACTCATATACAAAGAATCAATAGTTACATCATTTTTTTAACATTGACGTTTTTATCAGTATTTTCTTGACTTCATAATAATATATCTACTCGTGTGTGTTGCTTGACAAATACGCACGAATATTTCGGTATATTGGTGAGCCTTATTCAGCTTGTAAAACATCCAGGGAATTATTTTTCATGCCTCTTATCATTCCAGATTGATCGTTTGTATGAATGGAAGCGGGGTCCAAACTCCAGTATCGTTGATACACTTAAAAAACAAGGGCGAAGTACGAAACAAGATTTTGAAGAAAGATTGAACAAAATCATTGGAGAATTTGCTGAAGAGGTAAACAAAATTTGACTTACATAGTACAATTTATTTTTTCTGTCGCCTAACCTGGACATTATGTTGAATTATTGCAGGGCTTAAATGCTGTATTGTTTAATAAAAATGTCGATACGAAATCCTACATATCTCTGGTACCTACATCTGCACATACTGGTGATGGAATGGGTGATCTCATTGCGTTAATTGTAACGTTATGTCAAACAAAGCTCGCTCAACGATTGTCGTATTCGGAAGAACTTCAATGTACTGTACTTGAGGTATATTTTTTTAAATTAATTTTAATGAGACATGGATTAATTCAATCAACTGATGTATAAATTCAAGGAGAAAATTAAATGAATTATTTCACCACGAATCATGACTTTATCATTAATTGCCTGGTTTAGCCTGCATAAAAATCCGATTGCGTAATTTTACATTAAGGATGTTGGGTTCGTAGTTTTTATTGCTCCCTTGCGCGTGTGCTCATTTAAGATATTTTGATGAGAGAATATGCGATGTCTTCATACACAATCTTAATAGTGGTATGTATAATGTAGGTAAAATCCATAACTGGACTGGGAACTACAATTGACGTCATACTGACGAATGGTCGTTTGGCCGAATCTCAAACGATCGTATTGGGTGGTATCCACGGTCCGATAGTTACTCAAATAAGAGCCCTTCTTATGCCACAACCTCTGAAAGAACTACGGGTGAAAAATCAGTATAAAGAGTTCAAAGAAATTGAAGCTGCTCAGGGTGTTAAAATAACTGGAAAAGAGTTGGACAAAGCTCTTGCTGGCTCACCATTGTTTGTAGCTTATCAAGAAGACGAGATTGAAGTATTGAAAGTATGTAGACGCTTATGTAGCATTTATAGCCTATGGTCAATTTCGTTAATTCAATATAGCTCGATGATCTCTATAAGTTAAGTTGGATTGATTTTGAAAGAAACGTGTGTTAAACTCTCCCATTCAATATTGTTTAGAGAGACGTCAATGAAATTGTTCAAAGTACATTGAAATCGATTAAAGTTGCTGATAAAGGTGTATGTGTTCAAGCTTCGACTCTTGGTTCCCTTGAAGCTCTTTTGGAGTTTTTGAAAACTTCCAAAATACCGGCAAGTACATGAATATGAACTCAATTATGTATGGCTCTTGACTTGTGCGCAATATTTCTATCCCGACATGCTTTGTCTGTTGATTTTGGGTCAACGGCAAATACTAGCGCATTTAGCTGGAAGCTCAAAATTTTCTGCAGTTTAGAAATTTAACCATCTGACCAAAGTAGGCAAACATCAGCAATTCTAAATGTTTGATCTAACCACACATGGCAAGTTTTACATTAATCGTTTTCTTTTCGTGTTTAACTAATTTATTAAAAATAGTTTGGAGAATTATACGTTACATCTTTCAATGTTATGTAATTTTTGAATGCACCCATGTAAAAGCCTAACGTGTTTCTTTGTAGTATTGCAGTGTTAGTGTGGGACCTGTTCATAAGAAAGATGTTATGAAGGCTTCAGTAATGTTGGAACATGACAATCAGTACGTCATATAAGTTATGGTCAAATCAATCACAATTTTCTATAAAAATAACTCTTCATCAAAATCGTTGTTTTATTTCACGTGTGTATCACATGATTTCAGATTTGCCGTTATACTTGCATTTGATGTAAAAGTTGAACGCGATGCTCAAGAACTTGCAGATAATCTTGGAGTAAAAATCTTCACTGCTGACATTATTTATCATCTTTTTGATAAATTTATGAGTTATAGAGAGGTGAGTTTTCATTACTCTGTACTTAAAACTCTGGTCCAATGGTTAAGCCGGTCCGCAAGTTTGGTCGTATTACGTAAGTTTTAGATCAATAGCTCTACACATGTAAAAATCGATTGTTTTTGAACACCAAATATTTAGATAGCACGAGCAAACATTTTGGTTGGCTACAACACTGCTTTGGTCTCTGAAGAATTGAAATATTCGTAGCTTTAGACAGTTGTGCTAAAAGTCATATACCTGTTCATGTCTCTGTTGAGAAATCATCTTTGAGGAAGATTTCAATCATTCAATGATTGCATTGGCGTTTGTTTTTTTTTCACAGGAATTAAAGCAAAAGAAACGTGATCAATTTAAACATATTGCAATATTTCCATGTAAATTGAGAGTTCTAACTGAACATATTTTCAACACTCGTGATCCAATTGTTATCGGTGTTGCTGTCGACGCTGGTATTGTAAAAGAAGGGACACCTTTATGTGTTCCCACTAAAGAGGTATCGTGTAGTCTACTGTTTTCGTTCCTTTTTTTCGTTCAAAGTTTCGAAAAAGACTTGTCTTTATATAGTGATGATTGATGAAAATTTGCATTACTCATACATCATATACTATATTGTAAATTCGGTGGGGTTCAATACTCCTAAATATTTTCTTTTTAGCAACATTTATATTTCATGACAATTAGCAAAGTGTGCGTTCCGTTCGATGGTGAACTATAAACATGGCGGCTGGCATGAATGTAATTCGTAAATGAAAGTTAAAGAATCGCTGCTACACAATGATTTTGTGCAGGATTTAAAGTTGTTGCTAGTAAATGTAGTTGCTCGTTGCCATGACTCTGACGAAAAGTTAGTCAAATGAATGCGTATGCTTAGATGATATGAATGGCAATATGTGACTAAATGAGCCAGTAACTCCGAAAGTAGAACAAGCTCATCCAGTGTGGCGTTGCCATGACCACGAACTCGAACATTTAATGAAACAGACTGCGCATGCTTGAGTGGAGTGCCCTTGCGAATATATTTTGTCAAATAAACTGTGACTAAGCTAGCCATTTGCTCCAAAATTATTGCTAGTATATTCAGTTGGTCGTTGTATTGATTATGAACTCGATCAATTTGTCAGGCGAACTGCTCATTAGTAGATATTTTGATAGCAGTGCAAATACATCCTTGTTCCCATGACCATGAACTGAACTCTTTCTTTACTGGATTGCACATCCTCAGATGATTTCTCTAATAATTTGGGACAGAGTAAGAAAGTTACTTTAAAAGCAATTCGAGTAAATTCAGTTGATCCCTGCCATAGCTATGAACTCGGACAATTGTTGCGCATATAGACTGCGCATATAAACGTTTTTCGTTGTACATCGGCATATTCTTCAATATGTTTCAACAAATATATTTTCCAACTCGTTTTCTCGATGACCTTTGCGGGCACGGTATGTTCTTCCCAGTATAAAAGTAAAGTAGACAACAAGACAATCATCTTCATTAAGATCGTAGAAACATAACAAATGTCGACATTTAATTCTTGGAAAACAGTGCAACCCTTGATATTTAAACTGTAAACAACAAGACGACCGTGGACATTTAGACCATGGTCAACTTTTATACTTAAAATGGTCTTATTTGCAATGAAGTCACAAGATGCTCTTCTTTCTTTACTTCAATCAAAATTAAGAGGGAGTTCAAATCAAAATAAATGAAGAAGTTAGATAAATATACAAAACATATTTATTGTTGTTGCAAATAACAAGTCAAAAAAGGTAGCGTTTGTTTGAAACTTTTTTCTACCCTTACATCCCTATTTATGTATTACATGAAGTAACGATTGATAATCAATCATTCTCCCGTTTCAGTTTGTTGATATCGGTATTGTGACTGGCATTGAGACGAATCATAAATCTATTGAGAAAGCATCAAAAGGAATGGAAGTCTGTGTAAAAATTGAACCAATTCCAGGAGAAGCACCAAAGATGTACGGTCGCCATTTTGATCATACCGATGCATTAGTTAGTAAGGTACGATTTAATGATATTTAACATTCACCCTCCTTAGTTCCAATACTTGATTGCATCTTCCAAACAGAGTAATGTCCGAAAATTATATTTTTACGCTGGGGTGGTGGGGTGAACTTTCATATAAACTCTAACAAGAGGATTAGAAGCTGGAGGTTCTAGATTGTTTTACATTTAGATATCTCGTGAGTCTATTGATGCTGTCAAAGAATATTTCAGAGAAGATCTTCAGAAAACCGACTGGCAGTTAATGATAGAACTAAAAAAGTTATTCAAGATTATTTAGATAGTTTACCCCAGATTTGTTTCAAATTTTGCGTTCTACAATATTGGTATTTGCATTTATTTGGCATTTTCAGATTTATTTTATTGAAACACAAAAACGGTTACTGTACCTACCATAGGGATGTTTTTGTCATTAGTTTTTCATCCTACACTAGGAAATGCGAGCACATTTCATAACTCTACAAAATCCATAAGAAATCGTGTAGTTAAACATCATTGTTGCTCACTGAACTCATGTCAAAGAATGATGTTAGTGTTGGTCATAATGATTTTTGCCTACTTTTCATCGATGAATTGTTGATGTTGATTAAAATGAACGTATTGCAAAATAAATTTCATTTCATTTAATGAAGCAATTTTTTTATCCTAACAAACTGTGATGATATAATCAATTCAAATATATATTTCACTACATGAAAGCATCCCATGAATCTTTCACTTGAAGTTCAATTAAAGATTCTTTTAAGTATGCGCTTTCAAGATCACTTTTTTCATGTTTGTCCATCAACGGTAGCCAATTTTCTACGTCGTCTTTATAAAATAAACATTCGTATCGCTCCCATAAAATTGAAGAACTTTTGTTGAGCAGATAATGTATGACAAAAACTCCAATATAAAATCCAGAGATTGGAAATACATACAACATTCCTCCGTATACAACGATAATTGTTACTGCTACAACAAACGTCAATGGCATCCAAAATGGACGCAGTAATTTAATGATAACAAACAATAGTTTTACTGTTCTGCTGTACTCTAGCATCTTTAAATCATTCCAACTTTCAAAGTTTTCTGCAACTGCTCTATGCAAGCGTGAAATTTTTAGTTAAACGTTTAAGGACAACAATTAATGAACAACGTCATATAATTAATATGCGCGTGAGCAGTCGAGTTTCCTTATTTACAATTTGCTGTCATCCTGTACAATATGTTACATATTCATTGGTCCATATCAACCTGAACAACCAATTTTACAGATACTTTTAAGAAACTTATAAAAAATGTCTTTAAAGAAGTATGACCATATAAGAAATATCTCAAAGCAATAATTATGTTTAGCACATCTGTTCATGGTACCGTTTTTATATTGGTTGTGCTCGACTTCAAACAGTAAATGAAGTAGAAAAAGGAAACATTTGACGAATAAAAATAATTTTATTGCTACTCTATTCATTTATTACATCGTTATCTTTCCCTGTAATTTCTCCAACTATTCCAGCAGTTTTTAAATATGAAAACAATAAGTTTTTGTCACTGATAATGTAATGTAGTGTTTTCTTAGCATAGTAATGGCTGTCAAAGTTTTCAATATTATCGATGATGTCTTGTAGCAAATGAGCTCTTCCAACAACGATGCCCGGAGCGTCATGCTTAACATGCGTGAAATGCACGTGAAAGTGATAGTACGTCGGTTGATAGTGGACAAAGATCCGTAGTTGACTTTCACCAACATTATAGTTTTTTTGAATGGCCTCCTGGAACAAAAAGCCTTATTCAGAATTTTCCCTGATGGCAGAATAAAATGAGCAATGAAGAAATCGCAGGCCATTAATACATACCGTTCCTTGTATGAGGATGTTTTTAGAAGAGGCAAATGTGAAGCATTCAAATCTCTCAGTGATTTAATGTCTCGTGAATTACACACAGCCATGACGTAGAGATTCTGAGTTTGCGTCTGTTCCCATTTAAGATCAGGCAGAAGAATAAAACCATTTTGAGGGTGAGGATTTTCATACACTATACGATCACTTTCAGCTTTCTTCTCTAAGATATTGTACACCCACTACACACGGAAAGATAACAAAATTTTACTCTACGCTTGATGTGGGTTGAACATGATAAATAATTAATGTAGGAAGTTTTTGAAAAATAAGAAAAGTCATGGCTTTGTTTCTGGGACATCGTTGTGAAAATATTGCGTTGCAAAATATCTTAGTAACTTTGAAACTTTAAAGTTAGAAACTTCACATTTTTGTAAAACTTCACAAAAAATATTGAAATATATCCTCATTATTTGTCACCCATTTTTATCACCTGTAGATGACCAGCCTGCTCTTCTATAAAAGGAAGAGTGATTTCTTTAAAAGTTTTAGGCGTCTCAGTGATCAAATACGTTTGATGTTCAGAGTACTTATTTAGATGCTTGTCGCTAGCTGGATAGATTAATGTATTTTTTACAAAGTTCATTTCACTAGGGAGTATGCAAAGATATCGAGAGTAGATGTCATTGTTCAATTGTAACTGCATTGTGACTTCACTACATAAAATATTTTCCACTTTTTCAATTGCGAACTGAGATTTCTCAAGTATACACACGGCATCTTCGTGTTCAGTCTTATCTAAAAAGTAAGACAGAAAGATAAATTTCTAGCCTGTGCTCATAAAATCTTCATACAACCCACAAAGGTTGATAGATTTGATTGAAATGAGAATTATTCATGTTGGGGCATACGTTGTAGATGAAGCATCAATGTTTTGCTTTTTGAGTCTTCCGAAAGAACTTTAACAAATTCAAAGTCGCTAAGGTTTTCAAATTTTATTCTTTTAGAATCAATTTTTTCCTTTCCAGTGTTTAAGTCTGTTTCATTTTTTCGTTTCTTCGATATCACGTCTTTCTTTTCACACTCTTATCGTCAGCCATATTGAATTATAGTATTAGTCGCCCGCGATCACAATGTACATTGCCAATTGTTGAAGCAAGCCACTAGAAGGAAAGGAAAAGGAAGAACACGACAAAATTTTATATATATTTGGCCATTTACATTTTAGGGATTAGAAATGACAGAAATCCAAAATGTTGGATATCAACGATGCTATGTGGAAAAATTTTCGAGGCTTGCAAATGTTACTTGTATGAAAAATAATTCCATCTTGCTGTTAGCAAATCGCACAAACCTTATACCAATTATTAGGAGTTCTGGTGAACATTATTGAAGATTAATACATGTTACCTGGTCATGGCCATCATTAAAATGAAATGTCATTGTAATGAATTTGTACTGTCATGAAAAAAGTTTAAAACTTCAAATGCAGGGAAGAAAATTTTTGTCGAGGAATTCTTTGCATACACTAACTTATTTTTATACTTAAGTGACACCATTCTTGAACTCGTGCAATTATATGGAAATAAATCATGGCTCCATCACTAAGTCCATCTGTCCGGTTTGTTTTGACTTGAAAGCAATATTTCACTAAGCATTTGCGAAACTTCCTCTCAATTTTAGTGACTTAATCTTTCGTTGAAGGTATCAGGTTTCTGTTTATTTTAATTGTGAACGGCTGTTGTGATTCAGCGTTAACAACGCGGTTGTTGTTAGACAAATTCCTTGGTCTTCAAACATCGAAACATCTGTGGTTGCTCTCTGACTTTTTGTCATAATAATAGTCATTAAGTACTTTAAAATATGTACTAAACACGTCACAATATCACACCGGTTATGGAAACAAAACAAATCAAAGAATCTCCTTTGTCCTGCGAGTCATATAAACACGAACAGAAACATTTGATGGACACGATTTCCTCCACTCGCTCTTGTCAAGAGCGAAGTGAGAATGCAGATAAAAAAAATGATTCAACTGTTGTTAGTGTAAAGAATAATGAAGGAAAGGAATCAAGGGATGAATGTCTTCTTGAGGATTGCTCTCCACAGAAACGTCGTGAAATACGACAAAAAAGAAAAAAGCGAAAGTCTCTAATGGAAATTTTATTTGTGTGATCATGATTTCTACTATTACCATGATGTAGGTGAATGTTATATAAAAGTTATCTTAGCTTGTCTAATTCTTTCGTAAGAAAGTTTTAGATAGAGTTACCATGAATGGCCATATTGATGAATGGCCATATTGATGGAACAGACACTCTACACTCTGCACTATTTATTAAACTGGAGTAGATAAAGACTACCTTTGACCATGGATCAAGAGATCGCGTATATTTTGTTTAATGGAATGGAATACTTTATTGATATTGAATCAGAAAATGATTTAAACTAGCTTAGTTTTAAAGTTTTTGTGTAAATATTTTACAAGCATTCACTAATGCATTTACATGTTTACATCTCGAAGTATTTTTCTACCATAAGAAAGAATTATACGTACATATATTTAAACTGTCAATGATAAAAGTTATTTTGAAATAGTTTCCGTTGCTATGAACGAAAATGTTTCGCTTTTCCTCGTGTTTATTTTGTCACAAAGTTTTGGAGCAAATCTGTGATGATTTCCTGGCAAGTTTTTAGACCATTTCCACTCTAGTCTTCACCCTCATAAATCATCCACTTTGACAACTCACTTCATTAGTAAAATGTAAATTCAAAAGCAAAAATAATGGAAAGATACGACAAAACGTTTAGATGTAAATTAATTTTAAAACATTTTCAACATTTTTTAAATCAATCCTTTTGCTTTGCGAATAAAGAAGCTGGAATATCTAATATCAAATCAAGTCAAACGAATGAAGCAGCTCAGCTAAAATTTTAGATGAGATACATTTGTCAAAAGCACAATTTTATGCAAAACACTAAGTTATATTTACTTAAAACTACTATTGTACTGCCATTAAATATTCAAATTTCAAATTTCATTTTTTATACCATTAGAGTGTAGGTGAAGGTACTGCAGTAGATTTTCAATCATTATACTAAACACACAGGAAATTTTCCAAGCTTTAAAAACCAAAGATCGAACACTGTAACAGTTAAAACAATGAACGTCATTAAATGCAGAGCGTACAAATGCCGTTACATCTGAGAAAACGTTATTAACTATTGTTCTTTAGAGTTGTTCTCATCGATATTGTAAACACAGACCTATCCACATACAGATATGTAAGATCGTCTTTTTTTCAAATAAATAGCATCCTTTAGGAACCAATCATAAAAAATATACTGATTTAGCTATAAACTGTATACTCCACAGTTCTCTTGAAACTTTTTAAAGTATTGCACAAGATCTGGTGATGTTCTTGGTTTGATATTTTCTAGAGCTTTGGTAAAATGTTTATGTTTAACATTTTGTGCATTAATGTCTTCTTGCAAGGCTGCCAAAGCTGCTTCGCGACAGATGGCTGTTATTTCAGCCCCAGAATACCCTTCGGTCTTACATATAACGTCATCAAGATCAGCATCAGGAGCGAGAGGTGTCTTTCGTAAATGAATACCAAATATCTCCGTCCTAGTATCTTTGTCCGGTAATGGAATATAAATAATACGATCAATACGTCCTGGACGCATAAGAGCATTATCGATTACGTCAGGTCTGTTAGTTGCAGCTACCAAGGTGACATCATTTAGTGTTTCAACACCATCTAACTCCATCAATAATTGAGTTAAAACACGCTCAGAGACATTGGATACATCACCATCGATAGTACTACGTCTAATAGCAATGCCATCAATCTCATCAATAAACACAATACAAGGAGCAGCAGAACGAGCTTTACGAAACACCTAGAAATCAGAGCACAGTACATGAACATCAAATACTTACAGTTACAGTGTAAATACGATTTTCCTAACTGACCTGTCGTATTGCTTTCTCTGAATCTCCGACCCATTTACTGAATACTTCTGGTCCTTTTACAGCAATAAAATTCAATCCACTTTCCGTAGCAAGAGCCTTTGCAATAAGAGTCTTACTACAACCCGGGGGACCGTACATTAATATTCCTTTAGGAGGATCAATATTCATACGAGTAAAAGCCTAAAAATAGTTTTAATCCATGATGATTATGAATGATTTAAAAAGCAACAAATGGTATCTTCAAAAACGACAGAAAAAGCTCTACAATACTTCTGGGTGTTTAAGCGGCCATTCAATGGCTTGTTTTAGTTTTTCTTTAACTATGGCATTTCCACCCACATCACTCCAGTACACCTAAAAAATTGGTGATAGTCAAGATTACGGCTGACGATTATGGATTAAATTCTAATATTATCAGAGGGGAAACCTTTGGTATATCTATTGTTACTTCTCGTAAACCACTGGGAAGCACCCGTTGGAACGCTTGTCTGATGTCATCACTTGAAACAATAAAGCCAAAACGACTATTCCCATCCTCCTTATCAAACTTCTTTCATCATCACCATCATTCTTTACATTTCTTTTCCTTGCAATCATACAAGCTTCTTTCACGACGGCCATTAAATCAGCTCCAACATAACCATGTGCATTGCAAGCAAACCTAGAATGTGAAGCATAAAGAACATCGAAGTACAAGGATTTCCATAAAGATTATTGACACCTTTATTTAATAATATATTTCATGTTTTATGCGTGACAAGAGTTATGCTTATGAGAGACTAATGCATAACGTATGTGAAAAAGTATTTCTCTCCTGTGCAAATAGTCAGTATTTTACTTACGACCAAGGTAGTCCTGCTCACCTATCAACTTCATCGGGCGAAGAATTATGAGGTATTTTTCTGAGTAACTTCATGAGAATATCCATTCTTTCAATGGATTGAGGAATTGAAAGTTCTATTTCTTTCTCAAATCTTCCTGGTCGACGCAGTGCAAGATCTAAAGAGTCAGGACGGTTTGTTGCAGCCAGGATAAATACTCGAGATGACGACGACTGCAAAAGATATGAATTCAAGACAATCTCCTCAAAACAACTCCATAGCAGGCATAGCAAATATAGCAAATATATAACTTACGGTCGTGAGTCCGTCCATTAAAGTTAACAATGTTGCCACAAGTCGTTTCTCAAACTCATTCTGAACTCGATCTCGTTTAGGACACAAGGCATCAATCTCATCAATGAAAATTATTGATGGAGAATTTTTCTCAGCTTCTTGAAATAACTCTCGTAACTTTGCTTCACTTTCACCATAATACCTGACGTATTAACTAACGTTAAATTACTTCCTACTTATAAGTAATCAATTTATGTTTCATTACTGTAACACCATATCAGAAATAAAAGTTTGGAGGTCTTTCCATGGATTTTTTATCTCTGCATTTTCCGTGTTAACTAGTGGTTTGGCAACATATTGCAACAAATCAAAATTGAAACAAAAAAAAATGAAAACAAACGAAGAAGCTTACCTACTGATAATGTCTGGTCCATTCAACGTAATAGAATAGACTGCGGATTCACTAATCATAATATTTGCCAGTAAAGACTTCCCTGTGCCAGACGGACCATACAATAACACCCCTAGGTGGAGTCAAACCTAAAACAAAATAAATCTAGCTAGTGTGTAGACAATACAATTTCCCTCTTGCAATGTAAAAACATAGAATATTCTTACCATAAGTTTGAAAGATGCTTGGTGACTTTAATGATAACTCTATCATTTCTTTCAACATCTTTATTTGTTTGTCTACTCCTCCAATGCATTCGTAGGAAAGTTTATTTTTTATTCCATTTTTATTATTTTGATCTTTATCGCTGGCATTAATGACAATTTTAGTTGTTGCAGCTGAAATATAATACACAATACTTCCGGGAGAAGGAAAGTTACTGATGTCATCTGAATTATTTGTTAATATTTCGTGTGCTTTGACAGGGTTGATGTAACTATAGCCTCGCGACTGTTATTTTCACATAAACTTTCATTGACTGAATCATCTTTGAAACTATAGTAAACGGAAACATCATCACATAACTCTCCATTTTCGACCTTAAATCTTGAATCATTAAGTTCACTTAAATCCCGAAGCTTGGAATCATTCGAATTAGAAACAGTAAAGTTGTCGTTGTTTAAGCTGAGCAAAGCTAATTTCTTAGTAAATAATTCATTACTATCTTCATCAAGGCTCTTGTTTGGAGACTGAAATGTTCCGTGATCTCCAGCTACTGACGTCACAATAAATGTCTTTGTGTCGCCATAATACATAACATCAATAAGGTCGCCAGGAATTACAAACTGGTTTTCTTTATAAAACAGAAGAAAACGTTTTCTTCCTTAGCAAAGTTTACGTAGACCTTTTTCGTAAGATCTGATCTATTTTGGACCTTACCTAAATAAAAGGTCAAATAATCCTGGAACTGAGCAGAAATATCAAACTCCAATGATTCACTAAAAAAAAGTGATTAAGTTGACGTTCTCGTCTTGTAACAGATATCAATAATATTTCCAATTCCAGTTTATAGTTAAAACGTCTGCTTACCAAGATGTCAGAACGACTTCATTCGCGTGACATGATAAGCCATTGTGACCACGAACGATAACAATCTCATTCTCGGAAATCTAAAATCAATTAACTCGATGTAATTTCACGATTCTTGTGTCACTCAAAATCAATGAAATGACGTATACTAAATGACCTTCAAATTTTTCATTTGACATTCATGCATTCCAATACCTTAAAATGAATTGCAACCATTAAATAAATAACCGTTTGTGCAAACTAAGATTTATATAAGACCAAAAAATATTATTAAAACAATGTGGGAACTCACAATCAAGAGGCATTTGTGAAGAGGGCCAAACTTTGCGCATTGTCTAATGAATAACGAAGCACTTTAATACATGAAAGAGTTTTAAAACTTTAATATGCAACATACATATCTGTTATTGGCGTGCAGTAAAACGGGCGATCCAAGAAATAAACCAAGGACCTTTACAGTTGATGGATTAAGTACAACAACGTTTCTTTTTTCCTTGAGTTTCTCATCTAAAATTTTCAATTTAATACAATGCAATTGTGCATGTCTTAAAAATGTGAATAATGAAACGTTATGACGATGCAAAACGCGGTCTACAGTCTACAACAATACAAAGAAGAAAGATCGAAGCTTTGAAAAAATTTTGTCTTAATGTCCACATACACAAAATAATCAATAAATCTGTTTTCCAGTTGTTGCAGCCTCTAATATGCACTGTTATGCAAAACAGAGTTTGCATAAACATTTCTGCACTTAGCCGTCCTAACTATAATGACCAATTTATTGTGCATTAAAAGATCAACATCACAATAACAATGACCATTCCAAGTGGTTATTCTCATTTCGACTTACTTGTAATAATTCTAGGCTTTCCAAACAGCATTCTTCCTTGTATAAAGCCATTCTTTATATTTTTCATATTTATGTTAGATTTGTCATCATTATATTCATTTAATCTACACCCATTATTGTGTTCTTTAAATGATTTAATTGGAAAATACACCTCAGACTCACCAGCACATCTGGTCCAAGCATATTGTTTTTTGCTAGACATGTTTTAAAAAAAACAGTAGCGAGAACAATACTAATATATATACATAAGCGCCCCCAGAAAAAGGAATCGGATCAAAAAGAGAAAAAGAAAAAAGAAAAGGAGAACAAAGGAATACAGATGACCACATAAAGTTACTTGAGAAACCGCATGACAATAAATTGCATGCTCAAGTTTGTTTCCTCACGTATAGTCTCGTGGCGTGATCGTACAACATCGTCAACAACAAGAAAAGCAAATTACGCGCCATCTTTGTTGAAAGCATTGAAAGGCCGGTGTTGCTTTTGTTCATTCCACGTAAAATTTGTACGAAAAGTTTTGAAATCCTGGTGAAAATGCCGCAAGACGAAGCTTCAAGTGAAAGCAGTGCTGATTCGAGTGATGAACAGGTTCTTTTGCTGCTCAGATTATTAAAATATCTCCATGTCAAATGTGCAGCTTTCATTGTACAAAGGCCATGATGTGAGATCCACGACATCAAATTTTTAAGTCATGAACTATTGATTTCAGGCATGCTATTTAAATTTAAATTGCACATACAGTGCTTCATTTAAAAGGTATAGGATAGTCCCCTATTGTACTTGTGTTTAGATACCATATATCATCTGGAAAACTACCACCATTATGCACTACATATATACTGAATATTAAAATAGTTGTCTGTAATCTGTTCTCAGAGCATTTTATTTTTTTGAGGTGCTTACATTATATATCATTATGATTGATTTGTATATTCTTCATGTATGGATGATACAATGCTTATTGGTTGTATTTTATCATCCTTGTGCAAGAGATGTAATCATCTGTTAGAAAAACATTGTCACTAAACAATTTCAATATTTAACACCTAGTGCTTTCTTCTGAACATGTGCTTTTTATGGGGTAATGTAGTTTTGTTGTGTTATTCATTTTAGAAATAAGAAAGCCTTCTAACTTTCAAACTTGCAAACCTGCAAGATGAAGATAAATTATTAAAGTACCTCTAGCAGCATAAATTTTCACCGGCATTATTAACACCAGATGCAAAGTCTAGCATATCAGTGAAATGTCTAGTTGCAATGTTTAACATATCTGTGGGTAAAAATGATCTTTTTGATGGACCTTGTTTTGTGGTGAAAGAGGTCTAGAACCATAAATTTTAGTGATGTCATTCAAGAGACTCATCACAACAAAATATACATGCCACCTACCTTGAATGATGTTAGTATATGACTCGACTGAAACTTTATTCCACAAGGGACAAGGTGCATTGAAAAGAAACTTCATATCATTGTAGAAATGGGATGATTTCACCCATATAAAAAATTTTATCAACACTATTTGACATTGTCATATTTTTATTAATGCTTATAAAAAATTTTGCTGTTAGGAATACTTTAAGTTATTAATCTTGTATTCTCATGAACTTAGAAAAGCAAGAAAGTTCTATATTATCCTTTATAAAGTGATAACATTTGTGAATTTTAGTCAGTTGATAAGAAAGATGAAACATATGGTGAAAAATCCAAACCTGGTCGCAAAGCTCAAGAGATACCTCCTTCTTCAAAGGATTATGATGAAAAAATTGTAAGGATTAAGCATTTAAGGTTTATAAAACAATGGAAACTGTACTGTACATTGTAATGCTTTGTAGTGCAATATTGAATTGTATAATGTGCCCATGGATGCAAGATATTTTGTTTCATTTATTGTCTATTGACACTAAGAAAAAAATTGTTATTCATTTGCGAACTTTATAGGAAAAGGATCGTGCTACGAGGTTTAACTTTTTACTTGAAAAAACTGAGATTTTCTCCCACTTCATGAACTCATCTAGTGGGAAAAAACCAAAGAGTCCCTTGAAGATAAAAGCACCAGGTTTTCCATCTGGCAAAAAAGAATCTGGTGCAGGAGAGTAAGTTGTTTTTCAATAAATTTAATCTTGATTACAGCAAGTGACATATCCCTAGTGGAGATTTAGTGACATATTCGTAGTGGCACCCCTGTCTTCCCCCAACGTAGCATTTTAAGTCTCAAGATATCACTTGTTTGTTTTCTGAAAAAAAAACCATGTGGATTTGCAGTAACTAATCTTTTTCAAAGTGTTTTAACAATTCAATTCATAATAATGTAATAAATGATTCCAGGTTACTCATTCAATGTAAGGTTAGTCATTCTATTCTTGTATAATTTATGAAGTCACCGACATAGACACACAGAACAGGAGGAAGATGCAGAACTATTGGAACAATCAAAACATCAGAAAGCAATTGTACATTTTGAACAATCACCATCTTGTAAGTAAATACTCATTGATACTTAAAAATCTGTCTTCTTTAAAGTAGTTCATTCAAACACTACATGTTTAATTATGTCTATAGTATAACTAGATTATGTTATGTTATTTGACTACTGTCCTTAAGGCTATGTCAGTTGACTAACTCATTTTTATTTTAAAAAAATTAATAAAACACAGTGTATCATGGAAGATGCCATGAAAATTGCATAAAAATTGTCTGCTTGCTGTTTATATGGTTGAATCCTCATCGTTTTAACAATATTTTCACAGCAACTTGATGATATGATGATATGTCCTGTTAGCTAAATCTCTCTGTTAGTCAAATAGGCTATTATCCTTAAGACTATAACAGTAGATTACGTCACAACAATGTGAGTCATTAGGCTAATGTTGCGGCTATCTTTAGAATTTGCCTGCATATAACCATTTTGGTTGCATTCAACCATTCATCAACAATATTTTACAAGTTATTATATTTATTTTTTTGCAGTTATAAAAAGTGGTGAGATGAGAGATTATCAGATTCGTGGTTTAAACTGGATGATCTCCTTGTATGAGAATGGAATTAATGGAATCTTAGCAGATGAAATGGTCAGCTTGGAAAATTTGTTTGATAATATGTTATTTTTTATTCTAATGTGTTCATAAATGTTTATTTTATTTTTAGGGTCTTGGAAAAACTCTTCAAACAATATCTTTACTTGGTTATTTAAAAGTTTTCCGAGATTCAGCTGGACCTCATTTAGTTATTGTACCTAAATCAACATTGGCTAATTGGATGGCAGAGTTCAAGAGATGGTGTCCAACAATTAATGCTGTTTGCCTCATTGGATCTCGTGATGAAAGAGTAAGGAATTTTATGATGCAGTAAAGTTTAAAATAATTATTTTGCACTATGATGTAGGTATGTATTTCATATGGTAAAATACCCTTTCCACACATTTTGCAGATCAATGTCATCATGCAGCTATAATCTTCTTGTGTTAAAATAGCGTTGTTTATTAAAATTTGTTGTGTATATTGCAGTGTGCGAATTAGTTCAAAAAAAACGATGTGCAATTTTTTTGACAAAAGTGTTTCTTTAGAGGCATAATCAAATCGATATTACGTTAATTATTATAAAGCGCCAATTGCTAAATTAATATTTTTAAACGTGAACAAATTCATACGATTTACGACAGTGTTTTTCGTTAAAACCGCTAATTTTTGCACATCGTTTGAAAAAGTGACGTGCAATTGTTTTCATTTTATCTAAAACGATGTGCAAATTGAACATTGCACACCGTTAATTCGCACACTGGTATATTGTTCATTTCAGTATCAAGAATTAGTGCTTTGACTTTATTTAGGTTGCTTTCATTAGGGATGTTATGTTACCAGGAGAATGGGATGTTTGTGTGACATCCTACGAAATGTGCATCAAAGAAAAAAGTGTATTTAAAAAGTTTTCTTGGAGATATATTGTTATTGATGAAGCTCACAGAATCAAGAATGAAAAATCAAAGGTTAACAAGACTTTTGCTTATGAGCTGATGAATGACAGTCTTTAATGAAATATTTCTTATATCTGTATTTTTATAGTTATCTGAAATGGTACGAGAAGTTCGTTCACAAAACAGATTGTTGCTCACTGGTACACCATTACAGAACAATCTACACGAGCTTTGGGCCTTGTTGAATTTTTTACTTCCTGATGTATTTAGTTCAGCTGAGGTTCATTACTTTTTATTTTTAGAGCATATATTTAGAGTTTTTATCATTAGTTATCTTTTTTGTTGGCTGTAGGATTTTGATGCTTGGTTCAATTCAAATAATTTAGTAGAAGAAAAACAGTTGGTTGAACGACTTCATTCGGTAAGATAAAGCTTCATGTTGTGTATAAAGCTTGTCGACAGCTATATACTCAAATGAGTTACCCCAAGGACATTTATGTACATTTATGAACATCAAGTATATTTATGAGCGTTTATTGTATTTAGGTTTTGAGGCCATTTCTTTTACGTCGTTTAAAATCTGACGTTGAAAACGTCTTCTTCCAAAGAAAGAGACGAAGATTTATGTTGGATTGACGAAAATGCAGAGATCTTGGTAAGGAATGTACGAGTGCATGTCGTTCTCTTCATAAATCTTTCGTTAAGTGGAAAAATTTTCTCACTAAATGATTATTTGTCAATAAATACGCTAGGATATCGAAATAAATCAATGTTGAAATGTTTTTAGGTATACTAACATTTTAATGAAAGATATTGATGTCGTAAACGGAGCAGGAAAGTCCGACAAAATGAGATTGTTGAATATTCTGATGCAGTTGAGAAAATGCTGTAATCATCCGTATCTTTTTGATGGCGCAGAACCCGGTAATATATGTTATTATGTGGTGTGTTTTTTTTATTTTATTTCTTTATTATTGTAACTTCATAGCTTACTATGTTTTCTTATTTGCTATCATCACAGACGAAGTAGGTTCCTATGAATCCTTTGAACGATGAGAGACGTTTCCTAACTGTTTTTTCCCCTGTTTTCTATTCAGGTCCACCTTACACAACTGATCAACATTTAGTTGACAACTCTGGAAAGATGCGTGTTCTAGATAAACTTTTACCCAAGCTACAGGAACAAGGTTCTCGAGTCTTGATATTTAGTCAGATGACACGAGTATTGGATATCTTGGAGGATTATTGCTTATGGAAATTGTATAATTATTGTCGTCTTGATGGTCAAACTCCTCATGAAGAAAGACAGGATTCTATCAACGAATTTAATATGCCTGACAGTGAAAAATTCATTTTCATGTTGAGTACACGAGCTGGAGGATTGGGAATTAATCTAGCGACAGCCGACATTGTTATCTTATTTGATAGTGACTGGAATCCACAGGTTGATTTGCAAGCTATGGTATGTTATGATTTTTATCTTTAAATTTTTAAAGTCAATTCTAATTGTCTGAAATAAGTTTGATTTTATATCTGATGATCGTGGTTTTCTTGTTGTAGATACATAATGAAAATGTGATTTATTGCAGGACCGAGCACATCGTATTGGTCAAAAAAAGCAGGTTCAAGTATTTCGTTTTATCACGGAAAGTACTGTTGAAGAACGGATTGTTGAGAGAGCTGAAATGAAATTACGTCTTGACAATGTTGTTATTCAACAAGGTACATACTTATTTATTATTTTTATCAAAGATGAATTTCTTGGAGACGTTTCTCTCCTACAACTTTCCAAGGGAAGGGTAAAGTAGGAGTATTAGTAAGGAGCGTTCAATGTTTTGTTCTTCGTTAAACTTATCCTAGAATCTTACTATACTTTGCTTTAAAATACAGACAAATACAAACAAGGCTGTACTTTAGAACCAAACATTTTGAACGCTTTCATTGTTTTGTTCCTTCAATGCAAGCATAGAAAACACTGTTGAAAGTTATTGTGCATTATTGTAGGTCGTCTGGTAGATCCAAATTTGAAAGTTGGTAAACAAGAAATGTTGAGTATGATACGTCATGGGGCAGATGAAGTATTTGCGTCAAAGGATTGTGAGCTCACTGATGAAGACATTGATTCTATTCTTAAAAGAGGAGCAGTTAAGGTAGTCTTTTCATTTTCTTACTTTTATTTTCTTACTTTTAAACCTTTCCGCTTTTTGATCATGTTGTATGTTTGATTGTAGACTGCTGAGTTAGAAGAAAAAATGAAGCAGTTTGGTGAAAGTACAGCCAAGAAACTCACATTTGATTCTGTTCCGGTTGAAAGCATTTTTCATTTCGAAGGTGAAAACTACAAAGAAAAACAAAAGGTGCGGTTGTAGGAACTACGTACGTATAAGATACGAAAGTATAGGATTTGAAGCTATAGGAGTATTGGAACCATAGGTGTGGGAACCATAAGAGTTGAAAACATAGGATTTGAAACCATTGAAGTGGGAACCGTGTGATTGGAAATGCCAATGTTCGTAATTGACGCTGTCAATTTTAAAAAATTAACTTTAGTTTCCAGGCGTATCTCATTGGATCGAGCCTCCCAAACGAGAACGAAAAGCGAACTATGCTGTGGATGCTTACTTTAGAGAAGCTTTACGTATTACTGAACCCAAAGCACCTAAGGTAACTTATCTTTATGTTTATATGGTGTACTGCTCAGATTGAATAGCTGCTTGCTTTAGTGATTTGTTGTAGTATTTACTTGTTAGTTAGCGTAAGTAAAACGCTAAATTTTATATAAAGTTTAGCCTTGTGAACGCTTCACAACATGATCCAATGAAGTACATGTTTATTTTACTTACTTACACAAGAATAGGTTATGGTCTCTATAAATCACAGCAAAATTTCATTTTATTTTTTGTGGACATTTGCGATCAGAATGCAGTTGATATCTTGTGCAGTGATTGATTTTTTGCCCATAGTGAAATTTCAACGAGATGTAATTTCGTTTTTATAGGCTCCTCGACCTCCTAAACAACCAAATGTCCAAGATTATCAGTTCTTTCCACCACGACTTTTTGAACTACTGGATATGGAAATTTATGCCTTTAGAAAGAATATTGGATACAAGGTTGGTAAAGAGGATAGGATAGTATTGTATAGAGGATAAGATAGGGTAGTTTGGAAGTTAAGACAAGATAGTTTATAGGATAAGATAGGGTAGTTTAGAGGATAAGATAGGGTAGTGTAGTTATAAAATAATTGATAAAATAAATAAGATGAAATTAAGTTGCTCCTACTTATATATGACCATACTAAAGTATGGATATCATGAACAGTTGTGCAATTAAACCAACGCAAAGAAATTTACATGCCATAGTTCAACTATTTGTAAGAATATTATTTATTTTATATCTAGCTACCAGCTATAGGCTGTATATGTATGTTCTCCTATGATCAATTATATGACTACATACAGAAATGATATTAAATCATGTATATTGGTGTACTATTGCTTGTATACCTGCCAATATTTGGTTTATTTTTGCATCTTTTTGCTCGTTGGCAAAGTATATTTCGAAGTAATCGTTGTTTTTCGCTAACCCAATGGATTTACACCAACTTTATAGTTTTGTTCACTGGCAAAATGACTTGTGAAATATTTACTTTTTCATGCAGGTTCCACGTGATCCTGAAGATCCAAATGGCGCTCAGAATCAAAAAGAGGCTCAAAGAATGATAGACGAAGCTGAACCATTGACTGAAGAAGAACTTGCAGAGAAAGAGAAACTTCTTGAAGAGGTGACCTGGTCAAAAATTTTTGCTAAATATGTTTGTTTATCAAATATCAGCGTCTTTCGTTTGAGTCAACTCGTTATGTTTGTTAAGCAAGAATCAATCATTTTTGTTCTAGGGTTTTACCAACTGGTCTAAACGCGATTTTAACCAGTTTGTCAAAGCTTGTGAAAAATATGGTCGTGATGATATTGATAACATTTCCCATGAAATCGAAGGCAAAACAGCAGAAGAGGTACTCTCTTTTATTTAATAATGGGCACTATCTCCAAAATAGACAACAACACTTCTTCACCAAGACGAATTATGAATACATCTGTTGAATACATGTTGTAAATTAAAGGTGCGGGCTTACTATGACGTGTTTTGGGAACGTAAAGAAGAATTGCAAGACTTGGAGAAAATTATGGCTCAGATTGAGAGGGGAGAGGCGAAAATACAACGAAGAATTAGCATAAAGAAAGCTCTCGATGCCAAGGTATTTTCTTCTCGACTTTTTACTTGCGTTTTTATTCTTACTATTATTTTGACCATTGAAAGCTAATGGATATTGGGGGGGATAGCGCATTCTCATACTAGATACTTTATAAAACATCGCTGTTGGAAAGAGTTTATTTGCGATGAAAGTATCGACCAAATTAATCAATCAACTTCAAACAACACACAATGAAGTCTTAAGATTATGTCTTGATATTTAGATGGCGCGTTATCGCTCACCGTTTCACCAATTGAGGATAGCGTACGGAACTAACAAAGGCAAAAATTATACTGAAGAAGAAGACAGGTTTTTGGTAAATTTCCTTCTGTGGAGTGTTTTCGTTAAAGTAGATAAAGAAACTAGAAAAATTTCAAACAGACATAAGTTCAATAGTGGCGTTAAAGAACCTTCGATTAAGTCGTGGCATGCAAATATTTTTCTAAAAACAAACATTGTTTAGCAAATAGAATTTGATAAATAGTATGGTATTCAATTGCCCCAAAAAGTAAATACTCCATGTTGATTTTCTTCGTTCATATTCGTTCTTTATTCAGATTTGTATGCTTCATAAACTTGGTCTGGAGAAAGAAAATGCTTATGATGAATTACGAATTGCGTGTAGAAGTGCACCACAATTTAGATTTGATTGGTTTTAAAGTCCAGAACTGCCCAGGTCAGTGTTACATAATATGGAATATTAACAATAATCTATGCCTGTGGTGAATCTTCTGAAAAAACCAGCACTCAACTACCCACTGTGTATTATTCATGATTAATTTTTGTAATGTTTCATGCCTTTTAACTTGTCAAATTTGAGAATAAATAGCTTGTTGAAAACACTTTTGGAACAACACAACTAAGTGTTCATCCGATCACAATTATTATTCACAACAAAGTAACCGAAAATATATATTTATGTGAAGGAACTTCAACGACGATGCAATACGTTGATCACTTTGATTGAGAGAGAAATGTTGGAAATTGAAGAAAAAGAAAAGAAAGAAAGGAAGCGTGGACAAAAACCAGGGACAAAGGTGACTTTTAATAAAAAAATGTTTAAACTTCTGTTATGTGCATGTTATGATTCCTACAAGATTGAGTGTTTAGCTAAAACAAAGACAGAAATGTCAGTCAACTGTGGTAATTTCCATTTGCTTCACTTTTAATTTGGCATATTGATTGCAGATTGAGTGCTTTATATGGTTTGCAAAGATATCAAATCACATTTTTTTTTAATTTAGACTCCTCAGCAAAAAAGAAAGGCTGATGGAACTCCAGATGGACGAGGTAGAAAGAAAAAGAAACAAGCAAATACGTGATTTTTACTCACTCATTCTTGTTTCTGTTCATAATGTAAATAGTTCATAAAACTTACTTCAACAATTCTTTATGCCTTTGGTGAAAATAAAAATAAAAGTTCTTATGAATGCCTCTATCTTGATATATTTTGTTTAGCAATAATATAGTGTGTTAACTTTCATAAAAGATAATGAAATGTAAGCATTCAACAACTACTCAAGCAGCATGTTTTCGAAACATTTTATTTCATTATAATGCACTCAAATATTACACTGACTCTAATACTGGTGGTTCAAATGAATCACGTTCAACTTTAGCTCCAGTTTCGTCTGTGGTTACTGTAGTGCTTCCACTTTCACCGTGCATTTCCATTAATTTTCCCACTAAAGTAAATCATGAATAGCACTTTAATTTCTAAACATACTTATCCTCCTCTCCCTACATACACACAAATACATTACCATCAAATTTAGGCTTCTTCAAAACTTTAACTTTACGAATAAACACATCATGAAGAGGATAAATGGATTGACAGGCTTTTTCAATATCACGACCAATACTATCTGGAATTCTACCAAAATGAAATGGTAATGGATGAAAATTAAGATACTTCATCAAAATCGTCACAATATTTAATTTAGCTTACACTACTATTAAAAATACTTACAACTTGTTGACAACTTCTTTCAAATCATTTGTTCCAACTTCTTGGGTCATAATGTCCACCATTTTTTTCTTATTAACTTTACTTGTGAATGTTTGGCATATGACGTCTTTTTGATTTGGTTGGTTCGCCTCTTGGTGAAACCAATGCAAAACAATCTTAAGAGATAGCCATCTGTTGTTTTCACATCAACGTTACCTTCAATCAGTGTCTAAAAGATCGAAAGGAAGAATGTCAAAAAAGTTGTAAAATCCAAATGAATGAAAACAATGAGAAAGCAAACCTGCCATTTCTTGACAAGAGATCGTAGTTTATCTGTAGTCATGTCTAACCCATGAAAATTGGTCAGACATTGTCTACCTTGAACATCCTCCACCATTAATTTGAATTTACGATATGTAACTTCATCATCTTGTAAATCAGCGAGAGACACTTCAAACACACGACCTTTCAAGGCATCTGCTGCAATTTCTACCGAATAAAATCCATTCCATGAGATTCAGTAACTTATTAGATTTCAACACAGCTTGTTTGGTCAATCAGTCAAAATGACGTTAAAATCAATGTATAATCACAATAATTTAAAATTATGAACAAACATACTTGTGCCAGTTGTTTTATTGACAACTGTTTTCCCAATCTGCCTTTTGAGGAACATAGAAGGCGCCTTCACATCGTACCAGTCCTTTCGAGTAAAGGGATCAACACTAAACAAGACACCGATGTAATATCATTCAAGAAAGCAATCGCTTGCATCTAAGCAATAATTCTATCAAAGCGAGACTGTATAATAAAAAATATATGAATTGGAATAACATATAATTAATTGATAGCAATATTTAAAACTAACACTTTTTTTTTCTGTCCTTTTTTGCCTTTAGTAAGGCGCTTATTCTTTCCAACTACCATGATGGATTATGATGAAACACTAAAGAGAATGAAGGTTGCAAATTCGTCCGTTTTTAATACCGCTGACCATTAAGCTGGCGTACTCAAATTTCGAATATGGTTGTTAAAGCAGGTACCTTAGTACCATAAAATCGTTTCGTCAAAGTTATTTGCTTCATTATTGAACTTTTAGATAATGGATGACTGCACTAGGAAAAGAAAAAGTTCAAAGACAAATGAGTTTCATCAAAAGCGACGACAGAAATCCGGCGTCAAAGCAAAAAGGCAAAACAAAATGTCAACAAACAAACAAATGAAACAATCTAATAAAAAAACTAAATCTATTAAAAAAGGAAAAGAAAGAGTTTTGGAGTTCAAAAAACGAAACAAGAACGTGAAAAACATTTTACTGTGATTGAGCAACGACCAAAAGATCAAATACGAGATTCTGATGGTGTAAAACCAATTTTTACTGTGAACAAGAAAAGAAAATTATGTTTCAAGGAAAAAATTCAAAATAAATTGGAGTCTGGTAGATTTCGTTGGATAAATGAAAAGTTATACACCTCAAAAAGTTCCTCATCATGTGCAATGTTTCAATGTGAACCTGAACTTTTTACTATTTATCATCAAGGATTTTCAAGTCAGGTCAATAAATGGCCAATAAATCCACTAGATGTAATTATTAAATGGGTTTTGAAAAAGTAAGTTTCATGAAGAATTTTTTAAGGCACATCAACATGATTGCACATTATTTAATTCAATGTGTTCTTATGGTTCCCATTCATCTCAATCCTTAATTGTTGCCATAGATCCCCCATTCATCTCAATCCTTAATTGTTGCCATAGATCCCCTAACCTTGTTATTGTTGACATGGGTTGTGGTGAAGCAAAACTTGCACAAAGTGTTCCCAATAAAGTCTTCTCTTATGATTTCATTGCCGTAAATGATCTTGTAACTGCATGTGATATGGCAAAGGTAACTATTAATTTTCTTTGTGATTTAGTTTATGTACTTAACTATGTATAAGTTGTTTTTTTTACATTAGCTGAAGAATTTGATTTGAGCAATTGAATTTATATTTATCAATCATCAGCTCCCTTACCTTAACTCAAAAGAATCATTTTCTTATATACTTATAACACTGGAGTTTGAAATATTTGAGTTGATTGGATTGACTGTTGTAACTTCGTCTATTGCTTGTATTAAATCTTGATAACGTAACATCATGGTTTAACTATTCCTTAGACTGTTGTTTTTCTTGATTCATTGAAGGTTCCTTTATTGAATAGCAGTGTTGATATTGTTGTTTTCTGTTTATCATTGATGGGCACTAATTTGAATGAATTTTTACAAGAAGCCTTTCGTATCTTAAAGCATGGGTAATTTGACATACAAGTCTTATTTTTTTATGGCCAGCGGAATTTGTTGCATTCATAGTTCATTTTTTTCAGTGGAATTTTAAAGGTGGCTGAGGTTGTAAGCAGATTTGAAAATCTAGAAGAATTTATCACTATGGTTTCAACATTTGGATATAATCTTTTAAGAAAAGTAAGTTTTGCATGTGCAATCAATATGAAATAGTGCTTGATTTCATGTCTAAAAATATGCAGCACTAATCTCATGGAAGGAAAATTATTTAATCCTGCTTTGTCCTTCAAGGATGAAACAAACAAGATGTTCGTTCAATTTGAGTTTGAAAAATCTTTGAAGAACACTCAACGACCTAAATTACCATCATTATTACTCAAACCTTGCTTGTACAAAAAACGCTAAGGTATACTAGTTGGACAACAGAATTCTAAATAGTTTAAATTGGAATGGAGAATTGATTAATTGTTTTTGTGGGTTTTTATTATTGGCAACATAATATTTAATATTTATCCTCAGAAGATTAATGTATGTTTTGATACAAAAGCATTTATGTATCAAAAATTGAAAACTATCAAATATTTCTGAATGAAAACGGTTTTTACTTCCTGTTCCTGAAACTTACAGTTGGTTTTGGTTACACGAAGTGATGGTATCGACTATGAAGACGCTGGCTTGTACATCAAGGGCGATTTTGTGAATACGTCAAATGGTCAAACGTTCGAAATTCTTCCGTTCAATTCTCGTAATTTTAAAAAATTTGCTGTTTACTTTTTATGCAAAAAGGGACTTAACATGTCATCGACAAAACGATATTTTAAAAGGGAACATTCAATCTTTTTCACGATGTAAAACCGACAATGATAGAAATGTCTACGTTTAATAGTGTAAGAAAATGGCTTCATACTTCGGTGAATTCGGACCAGCAAAAATCAGAGGAACACAAAATGAACTCCAAACTCGGCAGTGAATTATTTCCTTACACAAGACCCTCACTTCTTGGTCTAAGTAAAGAAGCCGGAAAAGCTTCTGCTGATCACGAAATACGACCTATACTTGTTCCACAAAATACACTTTGTTTAAATGCAGGTTATTCTGAGTAAGTAATCTTTTTTAGTTTCTGTTTTTGTTTTTGTACACCATTATGACGTCATTATAGGGTGATATCATCATTATTACAAATTGACTGTTGAAATTTCAACAAAATGCAAAGGATCAGGTTTGTTATTTTACCTTTTTAATTTTCAGAACCATCAATGCTGGCAAGACGCATTTGATCAATGAAGACCAGGCATTTGCTGAGACATTTTATCTTCATGTCAGTAGCATTGATAAAGACTCAAATGAAGATAGTGTATGTCATGTTAAAAAATTGCATCATGAAGAAAATGTTTGAATGTGCACCCATGAAAGCCTAGTTTTCTCAAAATTGTTCACCCAAATTCTCTGGTGCACATGACAAACTTTCCAATGTGGCGTAGAATTGAGTGAACTGAAATTAGTTAACTAGTTCTACTTCAGACTGGAAAATTTGTGCCATGCACCAAAGATTTCGGGTGAACAATTCTCATTAAAGTGGACATTTATGTGCTCAAATGCCAAATCTTTGGTGCGCAGTTTAGGGCTCTAGTCTGGGCTCTACTTGAAATGCTATTTCAATAACCATATTTGCTACATAACAGATGTCATGTTTTAAGCTAGAGTACTATTTTAGACGTTTTTATTGCTTTTACTACTACATATGTTATTTTATGAATAGTTTGCATGTGACTAAAAAAAGTAAAGCACAGTGAATGAGACATAATAAACAGAATGATAATTACATGTTTGTAAATGTAGATCGTCCAGGTTGGTATAGTCCTGAAAAGGACTGTTTTTGTTGTTGTTGACTGACGTTTCGACAATCTTAGCGGTAGTCATCTTCAGAGTCAAATGAGGAGTAAACTTCAGGTTAGCCGTATTGGTTATCTGGTTCTTACATCATTGTATTGTGTGTACAGGAAATGTGTATTGTCATTGTGAATTAGTGTGAAGTGAAATATTTTTAGTTGTGATGTGTGATTTAGGTGTGATGTTTTTAGTTGTAATGTGTGGGTGTCAATTGTGTATTGTCATTGTGAATTAGTGTGAAGTGTAATGTTTTCAGTTGATCCTTTGTATTGTGAATAAGTCATGAATTGTATTGTGAATAAGTCACAATACAAACAAACGATCAACTAAAAACATTACACTTCAAACTAATTCACAATGACAATACACAATTGACACCCACACATCACAACTAAAAATGTCACACCTAAATCACACATCACAACTAAAAATAAAACATTTCACTTCACACTAATCCACAATGACAATACACATTCCCTGTACACACAATACAATGACGTAAGAACCAGATAACAAATATGGCTAACCTGACGTTTACTTCTCATTTGACACTGAAGATGACTACCGCTAAGGTTGTCGAAACGTCAGTCAACAACAACAAAAACCGTCCTTCTCAGGACTATACCAACTTGGACGATCTACATTTACAAACATGTAACGATACTCCCGGGTTCAAACCATTTACTTTATTTACTTTAGAATGATAACTCTTATCTTATGAAGAGCAAACTTCCATTCTGGTGTTTTGGTATCTTTGATGGGCATGCTGGAGCTGGCGCCTCTCTTGCAACAGTCAATCAACTGCAGCATATAATATATGACAAACTTAATGAAATACAAGATGTCATAAATTGCAAAGAAGAGAATTATACAAAATTGCCTGTTTTACAAGGAGCTGTATCACCAACAATATCATTTGATAATGTTGTGACTGGTGCGTTAGAGCAATCGTTTATTGAAATGGTAAGATGAGTATTTTAATCTTTGCCAATAATTGTCATACTTTAAAATTTTTATTACTTACGATTTGAAGAGTATTGATCTTGTGCTACTGAGCATGAATCAAATTTTTGACAAAAATATATTGTTGTATTCCTTGGTGAAAATCTTATGTATGATCATGCTCAGGATCCAAAAAATCTTCTCTGGCATTCTGTAATTGTAAAGCTTTGAAATTTATCGTACAGGATCTTAATCCAAACTGTCTTTGTTAGTACCCATAGTTTTTCATATTTTGACATCAGGTGTTTTTACAAAATAATGTTGTCTATGTAACTTTTGCTGTTTAGGATAATAGAATAAAGAAAGACAGACTGATTCATAAAATAAGTGGTGGTTGTACTGCTCTTGTTTCATTGTTCTTGAAAGACAAATTATTTATTGCGCATGCTGGTGACTCAAGGTGAATACTTTACAATTAATTTACATCACTCGCCCATTCCAAAGATCATGACGAGAGCTTTAAGACGATGAGCTAAAGATCGTCGCCTTAATCCGTAGTTTAGGAGATAGCACTGCGCATGCGCAGATCCTATCTCATAAAGTATTGGAGTTACGACGATGATCTTTAGCTCATTCGAAACAGCTCGACAAGAGCTTATAATTCTAATCATTGGTATTGTAAATTGTTATCATAAGAAGATTCACTGGAATGTTGAATTTGTTATTTCACGTGTAAAAATATCGCAGTTGTTCAGTTATGTATCAGTTACTGCATGCTGTGTATGATGTAGATAGCAAAACTGGAGTGATTTATTACGTCTGTACTTACGACAGTCAATAACTTCATATAGAGCTGTTGTTTGCAAAGATGGCAAACCTGTTGTTGTGACAATTGATCATACCCCTGAAACAGACCGCTTTCGCCTTCAGGTTTTGGTAAGAATGGGTTATTTCTGATTTTGTGAAATATCACACACGTAAAAAGGTCATTATTTCAAAAAATTTCAATACAGGCTGCAACGAAACCAGGTCTTCTTGGAAAGGAATTCACGCGTTTGGAATTTCAACAAAAACCTCGCCAGAAACACATTGGCAAAAAACTGTTTTGTAGAGATAAGAACATGTGTGGCTGGTAGGTTAACTTAAATGAGAAGAACATTTTCAGTATAAGAATTTTAAGCGAGTACGTTGCATTCTGCAATTGTTCTTTTAAAGATTGTAAAGTTTCTTTCATTTTTAGCCTAATTGTCGATCGTATTTAAATTTTTGTCTAAATTTCTATGCAATACGATAAAATTTAATGAAATATGAAATTTTAGGGCTTTGAAAGTTATCACAGAGGAAGATGTCATGAAAACATCAATGATAATGGGATCAGGAAAAGCAGTAAGTCATTATTTGGTAGAGGTTCATGTCTTGAACAGTATATTCATGTTTATGTATTGAGTGCTTTTCTTTTGTCATTTTGTTCGTGTTTCACTTTTCTTTTCGGTTCGTCCATCTTTCTGTGTTCTGTTTTGAGTTTTCACTATCTGTTCAGTCAGTGCTCACTTTTTCTTCTTTGTTAAATATACATCGTTTACATATCTTGTATATTTTTTTTAATAGGCGCGTTTACTTGAAACGATTAGCACGACGAGAGGTTTCGGAGATTTTGATTTAAAAGCTTCATACACTGGGGCTCCCATTAAGCCATTTTTATCTCCCGAACCTGAGGTAAATTGAAGCTATTAAATGTTTAAAACATTTTCCTTACTTTTGGCTCTATTTTTCTTACATCGTCGCATTATTTTTTTAAGGTTCAGATATTTGATTTATCAAGAGAATCATGTAGAGAAAATGATGTTCTTATAATGGCAACCGATGGATTATGGGAACGGGTGACAAATGAGAAAGCTTGTCAAATTGTTCAAAATACATTCATAAATTGTGACATTGGAGAAGAAAGGAGGTATTTTTTGTGTTTTTAGTGATAAATGCATACGGCTTGAATATGTTGATGAATTATGCCTTCCCTGTTGCTTATGTTGCCATCTATTGGAAAGAAAAGCCTTGCGTACTCGTTTGAGGGGATTTCAAGCTCAATATTTATATTCATTATAAAAATGAGCTCTTATTGCATAAATCTGAATGATGCGCTTTACGGGGGGTAGGTTGGCTGTACATATTGAGGAAACGAGTTTGGAGTTCTTTTTTAGGTGTGTAATGACATATTCTGGGTTTGATTTCACTGGACATGAAGTGACTCTCACCATTTTTATGAAACATTTATCAAATTTTTCTTCAACAATGGAAATAAAAATTTCTAGGTATTGTGTTGCTGCTCAAAATCTCGTTATGGCCGCCCGTGGTCGAAATACAACTCGAGGTTGGAGGATAGCAAAAGATGACAAAATATTTATCGATAATCCTGAGTTGAAAGACACAGATCCTGCGTCGTACGATGATATTTCAGTTTTTGTTATTCCTCTTTCAAAAACATTTCAAGAAAAAACTGAATCAGCGGAATATCAATTGAAGTCAAAGAACCAAGAGACTTCTACGAAAAAAGAAACAAATATTAATTAAAAAAAATCAACTCTCATCAATGATCAATATGTTGCAAGAATTTCGTTTGAGTATAGCAACAGTAATTTTCCGATATTTTATTCAAGAATACAGAAAAATTCTTGGAATAATGAAGAATTTTATAGTGTACGTTTACATAATCATACTAATAAGTTTTTTCACAAAGTGTCAATTAATGTTTCATTTGACTTATAAATCAATTAAACAACTTTAATTGGATGTAATGAAAGAAAATAAGTTTTTAAACTAAAATAATTTATGTTTTTGTTTCAATGAAACGGACCCCGGCCAGGATGAAATTCACCCGGAAGCAGCAATAATCCGATAGATTTTGTAATGTCTCAACAACTTTCTTGTTCAAGAGCAGCTTGTCATTTCAAAAAGTTGTCATACGTATGATAGATGTCGTCATCGTCATGCCGAAATGAGCATGCGCACGGCCCCCTGGAAGTTTCTCATGCTTCCTGCACTCGTTTTGGAGTGATTTCTCCACCACTCTGTTCACGCCTTAGTGCTCCTTGCTTACTAAGGTAGACACAAAGGTAGACATGAACCTAGACACAAAGGTAGACACAAAGGTAGACATGAACATAGACATAAAGATAGACAAAAAGATAGACACAAAGGTAGAGACAAAGGTAGACATGAACGTAGACACAAAGGTAGACACAAAGGTAGACATAAAGGTAGACAAAAAGATAGACACAAAGGTAGAGACAAAGGTAGACATGAACATAGACACAAAGGTAGAGACAAAGGTAGACATGAACATAGACAAAAAGATAGACACAAAGGTAGAGACAAAGGTAGACATGAACGTAGACACAAAGATAGACACAAAGGTAGACATGAACGTGGACAAAAGATAGACACAAAGATAGACACAAAGGTAGACATGAACATAGACAAAAAGATAGACAAAAGATAGACACAAAGGTAGACATGAACGTAGACACAAAGATAGACACAAAGGTAGACATGAACATAGACAAAAGATAGACAAAAAGGTAGACACAAAGGTAGACATGAACGTAGACAAAAAGATAGACACAAAGGTAGACATGAACGTAGACACAAAGATAGACACATAAGTAGGTCTTCTGCATGAAAATTCGTGTACTATAGTCTTTTGCATGAAAATTCGTGTACTATAGTCTTTTGCATGAAAATTTGTGAACTATAGTCTTTTGCATGAAAATTCGTGTACTATAGTCTTTTGCATGAAAATTCGTGAACTATAGTCTTTGCATGAAAATTCGTGTACTATAGTCTTTGCATGAAAATTCGTGTACTATAGTCTTTGCATGAAAATTCGTGAACTATAGTCTTTGCATGAAAATTCGTGTACTATCGTCTTTGCATGAAAATTCGTGTACTATAGTTTTACATGAAAATTCGTGTACTATAGTCTTTGCATGAAAATTCGTGAACTATAGTCTTTGCATGAAAATTCGTGTACTATAGTCTTTGCATGAAAATTCGTGTACTATAGTCTTTGCATGAAAATTCGTGTACTATAGTCTTTGCATGAAAATTCGTGAACTATAGTCTTTGCATGAAAATTCGTGTACTATAGTCTTTGCATGAAAAAATTCGTGTACTATAGTCTTTACATGAAAATTCGTGTACTATAGTCTTTTGCATGAAAATTCGTGTACTATAGTCTTTTGCATAAAATTCGTGTACTATAGTCTTTTGCATGAAAATTAGTAAACTATAGTCTTTGCATAAAATTCGTGTACTATAGTCTTTTGCATGAAAATTTGTGAAACTACCTTACTTGTATTAAAATTCGCGCAGTACTAGAATTCGCGCAGCGCTGAGTGCGCGAATTTTAGTACTGCGCGAAATATAATCCGCGCGAAAAGCTTTGTAGTGTTATATGAGACATTCATTGTTGGTTATGCAAATCAGTTGTTTTATTAACGCATATACAAATTGACATATGTTTTTAGTTGTCCTGGTAACATTAAAAATCAAAAATGTCTTCATTTTCATCCTGTACAATTTCAGTCGGGATATTCTCAGGTTCTACGTAGTATTCCGTCACGAATGCCTGCATTTTGTTGTATATCCTAAACCTTGCATTGTTCTGCATGACTGTTAGGGTAATAGGAATCTCCAAGCCTCTTTGTGGTAATGGGGATCGACGAAATTTGATGTCACACACACATGCTTCTATATTGCTCCCATATTCAAAAAAGAACTTGCAAAATCGGGATAGTGAACTCACGCTTTATTTTGAAGCCATTTTTGAGGCCACCCAATCGCTTTTTTGATGAATATTGAGGTATTTCTTGATAAAGAAAGCTCAACATAAATGCGTTAATTATTAATAGTTCTTTTGAACAAACCAAAAAGAACGAGCACATAAAACTACTTGCGCGAATTTAAAGCTGCGCGAATAATTGTCAACAAAGTGCGCGAAATTAAATCGCGCGAATTTAAAGCTGAGCGAAAATGAGTACGACTCGAATTTTAATACAAGTATGGTAGTCTTTTGCATAAAATTCGTGTACTATAGTCTTTTGCATGAAAATTCGTGAAACTATAGTCTTTTGCATGAAAAATCGTGATCTATAGTCTTTTGTATGAAAATTCGTGTACTTTAGTCTGTTGCATGAAAATTCGTGTATTATAGTCTTTTGCATAAAATTCGTGTACTATAGTCTCTTGCATGAAAATTCGTGTACTATATTCTTTAGCATGAAAATTCGTGTACTATAGTCTATAGCATGAAAATTCGTGTACTATAGTCTTTTGCATGAAAATTCGTGATTTATAGTCTTTTGCGTGAAAATTCGTGAACTATAGTCTTTGCATGAAAATTCTTGTACTATAGTCTTTTACATGAAAATTCGTGTACTATTGTCTTTTCCATGAAAATTCGTGTACTATAGTCTTTTGCATGAAAATTCGTGATTTATAGTCTTTGCATGAAAATTCGTGTACTATAGTCTTTTACATGAAAATTCGTGAACTATAGTCTTTTACATGAAAATTCGTGTACTATTGTCTTTTGCATGAAAATTCGTGTACTATAGTCTTTTGAATAAAAATTCGTGATTTATAGTCTTTTGCGTGAAAATTCGTGAACTATAGTCTTCTGCATGAAAATTCGTGATCTATAGTCTTTTGCATAAAAATTTGTGATCTATAGTCTTTTGCATGAAAATTCGTGTACTAGTCTTTTGCATGAAAATTAGTAAACTATAGTCTTTGCATGAAAATTCGTGAACTATAGTCTTTTGCATGAAAATTCGTGTACTATAGTCTTTTGCATAAAATTCGTGTACTATAGTCTTTTGCATGAAAATTCGTGTACTATTGTCTTTTGCATGAAAATTCGTGTACTATATTCTTTTACATGAAAATTCGTGTACTATAGTCTTTAGCATGAAAATTCGTGTACTATAGTCTATTGCATGAAAATTCGTGATTTATAGCCTTTTGCGTGAAAATTCGTGTACTATAGTCTTTTGTATGAAAATTCGTGATTTATAGTCTTTTGCGTGAAAATTCGTGTACTATAGTCTTTTGTATGAAAATTCGTGTACTATTGTCTTTTGCATGAAAATTCGTGTACTATATTCTTTTGCATGAAAATTTGTGATCTATAGCCTTTTGAATGAAAATTCGTGTACTATAGTCTTTTACATGAAAATTCGTGTACTATAGTCTTTTGCATGAAAAATCATGATCTATAGTCTTTTGCATGAAAATTCGTGTACTATTGTCTTTCGCATGAAAATTCGTGTACTATAGTCTTTTGCATGAAAATTCGTGAACTATAGTCTTTGCAAGAAAATTCGTGTACTATAGTCTTTTGCATAAAATTCGTGTACTATAGTCTTTTGCATGAAAATTCCTGTACTATATTCTTTTGCATGAAAATTCGTGTACTATAGTCTTTAGCATGAAAATTCGTGTACCATAGTCTATTGCATGAAAATTCGTAAACTATAGTCCTTTGCATGAAAATTCATGAACTTTAGTCTTTTGCATAAAAATTCGTGATCTATAGTCTTTGTATGAAAATTCGTGTACTACAGTCTTTTACATGAAAATTCGTGTACTATAGTCTTTTGCATGAAAGTTTGTGTACTATAGTCTTTTGCGTGAAAATCATGTCAAATATTTGTTACATGTCTAAAAAAGTTGTTATGAATGATCTTCAACTTACATGTTTTCTCCTGTGACATCTTGACTATGTGGAGTACTATTAAGAATAGTTTTACAAATGACTGAACATGAAGAGACAGGGAAGAATGGTAAAACATTCAAATATCACTGATAATACAATCACTACCTGTACGTATGTTATTTTTCTGATTATTTTTTCAACAAGTCGTCCAAAGCGCTCCTTGTTTCTGCTAAACGTCCAGCCATACGTTTTGTGTTTTAAAGAATAAAATTCTGAAAATTTGTCAAAATGCGTGAATTATAGTCTTTGTATGAAAAATTGTGAAAATTTGTGAAAATGCGTGAATTATAGTGTTTTTGTAAAAAATTGTGAAAATTTGTGAAATGGACTGAATTATAGTCTTTGTGTTAAACATTGTGAAAATTTGTGAAAATGCGTGAACTATTGTCTTTTTGTGAAAAATTGAGAAAATTTGTGAAAATCCGTGAATTATAGTCTTTTTGTGAAAAATTGTGAAAATTTGTGAAAATGCGTGAATTATTGTCTTTGTATGCAAAATGTGAAAATTTGTGAAAATGCGTGAATTATAGTCTTTTTGTGAAAAATTGTGAAAATTTGTGAAAATGCGTGAATATATAGTCTTTTGTGAAAATTGTGAAAATTTGAAAATGCGTGAATTATAGTCTTTGTAAAAATTGTGAAAATTGTGAAAATGCGTGAACTTATAGTCTTTGTGAAAACAGTGAAAATTTGAAAAAATGCGTGAATTATAGTCTTTGTGCAAAATTGGAAAATGCGTGAATTATAGTCTTTGTGAAAATTGTGAAAATTGTGAAAATGCGTGAATCAGGTCTGATTGAAGGAAATGTGTGAAATAACTTTTGTGAAAAATTTTGAAAATTTGTGAAAATGCGTGAATTATAGTCTTTGTGTAAAAAATTATGAAAATTTGTGAAAATGTGTGAATTATAGTCTTTTTGTGAAAAGTTGTGAAAATTTGTGAAAATGCATGAATTATAGTCTTTTTGTGAAAAATTGTGAAAATTTGTGAAAATGCGTGAATTATAGTGTTTTTGTAAAAATTGTGAAAATTTGTGAAGTGGACTGAATT